AAGTAAAATAATATTTTAATATATATTCTGATATGGATATTTAAATTGGTAACAAAGGTTATAATAGGTTATAACAATTATAATAAGGTTATAACAAAGGTATAACAAAGAATATAATGATAGTTCCGACAAGAAATATATACAAATAATGAATTTTATTAACTATAGACGGTTATTCAGAATGCAGGTATTTGTTAATATAAATAATGAATTTTGTTAGAATGTATACAAACTTATAAAAATTATATTATCTAATAGCTAAAATGTTAAGTAATAAATAATATTATTATTGTCAGTATATAATTATTATGAAATATAACCAATCACAGTTCTAGATACAGATGTTAATAAATTTAAAAGCTTTTAATAAAAAAACTTTTACCTATGAAAATTTAACCTTCTTAATTTGTGTTTAAATAAAGTAATATGTTACCGTTTCTTTTTGCTACTCGGTGTTAAGCGATTGGTGGATAACTTATTTAAGTAGAAATTTTGACTCTATAAATAAACATTATATCATGATAAATAATTTCTCTCCTGAATATTTACGCTTATAATAATAGTTATTATAAAATTATAAATACTTATATGAAAACTAGTCTGAATGTCGATTATAATCTATTTCATAAAGTAGAAGGTACCTTCCGGTAGTACGATAAAATTTTTCATAGATCTTGTAAACCAGGAAGTCTTGTTTTGCTTTCATTTGAAATTGTGAATACATCTTTGAAATCTTGGAAAAACGGTAACAATGATACGATTATATTGAAGCAAAATACTGGCATATTGCCAAACAATCACCTATATCGAACATCACATGGTTCACTATTCCTTTCAAAGATCTCCATACTCTATCTTCTACTTTTCTAGTGCTCTTTTCTCTTATAGGATAGATTCGTGCACGATTAGATAGTTTATGACTTTCCTCGTAAATTTCGCTTCGTGAAATCTCAATTTTCTGCAAACAGATTCTGTTATTATTGCCAACGCGTATATGAGCGCACACTTATTAGGCCTTTCATGATCGAATTGCGTGCTTTAAAGATTTAATGGTACGCGTGCGATTTTATGAGCATTAAATAGTTTGGCTGCTAGCATAGTCAGGTTGATATCGCTTTAAGAAGGAAATTGTATCTAAAATTGCGTTAAAACATTATAAAAATAAAAGAAGGAAATTTCTCAATTTTTTTTCTTTTTCAAGGCATTTCAATTATTTAAAGCAATTAGTGAAAACATTTAGGGAGAATGCTGTTTAGGTCAAAAATAATTCTCATATTTCAAATGAATTACAGAACATCTATTATTATCGTTTTATATGCTTTGTCTTGTATTATTAATATAACAATAATGTTATATATTTAGAAAATGAAGATTTTTTGAACTACTCTTATTTTAGAATTTCAATAACTGTTATATCTTACATCATTTTATGTTAAATATATTAGATAAAAAGATTCTAAATTCTATTATAAGAAAGTTTATTTAAATTTAATCGTTTATCACACATATCGTTTCGAAATATATAAAAATTGTTAATACAAAACTAATCATAAAGATAACGCATTTTTTTAAATGTAAAAATTGTTAAAAAAAATTTTTAAAAACCATAGGAATAGTATATCATTGAGTCTGTAACGCTCATTGGTATTCATTTTTCTTATAAAATTAATTGATTTATCAAAATTCTTTTATAAATAATGATATATGAACATATAAACATATATACAATGTTTATATTTTATTCTGATATAAAAAGCGTCTTTAAATAAATGTATGGTTTATTGTTCTTACAGAAATGTTATAGAACATTAAACGATATATGTACTTTCACTGATATAGTGTAATGATGTAGTCGAATAACAGAATAAATTGGTTAGAATTGCTTTTTCATTTAAGCGTTCACATCTATATATAAGATATAATTTTATAAATATTCGTTTGTTACTTAAATTAACAAATGATGTATTCATTTCAAGATTCATTTACAGAAAAAATGAAGATTGTATATTAAAATTATAAGGAATGTCATATTTATCAATTTCTTTCAATTTATGGCTCAAGTAAATTTAATATGTATAAAGACCCAAAGACGTTAATCTTGATTATCAATACAATATATACAAAACATGTATATTTATTTATTAGGATAATTATATATATTTAGCTTTAATAGATATCCTTTTCTTTATTTCATTTTCATAAATCCAAAATCAACTTAAAAAGCATAATATGATGAGATGATTCAATTTATTCATATCAATTTATTTATATATATCGAAAGACATTAAATATTTATTTAGCTAATGAAATTGCAATTAGGTATGAGAAAAAACAACATATAAAAAACTCATTTAAATTTAAATTAATTGAGTCAGCATATAAATGCTAATAGAAAATTACACATATATTGTGTATATTATTCTGATTTTCTAATTCTTATGACATAAATTATAAGTTTTCGATAATTTTAATAAAATTATATTTAATTTTTTTAAATGAACGATACGTTATAATATGAATACATTATATATACAATAAACCTTGTTTTATAAATTTTCTAAATTTAATTGTTCTGCTATTCGAATATATGTAAATCTAAATGTAAATGTAAATATTATTTCTTATACATTTATCATTTTATACTTTATAATTATTAAAAATGTTAATTTAGTTGGAAATTTATTCGTCATAATTTATCAATATGAAAATAAGGTTTGAATGTAAATGGTTTTCAATTGCAACAACATTATGCTTTCACTTTTATAGTTTTAGTTCTAAATTAATTAATGCTTCCAAGTCAATCATAAAGTATTGTGGAATATCTGCAAAGTTACGGAAATAAAGTAAAATACTATGATATGGTTATATTAATTATTGTAAAACAATTAATTTATATATCTACAGAAAAATATATTGCATTTGTCATAAAATAATGTAATGTACATATTATATATATATATATATATATATATATATATATATGGTTTTAAAATCTTAAAATCTTCAAAAAATCTTTAGAAAAGTTTATAATCTTAGGTAAATAAAAAAGGTTATCTAGTTTTATAATATAATATATGGTTTTAATTTATTTGTTAAAGAATTAAATGATACCTGTTGTATTATAGCTACTTTTATTTTTGTATTTATAAAATTTATGTCATTTAGTTTCATATAATCATAGATGTGATAGTCAAAACTGCATTAAACATTGATTGAAAATTATTAAATAGAATGTTCGAATGTAATAATAGTTAGAAAAAAATAGGGAAATTACCATTAGTAAATTTATAACTTCATGTAATGTAGTGATTATGATATTTAAGAACCAATTACGCAGGAACTTGTAAATGTTTTTACGTTTCTTTTAACCTTCTTAAAAAAATGTTTGACTGGTTTGTTTACGAAAATCGAAAAAAGTCATTATTAGCATTATTGTTCAAAACATAAAATTTTGCCGAATTTATTATGGATGTTTATAAATAAATAACAATATTTTTTTAGCATATTTTTGAAATATATTACTAGCTTTACATACGTATTTAATTTAATAATCACACACACACATACACGCACGCACGCACGCACGCACACGCACACGCACACGCACACGCGCACACACACACACACATATTAATATATTTTACCTTAGTATAGTACTTAATTTATTTGTCCGAAAATGATAATCTACATTTTTTAATAAAACTTAGCTATCTGTAAAAATATTAATAAAAAAATATTTCCTTCTCTATTTACCATTTAACATTTTATAACTTATAATTTATCATAATGGTCGTGAATATTTTAAATTAATAATATAACATTTTTATATATAAATACATTTTTTATAATATAAATCATATAAAATATTCGTTTATTGTAACAATATTAGTAGTGCATTTAAAATGTTAATTTGGAAAATTATAGATATTTAGACATTTAAATAATATATTGGAAATACTAAATTTAAAATTTTTAAGTAAATTTGTTAATTTAATTATAATATATATTTTATTCCGCATGACACATTGTAATGGGATTAGTAATAAATTATTACTAATTTATTGATGAATATTGTAATTTAATATACGATTATACAGTGGACAAAAATAGTATAATTTGATATTTGATTAATAATCGCTAATTTATTATTTAAAATAAATAAAGATTTAATAAATTTAGATAAATACTAATTTATCTAAATTTATTCGTGCATTTTGATAAATATTCATTCTAATTTATAGAATATACAGACATCATATTTTTTTTATAGAACATCAGTTCTATTTGTTGTAATAAAACGAATTGAAATAATTTGAACATAATTTGAATTCGTAGGTTTATTATGAAAGAAAATGTTAATTCGTTTTAAAATAGAAAATAATTTGAGCAATACTAATTTCGCACGTAATATAGAAATTAAAAATTACTGTTTATGTTAATGCGATAATTCTACGATAAACGAGAACAATCTTGTAACGAAATTATCTAATGAAAATATGACGTATATGTGTTATTATACGCACCAGATATTTGTTTCCTCTCACTACCTTAATTTATCATTTTTCAGCAATAATCTTACTTAATCGCCAATAGTTTGAGTATATATATTTATTCGGTAGTAGGTTGAAATGAAGCCGCAGTTAGTAATTTTCTAACGAATGTAGTCGCATGAGCCAAGTTGAGAGTCCACATTCTATGAACATGAGATGCAAGGCCTTCGCCCTGAATTATTAGCCAGGGGAGAATGTAAATGTAGTGCAACGTGTTCAAGTGCGTTCGCGAGAGTGAATGTTAGCACGCGGTTAAATCTAGCCGTGGTTGTATCATCCATCGGTGTGACCGGAGGCTCGAGCAAGTGCCTACTCCGGTGTCGTACATCCGGTTGCAGGAACTCGAGTGAACGTGCACGCTGGCTTGTGGTAGCCTATTGGTAGGGGCAGAGGCTATATAAGATCACGGAAGAATGCTTTTCGTTTATAGTATTACTTGCAAGGTCGCCCCGTGTCCCTCGTAGCTCCTGGCACGCGAACCACTAAATCTTCGAGCGGTTGCCCGTACTATTGAGAGCGGAGATCCCTTGTAATTGCGTACACTATTGTCGAAATGGTAGGTTGACCGTCTCTGCCAGTACTAACCGGTTAAGATTTCGGAAGAGAGAGAGAGAGAGAGAGAGAGAGAGAGAGAGAGAGTGATAGAGAGAAGAATCTTAAATGGAGGTGTGGTACTTTAACTTCTTATATCCATTAGCTGCTTTAATCGATTTACAGCTTATTATATCTTGTAGTGTTTCTTTTTGATTTCCGTTATATATATATATATATATATATATATATATATATATATATATATAATGTAATTGATTATTGAAGTATATTATAAAAGTATAGTGTCAAGGCTTTTACTGGAAATTTAATTGTATATAATCGGAAATTTGATGAAATGTTTAATAAGAGAGCAATAATTATAAATATGCATAAAATTTGCATTTAAATTTAGTTAAAGTAACGAAGTGTGACATTGTAATTTTGTTATAAAATACTTGAAAAACTTTAATAAATTTCAAAAGTATTTTAAACATATTAATAATAAATATTTATTGCTATTAATTATTTCCAAATGGTTAAAAGTGTATATTTTTCAATTCTAATATGTTATTGAAGAATAAAAAGATATTAATGTTTTTGGCTTTACTTTTAATTTTTATTCATATCATATTCACTATTATATACTATAATAATAAAATCATTAATATAATACAAGGATAATTAATTAAATTATTGCAAATATATTAATGTTATCATCAATTACTGTCTACTTACTTTATTATTATTTAATTCAGTAATTAGACGTTTAAAATGAATTATTTTCAGGAAAATATATAATTTAAAATAATTGATACATTCTAAATATATTATGCTATAAAATATATTTGCATTTAAATTCTTCGTTCTAAATAAGTTTAATTATAAGTAGAGATATAAATCAATTATAAATACAATATATTATTATATTATGTGTTATATTGTGTATTATATATTATCATAACATATTTTTGTGATGCATCATTTTATATATACAAAATTATAATATATATTCAAACTATTTAATGCCAATAAATGTTGAATAAAAGCAAATTAATTATACAATATTTTGAGATTTTTTGAGTCACATTGACATCTATAGTTACATCAAAATTAAATTTCATGAAATAATATATCCATTTTTTTTATGTATTTGAATATTTAAAATGGAAAATTTATATATTATTAAATTCATATAATATTGAAATTTTAGTTTAAGCATATAAATTTGACATTTTAAGAAATATGAAACATTTAAAACATTAATATATTTGCTGAAATTATTTATTTAATATATTTTTAGTTAGATTTTGAAGATAGATTACAATTTTGCATTCCTACATGATTTAAGGATCTTTGTCATAATATGCAAAAAGTGATTATGTATATAAATAATGTAAATTTCTAGATATACTTGATTTATCACATATTTTAATTTATTATTTGGAATGATTTTTCTTTAAAATAAAATAAAGTAGAAAATTACGTAAGTAATATTCGTAAGTTTTGTAAATATTTCGTTATAAATTATTTTTCATCTGTTAAAAATCAATATATCATTATGTGAACTTAAAACAAAATTCGAAGTATAAGTAATTATATAATTTATATATGCATATATAAGGTGAATATGGAATAAATCAAACACTACACAATATTTTTTATTAAGTTGAAATAAAAAAGTGATAGTCTGAGGAATTACTAACTCAGTTTACTCAAAACGTTCATATTAGCAAGCCGGTAATTCTATGTAATCATAAATTTTTACTCGTTGCAATTAGCTTTAAGAGTAATTTACAAATTCAGAGCCAAAGGTATATTAGATGAATAGTTTTTAATTAAATGTATATATTGTTTATCAAAAAAGGAAATATATTATTTCTTAATTAGCTCTTACTTTTTGCAAATACTCTAAAGTATTTTAAAAAGGATTGAATATTTATTTTCATATAAAAAATATTTCATATATAATTAAAATATTATTTCTGACTAATAGTTATGGAAATATACAAATATAATTTTAACATATCATAAAATATAAATCTCATATAACATTTTTTTTTTATTAAATAATATCATTAACATTATTTATTATTATTGGAATACTTTTATTAATATTATGGTTACATATAATACTAGTAAATAATAGTACAATTATAATTACAGAAATTTGTATTAATTAATAACAAGATTGTATGAGATCAAACAAAAAGGATATAAACATTTTTAGAAATACTTGTTAAACAAAAATGTATATTTAAATTTTACTTTTAAATTATAAAAAACAACATTTTAACTAGGCTTATTTGACTTCAACTTTTATGTTTTCATAAAATGCCTCAATCTTACACACAAACTTACATTAATTAGATGTTAGAAATTCAAAAGTAATCTTAAAATTCTTTACTTTGATGTTAACTTATAATTCGGGAATATGTAAGTCATAATTTATTTCTTAAAATATTATAATTGCTCTTCTTCCATTGATATTACAATTTATATTGATCAATTGATCAATTTATATATATATATATATATATATTTATATAATTGAATATTTATCGATATTGGTGTTTAGAATTTATAGACTTCTTTTCAGATAAAAGAATTCAAATAGATAATAATAAACAAATAATATTAAATTAAATATTTAAATATTAAATATTGATAAGTGAATAAAGTCTAAGAAAGCGGTTAGAGTAAACGAAACTTTGTACTATTTAGTGAATCTAGAACATTGAGATCAAAATAAATGCAAATACCTATTACCGTATAGTCCTTACATAGACACGTGAGTACTTTTACTTATAAGCCTATAGTTTAAAGGTATTTTGTTATTTTCGTATATTATTTGTTAGAAGTCTCGGTGGCCCAATCAGCAGACTCCATGCACCGGTTTATTGACCCAGAACTTCACTCGGTAGTGAAAGTGCAAGTACTACCTTGAAATAATAATGATAATACATGCCGCGCCTCTTTATAAACAGTAATATAGATCTTTTGGATGATTTTCTAAATTCGATAAAAAATTATTTTTAATAATTTGTAGTAAATAATGTTGATTCTTATTTGGTGGTATTAATTTTATAATTTATTATTGAAGACAGTTTATTTTATTTTTATAGTAACCTTTTTATATCTACATATTTTATTCTTATAATAATCATTGCATTGATGAACATAATAATAAAATGCTGAATAATTAAATATATTAAATAAAACAATTAATAATAAAATTATATAAAATTTGAATAGTTTTTTTAATTATACGTATCTATATTCTATATACAAACACCCATAACATTAACTATTTATACATATATTTTAAACATAGAATATGTACATTATATTACGTATTATTTAATATTTATTTATTATACAGTTTTGTACTACTCGCATGCATACACGCAACTTGTGCAAGCGCGTGCGCAGACATATCCATTTACTCTTGCATTCTAATTTCTAATATTTGCCAGTGACGTTGAAAATTGTTTGTATATATTATAAAATGGAAATTACGTATCGTATTTTTCAAAAATGATGAAAAAAATGAAAAATGGACTTGCATATGTTAATGTATCGTTTATTTTTTGAAAAATCAATATCCGAATTTTCATATTAATTATATTATGGTATTGTTGACTTATATGGAAATGAAACTTTTAACTTTACATAATATAAAAATAAAATATTTTCATTGATAACATTAGATAACCATTAACAATACCCAAAAACTTTTTGTATCGAAATGTAAATTTTTATTTAGAGATATACCGGCCATAATCTGTGGTATTTAAGATAATATCATACATAATGTATTATTATTATATATAATCTATATATATTTATTTATGTTATTAATATTTATTATAATGTAATAAATAATATATTTAAAAAAATTTAATTGGTCTTTGTCAATAAACTTATTAATTTTACATTATATTTACATATAGAAAAGTACATTGGAAAATAGATCTATAATAAAAAATAAGTAAATGAAATTCAACAATAATTCTTTTTAATTGCAGAAGTCATTGTACCTCTTGTCATTATTATTTTTCGTTTCTGTATTCTGTAACGAAAAATTAGAGTTAGAAGATATTGAAAAGGATCAACTTGAATATGGAATTACTAACGATAAAAAGTCTTCTACGGAGACATTACACACGGACGAAACCAAATATTCCGCAAAAGCGGAAACGAGTCACTCGCAGCAACAACGGCATCAATATCTTGGTTCAACTACTCCTTCTCCTCAGGAACTTGGCAATCAACTTAGAGATTACGCGGAACTTCAATCTTATGAAAATTACAAATATACGGTAATTATTCATGACTTTTCACAATCTGTATATTTCTAATTGTTTGGTACAACGCTTATGAGTTTTCATTTTACTTAGATGATTATTATATGTATTTCTGAATCAAAATTTTAAATATATATAGAACGAATTTTAGTTCAAAGAGATTGTGAAAGTTATTAAAACTTTATTTCGGAATTCTAAATTTTACGACCTATGGATTCTTGTCGAATAACCTACTTAATTTATATCTAATTAGAGTAATTTCTAACCAAAATTTACAGTATATTTGAGATTTAAAATTTTAGGAATTCTTTCAAGATATATGTATGTATGTACTTTATATGTAAAAAAAAAATTAAAAGTTTGCTATTAGGAAATAATTAATTATATAACTTCTTTGCTTTCAATATCTTTACTTCTAAATAAATTAAGATATATAATCTATAATTACAATTATTGTATTTGAAATATTGATTTTACTAAAATATAATGCCTGTTTTTTCTCGTAGTTCTCGTTAAGTTTTAATAATATATAACAAAATTTGAAAATAAACTTGAGTTGTCTATTTCATTGTTGTAGTATTCTCAGCAAAAATTATCAGTATTGAATAAGTAACTCCAAAGTAATTTTTTTTTTATATAACAACTTTCTTTTCAATTTATAGTAAAGTTTATGATTTTAATGATTAGCCTTTATTCCAACAGTTACATTTCTAGTTGGTCGCAATAAATACTTGGAGTGTATCGAACGAAGAGGTATCCATTTAGTGTATATTGCAGTATAATTAATTTAATAATTTATATCTTTAGAAAGCATTATTCATTTTTAAAATAAAAAAAAAAAAGAGTTTTTAAAAATATATAATTATAAGAGAATTAGAGGATCAAGAATTCAGTTAATATGTTAATTAAATGTCATTATGAATTTTCCTATTTTTAATTAAAAATATATTCTAAAAGTAATGTTTTCAAAAAATTTTGAAAAATTAAAATTAAAGAAATTTAAAAATATTCAGGTACAGCCACATACATATTTACAAGAAAAGTATCCGCCAAGCGCTGATGGATCCATTTATTTACATCAAAATACACTTCTAACGAATCCTACGCAACAGCACCAACAATATTACGGTCAAAATGATCAAAGTCATCACTCTCAAAATGATTATAATATGCAACAGCAACAGCAGCAGCAGCAGCAGCAGCACTTTTATCAACAGAAAACAACGTTGGAAAATAATGGACAAAGCGTAGAACAAGAATCTCCTTCACTAAAAAATGTTGATGAGAATAGCAATAAAGGTGAGGAAGTTGCATTCCTGAAAATACGAGATTTAGAAAAATGACTTTGTATGTATTACGGTTTTAGTTGTAATTAAGAAAGCTAATATTTTATAATTGCAACAATTTTTCGCATAACATACTTTTCTTGCTCTCGTAAATTTATGGTTTTAGAAACATTAAATATGACAATAATTAATAGCTTGTACAGAAATCATGTATGCATATTTAATTCTTTAATAATAGAGATTCATTTTCGAATGATATTTCTTCAGAACATGAAGTAATATAATTTACCTTTTTCTAAATAATGTGAAAAATGATTTATATTATTATCTAAATTATCATGTTATTTTAAAATACGATCTCTATTTTTGAAATTGGAAAACTTTTAATCAATTATTAGGCTATAATTAATGAATTTTACCCTTATTATAGGAACTTATTATGTAAATATACCAATGACTGAATTATTAGCTTACTACAGAAATTTAGGAATAATCCATACGAAAAATAAGAATGATGAACAACAAATTTCAATACCTGTTTACTCATCTCTGTTAACTGAGAATCAAGTGTATAATCCTGAGAAGGTTTCATATCAGCCTCAACTACGATATATCTCATATCCAAAATATACTAAAGCAATATTCACAAAGGTAATAATATTATTCATTTTCATACAATGTTTAAAATATTTAAAATAAATTAATCATTTATAATTAATGAATTTTATTATTATTAATCAACATTAGAATTGGACATACTAATATTAAATAATATTAATACTAATGCGATTATAATAATAATTTGTATTATTTATATAAGTGTATATAATACATAATGTCAATTAATTGTTTTTTTATAGTCTTCGAAGGATTCAAGTATCGTATCTTCACCTCAACAACTTGCAACGGCGAACGACGAACAGTATACTTCGCCGACGAAAATGTTAACTAACTCGGCTTATGAAAGTTTAACTTCCTCTCCATCCTCCCTCATAAACAAACCTCAAAAGTATCGATATTACATGTCACGTCAGCAATACCCACAGTATGGACATCGGCAACAACAGCAGTTCCTTTACGCTAATCCTCAAAGTGCTTACATGGATATATATAATACGCCTGCGGCACCCTATATCCAGGATAATTTGTTATATGATCAACATAAGCATCAGTATTATGTACCAACTGCTTATGCAAGGGAGCTTATGATGCAAATATTCCATCAGACAGGAGTAAGGAATACGGAAGGGATTCAAAAGTTCACCAAGGTATAGACATAAAAATTATAAAAATTTTGTTTCAATTGAATTTAATTATAGATTGTTATAAAAATAGATGGAATAAAAGAAAAGGCTATTAATAAGTTTTCTTTAATAATATAGCTGATTCTAAACATTGTAATTAATTGTAATTAATTTCAAACAATACAAGATACTTATTTTTAATGAATATCAGAATCAAAATTACATTTGTCATAATAAAATAATTTAAATCGTTGATTTTCTAAATAGTGGGTTCGCCAATTAAGAATATAATTCTTAGCAAATAGTTGCAATTTTCATGATACAATATAAGAAAAAGTACTAAAGCATATGGATTAGAAACTTTTCTTATAATTATCGATTATAGTAATAAACCGAGTATGAATTTCAGTTAGAAAAATCATGAGTAGTTGTGTAAGAAAACATAATTTCGGAATATTTTAAAAATTTCAAAATTTTGAAACTCTCCAAGTGAAATTCTCTTAAAGGGAAATAACTGCCTTACAATTATATCGACATATTTAACAAAAGTTATTAAACATTTAAACTTCTGATAGTTCAATATTTAATAATAACTAATTAAAATGAGGATTATAAAATAAATTTTATCGACTTAATTCAAAGAAATAATTTCATATATATTTTTATACTAATAGATCAAACATCATTATATTATAAATTGAATCGCGTTCATTATTAAATTTGAATATTTCATATGTCAATATAAATAAATAAATAAATAAATAAATAAATAAATATATATATATATATATATATATATAAACATATTAGATATTTCTACTTTTAGAATTAAACGCGTCAATTTGTATACAATAAAGTAGTTACAAAAATCTTTAATATATTGTTACTGAAACGAGATTTGTATGGATAACATGATTGTCATTGTCAAAATAAAATTAATTATTAATTATTACATTAATATTTCTTTTTTCTAATCTTTTTAATTATGAAAAATGTTATTAATTTTATTTAATATTATCGAATAATAATGTCATATTAATATTAACATTTTTTTTTTTTCATATCAATAGATTTAATTTCAATATCGTGATTTGAGTGTTTTATTCGTATAATAAAGTATAATAGAATTAAGTATTATATTATGTACCTTTTACACTATTATATTATGTAATAATTTTACTAAAAACTTTTGTAACATTAAAAAGAAAATTAATTAAAACTGAAGAAAAAAAAACATTAAACAGTAAAAATACATTTAATTACATATAATTAGAAGTATTTCCAGATAGTATGTTGTGTTCCAGATAGATGGTTGTACATTTAATATTTCATTAAAATATTATAAAATAATTCATATCTTTGTAATGAATTAGCTTGCGCCATTAGATAAATACATAAAAATTAATATTTTGAGTTTCCCTTAACATTGCATAAAAGGGAGGGAGGGAGATTTATCTTATTTTTTAAATGATATTTTGTAATTTATTGTTATTGTATATTAATATGTAATTTAATTATTATTTAATTATTATATATAATTGTAATTTAATAATTATACATACATTTATTTTCTTGATATTTTATGAAGGTTAACATTTTTATCCTATTTTTAAATATTTGAATTCAGGCTCCTTCAGTCATGTAAATTGAAATTTGAATATGTATTTTTACCATTAGCTTACAATATTTTTATTAACTTTATATTGACTGAAAGGCAAAAGTTCTACCAATGCCAGTATGATATTTATTATGCCAGAATATTATTTGTTTAATGAAGTACACAAATTAAATACACAAAAGTAGTGTTCATTAACAAAAAATTAGAAGAACTAATATTGTCGATTTCTCAAATTAATTTTAAATAATTTATAACTAATTAAACAATAAGTGGGTCTGCAAAATGTTTTTCTCGTTTAATTATTTCTTTAATTATTGTTTCCTTAATTATTCAATTAATTACTTTTATCATACATATATTATATATTTCAGATTTGTAGTAAAGGTTTTTAATTTTTAAATTTTTATTCCATTGATGAAAATTATTTGTTAGAATTATAATTTGTGTAATATTACAGTTGTAAAGTAAAATGAAAATTATTCGTAATATTTTGTGCAACAAAAACATTTATTTTATACATTAAAATGAAAAAATTACCAATTAATATTTATAAATCAATATGACATTAATGTTATCAACTCTTAAATATTCTCAACTTGTGACATATTTTTCATAAAATTTATATAATTGAAGATGATATTCAGTTAAATCTAATGTTATTGTTTATAATTTAAAAAACATAAATATAATCATATTGATTCTAAACAAATTATTGATATAGAACCAATAAACCTCAAACCACACTTTTATTCGTACGAATCAATAATTTTTATTTGATATTAATTAGCTTACTTAACGTGAAACCAAATGACACGTGAACAAAAATAAAAACTTTTGTACACTAATATGAATGTACACTAATAAATTATAAAAAAAACTCTTATAGAAAAATATGAGTATAATTATATAATTATATTTATTCAAATATCAAAATGTTTATTATTATATTATTTATTATTATATTTACCATCGTTCTATGATAGTATTTCATATGCATATTTTTTTCTAATTTAAGTAATATTATTTTTAAAAAATTTTAAATTTCCAATAGTACTGTGTAAACATACAATAGATATGTTCTATGAAATCAAGTATTATAAATAATATTCATGTGTATTTCATGTTTATTATATTAATAAAGAATTTATTAATGTACTAAATAATATAAACTTACACTAAATAAACTTCTTAACTTAATATTATGATTAATTTAGTATAGTGGTAACGTGTAAGTGCTATAAACGAATTTTATTAGTAACAATGTTCTAATGCAATATTTCTTATCTAATCATTAATCCATGTCAGTCGATTAGAAATATTATTTCTTTAACGTTGCTGGAATTTGATTTCTTTAGCAAGAAATTCAGGAAGCGCTTCACCAAGACTTTTCACCCCTTCAATATCAAGGACAAAAATTCCAAGGTACTACTTCGGCTCCCACTTATTCTGGAAACGAAGGTTTTTCAACAAAATCGATTTATTCATTTCCAACATCGTCATCAGCATCCAGTGATTCAAAAAGCCTTCTTGATTCATACGTTCCAAGTCACATAATAGCTGCACAAGATGTAAATCGGTTTGTAATATTTTATAATTATGAAATTCTCAGAATTCATAGGTTAATATAATATAAATTATCCAAAAATCTGGGGTAGAGTATTACATAAAAATATACGTAGAAGGTTTTCAAAAGCAAGTTTCGTTATATTAATAGTAATTTTTGGCTGATTAATTAATATCTTTCTATGCCTTGAATTATATTTGCACGTATATTAATAATTTATTTTATGTAAAATAAAATCGTGATTACTATTAGTATTTTATGAAAATAGTTTATATATTATAATATGAAAAACTCTTACATTTAATAATGAATGCTCTCTCTAAAGATTTTAATATTACTATAAGATATTTTTTTAACTTGTAATTAATTGTTACTTAATTACGACGTCAAAATTGACTAATTGGATCTATGATGATTTTCAAATATGTAAATTAATTTGCAAAATTTTAAACTGGTTTATTTTAAAAATAATTATTATATTATATATGTATTGTTTAGACTATTTATTGAAAATTTTCACTGTTCACTATCAAAGAATATAAAAAAATATCTTGAAATAACTTTTAAATACCGGATTAAAATTCTTTCTCTAATTTGTTTACGTAAATAAATATAATAAAATAAAAATTTAAGATAATGTTAGTAAATTCATAATTTTTAACATATTAGTAATATCATTTAATTTGCTTAATTATTTAAAAAAAAAATTTTTTAATATCAGTTAAAATATTATTTTCTTTTTATAAACAACAATAATTGTTTAATTAGAAAATGAATTACTTATTTTCAGAATCCTCTTTTATAATAATAAATGTGCTTATTGAAATGTTTTATTGAGAGGTAATAATTTTTAAAAATTAAACTCTTTATTATATTTTTTTATTGGAAATTTCAATTATTCAAAATAAACGAGAAATTTGAATTAAGATCCTTGATTTCGATGAATATTAAGAGAGTCTAGAATATGCCGCAATAGCTGAATAGTTGATTGCTTTCGTAGGTACAGAGAAAGGCCAATTAAACTTGAAAGTGGTTTTCTACCATCGAAAATAAACTTCATCCGATCTTACAAGAAACGCAAAATCGAGTAAAATGAGAGTATTGGACGAACTGGCAGGGGAAGTCTTTTACTGTGAACCAAAATGGTGACAGATAGAGAGAAAGAGAGAGAGAGAGAGAGAGAATTAAAGAGTGAGTATAAGGAATGATAAATAATTGAATGAGAAAACGTGAGAAGTGGGAGGATAGTATAAGAGAGAGAGAGAGAGAGAGAGAGAGAGAGTAACCTCTCACATAATAGTAGATGGCAGTAGATTTGATTGTATGTCGTAAACAGAAAAGACGATCAATTCTAAATGAGATGACAATGGCACGGTGACTTACATAGTTAACCTTAACTTTTGTCATAAAAAATTATGGGACCCGAATAAGTTACATGGTATATCTAGTCTATTTAGAAAAAATGAAAATTGCAAAGTAATGGCTCTAATGCAAATGGTTAGCCATCACCTTATTGATTTATTGCTTATGATTTTGTAAAATATTCTTTTTATAATAAATTTCTTGACAAAAAAATTATTATTAAAATAATTTATCACCTTACTCTGTAAGTGACAATATTGCACTTTATTGAATAGATTATTGTTTTTCCATTTACAAAGAGTATAGCATTATGTAAGTATAAATTATATTATTAACGATTAATGTTCGCTCACCTGATTGAAATTTTTATCATATTTTAAAAATTAAATAATTAAAATAATAAAGTAATTTAAATATTTGTTAACATATAAATTTATGAATTACTTGTAGAATTTATAAAAAATCAGATAATATTATAAATTGCATATACATTTAATTAAGAATATGGATTATATGTTAATATGGATAATATGTTTATATGGATACTTATTGTTTTTGGAAAAAATGCACAAATTAATATGTTTAATCAGAACAATTTTATTTTTCTTTATTTTTTTCTATCTTTTAAAACGAATTATACAAATTGATTGATATAAACGACTTTGGCAATATAATCATTTATTTACTTATTCGTGATATACAAAAATTATGATAATTATATATGTTTAAAAATAGGAGAAGTGAAATCAAATTGTTAAATACCAAATATCAATGTATACACGTACAACATTGAAATATTTATATATACAATTGTATATTGCAATATTTTTTACTTGTAATATTTGTTCTTAAATAAACCTTTGTTATTTATAAAATAAAAGCAAAGGAAATGTAGTATATATAACATTAATTAATATTCTTAAGTAAGCATTGAATTTTACATTTATAATAACATACTTGGTGGGTACGTAATTCGACTACATCCATTCTTGTACACTTTAAGCACTTCACTTTAGAAAAATTTAGATTTATTTATAACTATATATTTAAATAAAAAGATGTAATTAAATCATATACATATTTAACGCACTAATAAATTGTAAATTAAATTGTTACGATTTTATTTTATAAACATCTATAACAATTATATTAGAATTGGTCAGCATTAAATACTAGATTTACAATTAGTTATATACATAAGTCTGAATAAATGTTTAATACAATATTTTTTCTGTAACTACTTCATACCTGTACACTTACGAAAGTATAATTTTATCACATTCTTATTTTTAAAATGTGATAAGAAATTCATTCAATAGTTACAGTAGTATTTTCTTTATATAAAAGATAATATGAATATTATTTATGCCCTTGCTAGCCTTAAATTACAAAATTATATTAGATTTGGTTTATATCCAAGTCATACAATAAATTTAGTTTCATTATAAAAATATTACTTTCCTTCGTTTTTTGTCAGCTACAGTATTTTGATGATGAAGATGTAAATTATAATTTCAATGAAAGTGAATGCATAATTGATTAACAATTATTTATCTATTAATATATCTTGAATAGTCATAAAGATATTAAATACTGATACAATAGATTAAATTGTTTATCTTAGTACATTATATACTATACGAGGTTCAGCATATTATATTAATTCGAAATAAATAATAAACATGTAAATACAATTGATTAAATAAATATAGCTACAATGCAAATATATATTGGTTAATTTAATACAACGAAATATCTTAACAATTTCTAATTATTTTTCCAAATACCAACGATATAACGTAATCTAAATATTTCGAAAAAAGCATAAACATTCGTCAATGAATGAAAATATATACTGTTTTTAATAAATTTGTTGATTACATTTATAATGCAAAAAATTCATCAAATTAGAGCCTATGTGTAAGAGTATGATTGTATATGTGGAATTTACTGTTATAGCAATATATATTTTAATAAGTTTATTTTGGATAAAGGATAAACATTATATCAATTATAATTTTTTACCAGCACTGATGTTTATTGAAAAATTTGTTAAACGACTATTTTTAATTTAAAAGTAACTTTATGTGTAATAAATGAATATGTAGTGTTAATAATTTTTATCATTCTACTTAACATTGCCATTCGTTTATTACGTACAATTAAATCTTTATACGTGCACACATAACTATATGGATCTTTAACAATCAAACTTTACCAACATAGTACTTCTTTCATTATGTTTGTTTATATTATTTAAAAGTCTTATCCATAATATATATATATATATATATATATATATATATATTAATGTATTGTGAAATGATAGAAAGTGATGCTGTGAAATAATATACTCTTTGAAAATTATTATTCTTTATTGTAGTTTATAAATTAATGATGAATGAATAGATGATTTTTTATAATGTAGATCTATTATTGAAATCAAAATAACTCGAGTATGTGAAAGTAAATTGAATTATTATTTTTATGCACAAATATAATGAAAACCTATATCTTTGTTATTAAAAAAATATTTTTAAAAATTTAGATTTTTTAATTATTTTGATAAATTACAGTTATATATATATATATATATATATATATATATATATATATATATATATAGATAGATATTATAGATATTATTTCAATTTCAATTTAACAATAATATATTATTTTAAATGTTATAAAATAAAAAATTCTGTTAAATGTTGCATACTATTTAAATATATTTTAAAGATATTTTAAATATATATAAGATATCGAAAATAAGATTTCTATAAGTATAATATACGTAATAAAATAAAATTCTAATTCTGCTTGTAAATAAAATATTAAAATAATAGTGTAGTGAAACGTTTATGATACTATGTTTCTCAATTTAAAACCAATTGAAACTGTAATGTTTTGAATTTGTAAACGATTTTTTTAATAATTTCTGAAATCGAATTTAGAATTGCGTAAAAAAATGGATAAATATTAAAAATATAAAGTATCAGTTTTAAAATATAATAATAAGTTTCAGGACAAACATTTCAGTTAAAAAACCTTTTAAGTATTTATCTTATTTATAACTTGATATAAACATAGCAATAAATATATATTGTTATATACGTATGTTTTAAAAATTTTTTCAATATTAAACTGCGCTATGCAATAATAATTAAATTTAGAGAGTGATATGAAAGGGAGAAAGAGAGAAAGAGATAGAGAAAGGGAGAGTCTAACAAAGAAGAAAAAAGAAGAATAAAAGAATGTCTTAGTAAAAGAAATAAAACAAAAAGCGATGTAGCTAAATGAAAGATTAAGAATATAAGATATTTATTTGACCTTGGATTTATATATTAAATTAATTTCCATTTTAAATTTTGCTATAAAATGTGGCATTTACGAATATAGCAAATAAACAAGCCAGATTACATTGCTCAGAAACTTTAGGAATGAAGATATTAAGAATAAAAAAAATAAATCATATACATACAACGTATAACAAACAAATAAAAATGTATTGAAATATTTTTGTACTTATAAAAAATAATATTTTAACGAATAATAATACTTATTTATTATTTGTTAACGTCTTATTGCAAATATATTCCATTCTTATTAAAATATTAAAATTAAGATATTAAAATAAATATAAACCAATGTAACTAATAAAAAGATTGTATTGAAAAATAATGTTATATGAAGTTTTTAATTTTTAAAGTTTATCTTAGTTTTATTGTATCATGTATTCCATTTATTTCTGATACTCATACATACATTTACATCGAAACTTTTTTATATATATAATTAATTATACCTTATTATACCTTATTATTATTTATATTGTACCATATTTATGTACTTTACTTGAAAAATAAGTAACGTGAACAATAAGTGTATTATTTAATTAAATTAAGAGTAAATTAACGTTTGAGAACTACTGCAGAGACAAGTAATAACGATTGTGGAATTTGACAACAAATGTCAACTATATAATTTTTCGACAAGCTGAAATAGTCGCACGATGAACCACTGTTTCATATGTTTTCCGATTGCAAGAGAGATATTCTCCGATTTCACTTTAAGCAATCGCATGATCACAGGTGTAACTGATACACTCATAATATGAAAGTAGAATTCAAAGTGAGAAAACGATGGCGGACGTTACGTTTGCGCACTGGACCCTCATTTGAGCTCAACTCACGCATCCTTTCAATAGCTTTTGCAATTTGCGTAAGCAGATGTAAACATCTTTCATTGGCGTTTTGGTAATTTGAATAAACACTTAGTACATTGTGCTTGTTCTTGTTTATATTGATTCATTATAATTATACATGTAAGAAGCATATTAAAATGAAATCAATCATCGGTACTGAATTATTTCAATTTTTGCTCAAGATTCTGAATATAGAAGCTAAAGAGAAAGTGGGACGATTAAATACAGTTATGATTTAAATAACGTTTGTATTTTTTCAATATCTGCAAGTAGCAATGGAGAAAAATAATAGTATCGACTGTACTAATAAAAATAAATTAATAAAATGATATCTCTTTATTTACATGTTAAATTCTTTTTGAGTAATATTTTAATTAAAGTAATATCATAAAAAGTCAATTTGGAAATAAAAAATTTTTAAATTCATTTATTCAATGATTTTAATAAATCATAATTACTATCAATTGGATACTTATATTTATGTAGATAATAGATTTATAATAATTATTAGTAAATTAAGCGTGCATCATTAAAAGCAAAAAATCGCACAAATATCAGCAATGGCAAATTTATTAAAATACAAATTTTTTAAAAGATGTGTGACGATCAGAACTTATAAGCAATATTGTTGAATTTTATAGAAAGTTTTAATAATCATCTTTGGTTCTATGATTTTTGCTCGATTCTACATTATGTATTATTACGTAATTATATCTTATTCATTAGTATGTGATCCCTGATTGAATTATTATTTTCAGAATTTTTATACATTTTTTAATGGCATTTATTATAATTCATGATAAACTTTACATCTTAATAAGAAAGATGCATATATTAAATTAATACTCGAGTGTAGTTTATATAATAAACGAACTCTAATGAGTATTGTATTAAAGAAAATTTCGTTAAATTTCTGTAACTCGTATTATCATTATGTTAGTTTGATACTTATTTTGTAATCTGCATAAGCATTATTCATGAAAATTGTAGAAAACTTAATCGATTTAAAAAAAAATTTAATTATTTGGCTATAAAAGCTGATTGCGTATTTAAGAGATTTTTAATGATTTACTTAATCAAGTGTTACCTAGAAAGTCAAGGCCTCAGGATTGCTCATAAGCATAAGTTATTTACGCATAATTATGTGATATCGAAAAAGATCCGTATGAAAATTAGCTTAAAAATATATATTTAAATTTTCTTTTATCACCTATAGCATTATTATAAAAAAAAAAAAAAAAAAAAAAAAAAAAAAAATTAGAAAGAAATTGGGCATGTGCTTGTGTATTTATTTATCCCGCGGGTACATATATTATATGTATTTTTTCTAATATACTATCAGACGCATTGAACAAGAAAAAAAAAGCTTTATCATTTGATTAATAATGAAAAAAAAAAAAATTCAATTTATAATACTCCTATTCACCCACATTTGTGTATTTGCAATGTTTTGGCCCTTTATTATCGATGTACATAACGGCTTGAGGTTACAGTTTCTTCGGCTCCTTTGCAAACATACGTCATCACATGCTACGCGTTCTTTCTCCTTGGATGAATGCATAAGTGTACACGGACGTCCTGTAATTCCGGTCTATAGCCTCTGAAAACCAGCAGAGTAGGGCATATAAGGTGGGATGCTGCGTTGCCAGTCGGCCTCATCAGCCAGACGTGTATACGAGGCACACGCGACTCGTCTCTCGTAGTGTAAGCACGTACGCGCACGCGCGTCATCAAAGCCGAAAGCGAGAGTTCTAATCAGAAGCAGCCGATATCTAGCAAAATGAGGCTTACCCGGTCAACTCTGGTTCAGGTGAGTTCCCGGTTATGTGCGAATGTCGGTACTTGTTGAGGAACAGGATTCTCTATAAGGAGCGCTTCCTTTATTTTCCTTTCTTCCTTCTTCCTATTTCCAATATATCTCGTTGTATCATGAAATCAGATGAATTTCTTTTTTACTTTCTGTTATCATTTGCAGTTTATCTTATATTTTAGTGTAAATAATGGTTTTTATTTTGATTTTTAAAATATTAATTTTTTGCTAATATATTCTTTCATCTTATACGTCAAATAATTTGATTATGTTAATACTGTTGCTTTATTGATATTTTCATTTTTCTTTCAAATTACTACTTGGATGCAGTATGGTTTACTAATTTTGTAAATTTAAAGGACAAATTAACTTATTAATATATTATTTTGTTTAAAAAAAAAAAACTAGTTTTTCTTATAATTTTAATTGCCATTTTTATATAATAATTAAGTTACCGAAACTAATACTATAATTAAATGGTATAAATTTTTTGCGTTCGATTAACTTTGACTTAAAATCACATGTAAAGAGTGTTCGATTAATTTTAATATAAAAAAAGGATGAATTTCGCTTCAATTAATTCTACATAGCTTAATCTTTATATTGATTGTTTTTGGGCAATATTCTCTAAAGTAAGAATAAAAAAAAAATCATTAAATATTGTAGTTAAGTTTCGAAAATAATTAGTGAAATTATTCTCTACATTGGTTTAAACTATAAACTTATCGAAAATACATATATTTTTAGATTTCACTTATCAAATGTCTAATGTATATATATATATATATATATATATATATATATACGTAAAGTTTAGATGCTCTTAAAATTCCTTTTAATTTTCAATCTGAGGTCTAAATACTTTTATCTCTCATCTGATGTAAATGTGCCACTTAAAAATCAAAAGTATAGTTTTTTCACAATACCCATACTATTTGAATAATAAATTGATAATTAGTATTTTATTTCTAAAAATTGTTAATTCTTATCAATAAAATTAAAAAATTTTCACTTAACTATTATTATTTATATGTTAATTGAGCTTTCTCCTCAAAAAATCACATGCTTAATGATAATCAAAAAAATACATCCATACATCTATTCGTACTTATAAGAAACATTTATACATAAATACATAAACACTTACGCATAAACATGCAAATACATATTCTCGTTTATATATATATATATATATATATAAATGTAAATTGTTAAAATGATATTTTGAAATAAGAGAAAAATGCAGAATCTTTCTAAAATATAAATTGTACTGCGATAATTATAAACTATATTATGAATCAAATATCGTACAATAAATTTTGATGTTTTTTTTGTTGGTATCTTTAGATTACTAAAATATAATTAGTCATATATGTAATATATTTTGTAAAAACATTTTTTCTTCATCAATTAATTCGAAATATATATACGTTATATAATATTTATACGTTATTCATTCATATTCATTCATATTATGGATAGATAGATGATTAAAAAATTTGTATATATTTTAATATAATAGAAAAGAATGTTTATAACGAATGTATCTTGCATTTCATACTTTATTATTTAGTTTTGCATTATTTTGTTATTAATTATTATAAAAATTAATCAAATAATTATTATTTCTTTACATTATTTTTACAAAATTGAGTAATTCATCTACATAGTTTGATTGCTATATTAAGTAATTTTTTTCATTCTTTAATTAGTTACAAATCCTTTTGTACATTTAAAAAAATGCACAATACTGTCTTTATATTTTGCAAGGTAACTAAGTTTAAATACTTTTTTATAATTATTTGAGTATCAGTAATGCTAATAGAATATGAGTTAATCTGTATCATAATTATATTAATGAATATGATTGTTTATTATAATTGATATTTTTTGTCGAATTTGTTATTTAATATCGACTGCCCTAATTTTCCTTATATACTACTACGGATATTGTTAATGTTATAAATTGTAGCTTATAAATTATAATGGAACAATTATGATTCCAATTTGGACTATTACTATTTTTGTTACTATTTTATGTTATCATCTATAAATATATATATCATGCAGAGTTTAAGTTTATTAAAGATTTTGCCGAATTTTTATTCTACATACTGTTTCTCATTTTCATAATAATCATAGAAAATTGTATGATGCAAAAGTTTTTTAGAATATTTTATTATATAACATTTCAATCACTGATTATAAATTTGAAAAAAAAACATTATCTTAGTTCCTCGAGTTCGAAGTAATCTATTTGTATTAGTTATTAAATTTATAAGAAATATCGATTTTATATAATTTAATTATATAATAATCTGATTAAATTGATTGTATACTTATTTTGCATGACTGTTTCAGTTATTATTTTAAATTTCCTATGCCGATTATTGCTAATAATGTATTATTTACATCACCTTCACTCACGTATCTTTAGGTTTATATTTCTAAATAAGTATTCTTCTTTATTATTTTATTATAAAAACAAATATTTTATTAAGTAAATTTTACATTCAACTTACAGATTATTTTAATTTATTGGACTGAAATTTGTTTGATTTTTTTTTTTATCTAAAACATGTTTTTATATGCAGTAACTACATTTTTTAGTTACACACATTTTATAATTATTTAATTTCTTTAGTGTTCTTAATCAATTGATTATTTCAACGTCAGTTGAGTTTCTTCCGTGTATTTCTGAATTTCTCTAATATAAAATTAGTACAATAACTTATTTTATTTCTACTATTACTTATTAACGACTTGGCTTTAATGATAGGATATGCGGGAATAACATAAAGTCAAATCGTAATTTGAATTCTACTGACATTAACAGTGATTAATTTTGTTTAGCTTTCCGGATTCTATATCATCTATTTAACACTTTTATTTGAGAATTATGTGTTGTTAATTGTAATGGAAACAGTTATTAATCGAATATTATTATTAATAATTATTATTGTTATTATTTATATAACGACTTTATAAGTTATTAATTTTTTTTATTATTAATGTTACTTCAATTACATAAATATTACCTAAAGATAATAGATTAATCACAAATTTAATTTATTACGGAATACGTCATTAATTATCTCATTCTTTCATATGTCCATCAAGATTTACGAATATATACTTATATGGCTAACTTTTACGTTAATTAGAAATAATCTATTAGTGATAAATTAGCATATTTTACTTATTTCATATTATTTATAATATTATTTATTTAATTTGTGTCCATGTGTACAATGCATGATTTTTTTTTTTAAATGTCTATCTAAACTACATTTCTAATTTTCTATTGCTTATTTATGTGAGTAATGAGCAACCGATCTTAAAGAAATTTCAAACATTAAACGTGTTTATTCGAGTGTATATAATTTTATTTGTTTATGATTCGTGTGAATTAATTTTTGGAATTGTGAATAAAGGTGACATAATTTTACTTTAGAAAATATACGATCAAATTTATGAGTTTCTACATAATTTAACATGAGTAGGTTAAGCTTATCGGGGTCTATTTTGCTATTCACGAGTATTTATTTTTATGTTTATAACTATCTTTCATATCTTAAGTTAGTATCTTCCAACAGAAGTTGGAAGATGCTTCATAAAATCTTGTCATTAATCCATTAGATCATTAATTTCTAAAAATGTATAGTATCATAATCATAAATATAAAACTTGAACAATTAATTGGTATCGAGGAGTAATAAAGTGAAATCAATATTTATGTTTTTAATTTGTCAATTCTTTTATATTTTTTTAAAAGTTTGTGTGCAATAATATTTAAAAATAAATATATTAATGATTATTCAGTTTCTATGTGAAATATAAAATAATAATTTTGTTTCATGATTTATATCCGACAAAATATTAATTATAATTAATAAATATCGCTTGAAAAACAGTCCGTATTTATGTGTAATATTTATATGTAATTGTAATGTATAAATATTAATATTGAACAATATTAAGTCATGATTGATCTGATTTATAAACTTTTAGTAATTCGTAAATGCCTAAATTTACAGAAGTTTATAGAGAAATGAAAATATTTGTGAAGATAAAAAAGAAGGGTTAATATGAAAAATATGTTTATTATAACTAAAACTGATATATTCTTTATTAAGTATTTATCCTTTGTCAGCAATGTTATTAAACTTCTATCACTTGATTAAATATTTTTTACACAACATTTTGAACTTTGTTCATAATATTTGATTCTATGAATTCAGATTTTTGTACAAATAAAGTAAATATGTGTTATGCAACTATTCGTTTATCAAAATGTATTTTAATATTACAATATATTTTCGATGAAATAAAGTCTTATAATCAATTTTAAACGTATGCCTTTTCTATGAAAATTTATTCCTAAACATGGATCACTTTCCATAAACTATTTATGGAAAAATATTGAAATTAGCTTAGAATATTCATAATTCATCATTTTTACAATAGTTTATCCTTTTATTTTTATTCTCGATATTAATTAATAAAATTATATTTATAATTTATATTCTTATTACCTAAATCATTTTATAATTTTAACGAGTCACCTGTTATAACATTTGAATTGAATTAGAATGTTCTCAACGAAGGTGAAGGTCTTCATAAGATATATGCAATTTTCGTTGATTATACTTTATCTTGTAAAAAATAAGAAACAAAATCTGTGTAAATTATAGATTTAAATTTATTCTTTTGTTTTGCCACAAATTAACGCAGATCCTGTAGATTACTTACATTCTCGAGATCTTCATAATATATAATTGAAGAAGTAGAATGATTAAATAAAAGATGATTATTATTTGTATAATAATGATAATGTAATATAAAATTAAGTAACTCCTTGAGTAGCATAATATATGAGTACGCGAGTCTAATTAATTACTGCGTGTGTTACTTTACTGAGGCTTAAACTTGAATATGGTTTACGGATAGTTCGACGCGTAGGATTACTTCCTGGAATTGGTGTCCCGTAATTGCACAGGAGAAAGTCGGTTAGTAACCTCAGCTGCCGCTATACGCGCTTTCGGTCTGCACCTGAACATACATACATTACAAATAAAACACTTATATAGTCTTGCGGCAGCGGAGAGTAAAGAAGATTCGCGTCGATTAAATGTGTTGGCTACGGGATGTCTCTTACGCGTAAAAATGCGGTCCACTGTCAAGTTATAACACGAAGGAGTGAAAGTCCTTCTCAAATCATTAATTCTATGCTCTTCTTCTTTCGCTATACGTATGAATACGTAATTCTAATATTATATTTATATGAAGCAATCATTTTTTTCGGACCTTCACTTTTTATGATTGACTTTGTTTAAACGATCTGGAGATTGAGATTTTTAAGACGTTTGTATTACGTTGTTGAGGTATTTATGGTGAAGTTTCATAACTAAAAGCATTACAACTATATAATTAATAAAATCATTAATTATATTAAACGTAAGAAATTGTTAAAAAATGTAGATGTAGTAAGATATAATTCATTATAAACGAGTACAAAATAATCGTTTTCACGATCTATTGATTAGTATATAAATCATTAATTTATTAGTTTTATTAGATGCGTGACCACAGATTGATGTATATTTATCATAACAATTGAATTAAGTTTATTCAATTTTACAAATTCTTTCTTATTCATACAATTTTCTAATATCTAAAATTGAAAGTTTTTTTTATATATAATAACACAATATATTGTTTTGTTCATTTTTATCATACGAGTAAATAGAATTTTTAAGGATATTAAACAATTATGTATGTTATTTAATGTTATTTAATTGATTTTAATTTTTACTCTCTATAAATAGAGATTTCTAGTTGATTTTGGCCATGTGCAGCTGCATGATCCGTATACAAATTGATATAGGAAATTTGAATAATACATAAAATAATATCATTTTTATTTAGTAGTGCAATCGAACAAAACCAAGTATAATGAAATGGTTGGTAGTCACGGAGATTCAATTTCACGCGCTATGATACTTGAAAAGACTAGATAATTTTTTCTTGATATTATCTTTTACGAAATAATTTAAGATTTGGAAAAGTAAAAAATAAGAAATTCTTGGGTAAATGTTCAAAAAGTTTTTGAATTTCTTAATGGAAATCTTTTAATGATTTTAATGATTCTCATATAGATTATATAGTAGGATAAATGAGCTTAGATGGTTATCTAAAAAGCGCATCGTGATCTCCGGAAGCGAATATTTATATTCTTTTTAAACTAGGACAGCGTACTCGTAAAGTTAATGTCTCACTTACGTTGATGTTATATACTGGTCATAGTTGTTTTAGTATAAATACGCGTTTCTAGATATTATACAAGAAAGTTACTAGATTAACAAGATTACTAGAGAACAGTCATTATGTAAGGACAGTTTCTCGTACATATAAGATATCGCGTGGGATATGTTTGCGATTAAATGTTTTTTATATTAGCATATGTAGTTATATTGGCTAAATACATACGGAATACATATGAAAATTTTTAACTTATTAATTATGTTGTCTTAATTTAATTTAAATCATGTAAAAATTTTGTTAAGGACTTGAATAAATAATACATGAAATATTAAATGATCTTCCAAAAATGCAAATAAATTATTTATATTGTAATTGTATCGTAATATTGAATGCTTATGTCATAACACATATGTAACAGTACCTAAAAATTTATCGTTTATCTTAAATTTACTATAAATGCTTACATAATATAGAAATAATAATAATTTAAAAAATTATATTTTATATAAATATAACTTGGGTAATAAATAAATTGAAAATAATTAATAAAAGATTGAAAATAAAATTGAATATAATAAACATATTTCTTATAAATTAATACATAAAAACCAGCATATTAATTAATAATTGACATTATGAGATGGAATGTCAAAAACTTATCATTGTGTTATTATTATTAATCAACTTACTTGTCTAATTTTACTTTTCAAACTTTCGGAATTTACATTATAAACTTACGAAAATCATTAAAAGCGCATAGAAAAATGAAAAATAATATAAGCTGAATAACTCTTGTTTATTTCTAATATTCCCTAAGTGATATAGTTAATATTTTAGAATTATGCATTGAGACTATTTTTCTATAAATTTTTAGAAATTGGTTACATCTTACAATTAAATAAAATGTGTTGAAAATTGACAATTTGTAAGAATCATCCTTTTTTTCATTATTATTATTCATTTTACAATTAACTATATCATTAATACAGACTTTATACAGACAATATAAAAAAAAATATATTATTCTTTTGCAATTTCATTATATCTACTACAGAAAGCATAAATCTATGACAGCTATTTAAATTACTATTTTAATTTTTTTGAAATAAATAATATTTGTTTGTATAATTGAACTTTTAAATAACAAATTGAAAAATGATAGTTATATACAAAAATTTTTTATATATAGAATTCGATACTTACACTGAAATTCTACTATATTCACTTATCCGAATGAAATGAATATGATATAATAAAAATAAAATTTATGAAATTATCGCAGTAGTCATATTAAACTCAGGATAATTTGATTGTTACCAATGCTTCGTACATTATTATTAAAAGGTGAAATTAGTATTTTTAAAAATGTTTGTACTTGCTTTAGTAATTAATGTAATAATATATATATATATATATAATTATAAGATAACAAATAAGGATTTTAACGCACACGCACGCACGCATACAAACACACACATTTATCAATGCCATTATCAATATATGACTGTTAACCATATTAATTTATTTATAGATTACCTGTATTCTAATGGTAGAGATGGTATATGTACAAGGAACTTTGGAAGTGAAATCAAAATCGACAGATAATATAGAAAATCATAGAATACAATTTCCGGAAGAAATAAGTGCAAACGGAGTATTTGATGAAAATTCGAACGACGATCAACTACCGATTTTACCCCCTATTATTCTTTTGGATTTTGTAAATGGAACAAGTCAATCATTCAATTTTACAAATTTAAATGATGATAAGTCCAAACGAACTATTGATGTCAATCTCGGTTACGGATTTAATCAGAATAATCTTTTTAATGGAAAGCATAATCTTTATTTTCCAGCTGGTAAAACAGGAACTGCCGTCAGCATTGAAGAATCTATAAGCCCATTTGAGCCAAAAACAGTTACTGAAATTATCAAACCCATATCAGAACAAATAGATGCAAATGTTACCCACGCGAGAGATAAATCTAAACCATCGGTTCTAGAAGCATTACCAGATCCTTTACCACTACAAAACGGTCGTGAGCCATTACCTATCTATCCGCCTTATCCACCATATGGGCAACGTACAAAGCTTCAGAAAACATCGTCTCAAGATTCAGGTCAGCAGGCGAGAAGACCACCTGGACAATTTACTAAGTCGCATCCTACAAATCCCGGTTTAGAAAATTACAATACATTGTTTGCAACTTATGCATCGATGAAACCAGCTGGTTACCAAGCTAGCCCATCCCATTTATCTGCATCTGGAAATACCAATAATTATGCAAGACCAATGACGTCTCACTACCTTAACAATTACATAACTGATATTTATAGCAATAGTGGGATTAGCAACGGTAATGGGGGTAATACTATCACTACAAATAGCGGTACGAATAATCAGAACTCAGAGAGACAGGAATATAATCTGGCAAATTATCCGAGATACACAGTTGAAAATGGAATTAAGTATGAGCATAAAATTGTTTGGAAATATCCAGATGGCAAAATTTCAGAAACACCACCTATGTCTTATGTAAATTCTTATTCTGAGTATGCTGAGCAGCATAAAGTTAACGGAGCAAATGCGGATAATTCACATGTGTCTAACGATTATCAATTTAATCCAGTAATTCCCAAACAGGAACAAAACGCTCAAGGAAACAGTTACACTTCTTATACTGCAGATGCCCAGAATAACGTTTACTCTCAAAAACCTGTTCAATTTCCAATCAATCAAGAACAATCAATCGGAGATAATCGAAAGGAGCAAAGCAAATTCATTTCCTCGTCATCCGCAGCTGTTCCAACTAGAAATCATTATGAATCTGTAAATACATATAATCCAACTAATTATCAAGGACAATATGGCTTAAGGCAGAATCCTAAATATAATTCTCGGAAACCAATAATCAATCATAAGATTCAGGATGCCACGTATAATAATCATAGGCCAACGACAAAGTACATCGTCAGTAATCCTGATTCTGAATTAAGTTATCAGGCTGAAAATGTACAAGAAAATTTATTTTCACCAAATGGACAAATTAACAAAGAAGTTTTAGCTAAGTATTCCCCCGAAGCTCAAAATTATTTAATGAAAGTTTTCTCGTCAGGAAAAACTACGATAAAAAATAATCACGTAACTGAAGATACAGGAAACTATGCCAATACAGATTATTCTCATTTACTTAACTATAATCCATCGATTACACAATATATTAAGAATCCTTCGTCTATATTAAATGCACAACCAACATTTGTTCAAGTTGGTAATTCACTTGTTCCGGTTATTATTCTTCGAGTTGATGGCGCGCCGCCTATACAACCAAAAGTAGGATCTAATATTAATTTAAAAGCCCTGCTTCGCCAATATTTAACTCAATACGCAACTAGTGTATCTAAGGGAAATGAGAATACAAATTATAATTTGGGAAATGTTATGAATGTTAATGAAGCTTCCTTATCTCAGTCAAATCCAGTTGAAGACTTGAAACATTTAACCGAAAGTCTAGCTTCTTTACGTCAACGTGGATATCGAGATCCAGATTTTACAGAAAATTATACACGTAGTTATGTGCAACAATCGCAACCATCTTATCACGATAATAGCCAAGCAACGCAAGATTATTCAACTAATTATAATCGATTTGTAAAAGATTATCAAAAGATTCATGCCGGCCAGCAAACCAGAAAATCGCAAACGAAAGTGAAAAATGTACAGATTATTGAAGATCCCAGGTATCCAGGATATAAATATAATAACTAGATAAAAAATAGAATAAGAACGTTGAAATAGATTACATGTGTGACGATTGAAGATTATATTATATATTGAACATTATATTTCAAAATTAACAATTCTTAATGCCAAGTTACAAATGCCATTTTATATTACAATTATATTCAATAAATTAATCATAAATGTGCTCTTGTAATTAACAAGATGTATAATAGGATTTTAATTAAAAATTTAACGTCATTTTTTCCGTCTGTACATTCTGTATTCATTATTTTCGAAATTATTGTTTAGCGCAACAGAAACTATTTCACACTGTAATTGTGGATGGTTCACTGCAGAATTATTAAAATTATTCATTTTCATGATAAATTTCCATATCTATAAAAATAAATGAAATAACGCCAGTATTTACGAGTATTGAAAATTTTTATAACCTAGATTTTATAAGGTAGAATAAACCTTATTTTTATAATATTAGATAAAGAGTATTTTGAAAATGTAATTTTTAATAACTTATGTGTCTTAAGATTTTATAAATTAATTATTGTATGTTATACTTCTCATAAATCTTATTGCGTCATTTGGAAAGATATAAATTGTTTTAAATTTTGAAAAACTTGTACTAAGTTCGTCTAAGCTTTAATTTAAATTCCGATGCATATATTTTTTTCTAAAACAGTTTTACAAAATTTAATAGCATTTTAAAAATAAAGTAAAGTCTAATTTATAGTTATTAATATATGAAGTTTCATATTAAACAAAATATTATACGCTCTGCAGTACATACAAGACAAAATATCTAACATTGTATATTGTCAATAATACTAATATTGCAAGTTAGATTTTTACGTTTATATGGTACTCAATCTTCATTTATCATGATTATTATCATTACAAATAACTAAATTCATACAACATTAATTTCGAATGAAAATATTGTCTCATACATTTTGTCGTATGTGATATTATCAAAAATTTTCTTCATGGAAGCTACTAATAATTCATAAATAGAGAATAGTTCTACAAACGGTACCTGAATTCTTAAACTTAATCTTTCTTTTAAAAGATTAATATACGTTTAATGTATAAAATGTGCAATATTGTATGTACAGCAAACAAATTGCATAAAATAATTTAATAAACATTGAATAATTTTAGATAATATGTTTATAAAATTAGTAATTGTAAGTGATTACTATACAGGTGATGATTATAATTCGCCAAATTTTTATACTTCACAAAGGTACCTTATTAAGCATAAACCTTTGTAATGTATATTTATAAATAAGAATTTATACATAAGAAATTTTGTATTTGAATAATAAAGTTTCATTATAATGAATTAATTTTTTTTATACGTGTTTTTAATTATTTCACTGGCCATCTTCTCGTCATATATTTAAATAGAAAAAAAAAACTTTTGTTTACTGTAATTTTGAAATAATAAAGGCTACATTAGTTAATACATAATTTTATATTTTTTAATTGGTTTTAATCTTTTCTATAATAATTTTATAAACCAATCATTGCGGGACTTATACGAGTATTCAATAACAGCATATGAATATTGACGTGTACTTTCACTCATACACGTGTAGACTAAATTATAAAAATTAATTATTTATATTATTTAAGTTTGTTTTATATACGATAAAATGCGTAGTACGTCTAAGCTTCGTGTATTTTTAATATTAAAAAGTCAGTGAAAGTAAGAAATCACAACAAATTATAAGTTTTTCATAATGATATATATGCTGTATTGAATTTCCTTTTATAATTGCCAAGTAATTCCAAGTAATTAAAATTACTTTAAATAATGCTAATTTTTTGCAACATAAATTTTTATTCTACTAAAATAATCTATGTTTTTTCGTCAGTATTTATTATTAATATTTTTAGTGGTACACTAACCATTTGAATTCATTACTTAATAAAAATTAAGATATGTATATATATATATATATATATATATATGCAAATTTTCATTAATAATATGCGAATCACACATAGTACTCAATGATTATCGATAATACATATACAAAGTATTCTAATTAGGGTTAAATTAGGTAAATTTATAAAGATTGACTTAGTTATAATCATGGACTTTAAATTACCTTATACTCAATGTAAAAAAAATATAATAATATATACGCTCTATGATTTTCTCAAGTGAGATTTAATAATATCTTTTAATTTTGTAGCAATTAGCCTCGAAAGATATTAAGGGAAATAGAATATTATTTATAAACTATACATGTTCATTCTGGGGAAAATGTGTGCACTTAGCCATTTGCTTAATTACTTTCACGTTATAATATGCATATACACTTTTATGTTTGTCTATGCTTTACTGTTCGTTCTAACATTTTATATTAAGCAAAAAAAGTAAATTGATAAAATGAACAATCAATTGTCCAAATTTATATTTATTTATAACCCTTTCACTAATCTAATGCGTAAATATGAATATGTAAATAGTATTTGATCGTTTTTTCAAGTATATGAAGGTTCAACGAAAAAACTGATTACTGCAAACTACAATACGATAGTAGTAGAAGTTAATATTATTATTCTCTCACATGTTTCATTTCAAATTTTATAGTACGCGTATTAAATATGTATATATATATATATATTTGTATAATCGCATGACGGGGAAACAGTGTTATTTTTATCTACGGTTTCATCTGTGATAAATTATTTTTCGTTATAATTGAATCAGATTATTAATTGATTTTAAATTATTTTATGATCTATAAATATATTTATATAGATTTAAATATAGATTTCATATTTATATCTGTGTCTTCGTAGACTGTATTTTATATTAAATTTGTAAAAAGAAATAAATTAATTAATTACTTTACTACCTAATAAACTATATGTAAATTCATTATGATTATTTAAATAATAATCTTCCTGATTTGATATTTAATAATTACAGCTCAATACTTGTATAATCATTGAATGGACTTCTTTGTAATATACGTCATCTAATGAAAGATCAAAATTAATATATTAAGTCGCACTCATAAGATAACATGTGTACATAAGTAATCTTGCGTAGTTGAACATATCCCAGAGTGAAATTTCGCACGTGCAATCGTGAAAGATATTAGGTAGATAGAATTCAAGTGCAATCCGCGCAACCTTGGATTGTCTTTTCCACGTGCTTTTGCGGTGATAGGCAGAGCATCCAAGCATCGAGCATAATGCGTGTGTTTTAGAGCGGATACAAACAGCAAATGAAAAAGTAATGTCCAATGAGTCTTAATGAATTATATTAGGCTTTTTATGCTCATTTTAAAACTTTTATTTTGGTGTGTAGCAATGAGGAAAAAAAAAAATAAGTGAAGACAATAATTTTAGGTTATGTATTTTAAAATTAGAATATAAGTGATTGTTGCCGTGGGAATATATTTTATTTAATTTTCATTTATGTCGAGTGGTTATAAATACAATAATCAATATTTTAACATTTGGAAGTACCATAATTTGTGATCGACTACTGCATAATGGATAATGAATTTTTAAATAAATTCTTGAGGCATCGCTCCTTAATGTTCTTAATTTTTAAATCTTAAAAAATCGGTTAAACGCAATTACTGTTAGTTACCAATAAAGATATTACAAAAGTCTGTTGAGCAGCATTTATTTATTTAATATTGTTATAAATTTAGAATATTATAAATGCTTAATTATAATATTATCTTTGGTGTCTTGTTGTAAGGTTTATTATTCGTTTCCTTTTATAGATTACTATTTTTACATTATAATTTTTAACATACTTACGATTACTTAATTCCGTAGATTTATTTACATTCTTTATTTAATTTTCTAAATTAATATTAATTTTAATAGCATATTTAATCTGAAATAAATTAGTCGTCGTTACTAAATACGTAAACTTTCATTTTCAAGATGTTACTTATAGTTAATAGCTTACAGTTAAGTACAATTATAATATATAATATATCAAATGTATAGTATATTTATTTGATATATTGAAATATCGTAGTCTTATATCGTAGTTTAATAAGGAATGGAGTCTAGATCTTTCCAGTACCACAATAAATTATCTGATAATTACGCTACAACTACCAGTGTACTTTTAAATTAGATTTTTCGCACCTTAAATATATAGTGTAGTACTCCTCGCATTTAGCAGTACATATAATACGATTTATGTTTCAGTGTTTCTTAAAAATTTGAAGAAAACCATTTTAGATTGAAGTTTATCAATATTAATAATAGTACATTATAATATGGCCTATAATATAAAATAAACATCAGTTTCGTTTTCTGTTATAGCTCTAATGTGCATCAAAATGTTTATTAAATATTTATGTAAAAAACATGTCCAACTATAGTAAATAAAATAGTGAAATTACAATTTTAATTATATTTGAAAGTATAAATTTCCCTTTTTTAATACAGAATATGTATATTTATCTTTAATATTATAAAAAAAAAATTATTCACTTTTACTAATTCTATGTTGCAACGAATAAAGAATTTTTTTATTGGGAGCACAAGCTAAAGCAGATACCGGACAAATCGTAATTGATCATGTACGTGTAATTTAATACGAAAAATATGAAAATGGAAAGTCAAAATTATTCTTATTGAACAGATATCGAAAAAAAAATTAATGACTCTTATAATCAACTCTTCTATTTTAAACAGGGAAAGTAGGTAAAACTGTAGAAATATAGGCCAATACATATTCATGTACATACATATAAGTAGTTGCATCATACATATGTATACATATTTCTAAGAAAATTTAAGAAAAAATATCTGATCTTGAATTTTATTTATTGATTTATTATTAGTTTTTTTTTTCTCCAATAAGATGTAGGAATTTTCATTTCACTCTAATTTCGCACTATATAATGATTCGACTGAATTATATGTATGCGCAAGTATCCTTGCGGACAATATTTATCCAGCAATCTGGTAGCTCGCATGTTGTAAATGAAAGTATCTTCTACGTGGTGGCTCTCTTCGCTATCCTATAAGATAATATTTAGAACGAAATTTTTCTCTTGGTTACCAGAGTGTATAAAGAAAATTGCGCATCCACTATGCGGCTCAGTTATCGTGCGGAGGCTCGCCACGCAACAGGCTTCGTCTGAATAGCATAGTAGTGAAGGATCACGCGTTTTATATCCTTGATCTGTTGTCTTATTCTATTTTCAATTTTTGGATATTTGCAAAATTTCGCGACCAATGTGTTCGTGCAATTGCAGTGACCCGTCTCTACTGGAGAAGTAAAAGACTCATAAGACCGGATTTGTGATTTTCAATCAGGGTCAAAATGATCTTTCATGCTGTCAACGTAAGATCTTAAATTTTTTATATCGTAAAGATCTCAATATATTTGTAGAATTGGACCTACTCGTACTCGATTGAAAATGTTTTGAAATTTCGTAATATAATACTAATGTCCAATTTATCCATTTGAGATATATTTATTTATTAACTCATATTAAGCATAATATTATGTGCATTAATTTTCTACTCACGTAAAATTGCACTTTAATGAAAGGGAATAATATAATGAATATTATTTTACAAGAATCTATGAATATGATCGGTTAATAATATATCATATTTTCATATCATTATAATATTTTAAAGAAAAATTAAAATTTCTAAAGTAACAAAAACAAAATATAAAAAAATTAACTAAGGAAGAGATTATTAGCAAATACAATTTTGTATTTTTATATAAATGTAATTCGATAGATTTCACTTAAAAAAAAAAATTAATTTATAACTATAGAAATTTATCTATCATACAAGGACTTATTTTATCACAAATAATAACAAAAATAAAATTAGAGAAATAATATTAAAATAGCAAATAAATAATTATTTATGAAAATACTTTAACTAAAATAATAGATTATTTTGAGAATATAAAACAGAATGCTAACAAATGATATATCAATAATATATTCATACATATAATAATATAAATATTTCTAAAGTAAACCAAAGTAACATTGATTAATCTTCACATGTACAGTCATCGTATACTATTATATATAATTTAAATATACTTTTGAATTATTTAATGCTTTACTTAAATATTGTATAAGTTTTATTATTATTTTATTGGAATATTTCATTTTTTTTATGGAGAAAAAATTTGTTTCCTATTTTCCGTTGGGACACCAAGCTATTCTAGTTACATGATTGTACTTATAGTGTGTTAATAATATTGATAAAAGGTGAACATAGAACAGATAAAATTCATTGAATTAAATATTTCAAATTGATAATATATTTCAATGAAATAAATAAAATTATATATAAATAAAATTGATAAGGTATTGTATATTTTTAATCGGCATTTAAAACGAAAAAGAAATTTCTTAGAGATTGTTTTATATTTTAGTTGGACATAATTTATAAATTAATTTTTACATAATATAATGTACATAGGTATAAAAACATAAAAAATTATTACAAACAATAGAAAAATTATTACGATAAAATGAACGATATTTTTTCTACTATGATTTTGCAAATAATTAATTTCTAGAAGAGCGAGATCTAGGACTGCTTGTAATGGCAATATAATTCATATATGACACATTTTACTATTTTTTAAATCTTAAATTCGTTTAACGGTAAATTTGAAAATATTCTATAATGATGAAATTAGAAACAAATTTTTTCAGCTATAATTTTAATTCCTTCCATGTATTTTATAGAAAAATATGCGTAAAAAATATTCCAAACTGATATATATATATATAATTTATATATATATATATATATATATATATATATATATTAGTGTTCGATTGAGATAAAAATTAAAAAAAAAATGTTTTGTTGATTCAAAATTAAAAGTTTTAATAGTTATATGAGAATACTAAGAATATTAAAAAGAAAAAAGAAAAATAGTCTTTCGATTAAATATGAAAAATACAATGTAGAATTATTCTAAATTACTCTGTTTAAAAACATATAAAAATTTTCAATCAAATATAAATGTATCACGAAATACATGTTTATATATAGGATTTGTAATATCAATGATGATTGTAAACTTATGAGAAAGTTTACAAAGTTTCGGTTTCATGCACATTTAGTCCTAATTTGTATAGCCTGCATGTTTGCTCACATTTTACTTTTCTAGTCTGCTTTTCTCTTCTTGGCCATTCTTTAACTTTCAACTAATCTTAATACATATTTTTTTAAAAATAAGTAACTACTATAATTAGTTAAATCAATTATTAATCCCTTCTTATTTAGCAACAGAATCATTAATTATGAAATTTTTTAAATATGTATGAATGACATGATTCATAAAAGGTAAATACGTGATTTTTAATTTTTTTATTCTAGGTTCTACTTTTTTTATTTCAATGGCAATCTATTGGATGTAAAAATATAGAAAATCTTTCTATTGAAAGAATTCTTGATCAAGTAGCGATTCCAACAAACATTATTAACAATTTTTTACATAAACCAGCAGCATTACCATCGCAAACTATTAATCCAAATGAACGAATTGATACTTCGGTGGTGCATTATGAAAATTCAAATGGCTTTATACCTTTAGTAGTTTCAACTCAGTCGTATGAACGTCGAAAAGATAAAAAAAATATCACTAATTCCAGCATTGACACTTTAGATGAATCAAATTTAGAAACGAAAAATCCTTTAGAAAATAACCAAAGTTTTTTAAATTTACCTAATTCAAGCAAAAATCGCAGATTGTTTAATGAAAGAAGCAATCAAAATGAATTTGAATTATTAAAAGTTGGCAATGAGACGCCACCTATTGCTAATTATAGTTCATTTTTTGAGAATTCCCAAGAATTTTCGTTGCCCGATACTTTTCATGTAAATACAAATTTAACTAAGTCGGTTAAAGTTAAACGACGAGAAAGACGTAATCGGATAAAAAATTATTTAAATAGACATGACTCTATAAATAAAAATAATAGACATCAGCTACATAGTGGACCCAACGAGCATAGACAAATTAATATTAATCATCAAGAAGAAGAACAGATTTATTACAATCCAGAAATAATAAGAAATTATTATTCGCAGAAGACGCTTTTACCGAAAACTAATCATAATGCATTAAGTATAGAAACAGCAAACTTACAATCTAACGGTAAAACGGAAAAAAAAGAAGAATATAATATGAGAAAACCAACACCTAAACAAAACGAGCAGATTTTGCAATTTAACGATCAATCTACTGAATATATTACTTCTACTTTAAATCCTTATACAAATTCAAAAAATAAAATTGATTCAACAAATTTAGAAGAAGGAGTGCATAAGCCACTATCACACGTTGAATGGATGAATAGAAATTATGAATTTTCTAATTCACGTGATTCTTCGGAAGAGAATTCAGATTATAGCGATGAGATCGAAAAATCGCGACGAATAGAAAAGACAATTAAAGAACGTCCTCGTCATTTTAGTTTATTGAGGAAAACACCGAAAGAGCATAGGCAAGCATATGTTAATGCGTTTGATGATCAAGGGAGAAAGTACTCTCGAACACGATCAAAATCGAGGTTGCGACAAAAGCCAAGACCAGCACAACTGATAAAAGATGATGATAAAAATGAGAATGAAGAAAGTAATTCTAATGAAAATACCAATGTAGCTACCAATGAACAGAATTCTAATAAAGACAATGCTTGGAATCAAATTTCTCCAAATGTTGAAGTATCTCGCTCGAACAGCTTTGAAATTAATCAAATCGAAAAACCTAAGCTTCATATTGTGCCTTTGAACCTTTTGTCAAATTTCGATCACGCCACAGCTTTAGATAATAGCCAAGGATTCGATATTACAAATGCTATGATTACTGGCTTTGTTCCTGAAGGATCATTAATTAGTACAGTCGCTCCTTTGCTAAGTTCTTCTGCAAATTATATTATCTCGAGTACAGCAAAACCGCAACTAGATATATCAACAGAAGCTGCTGACATTATAGTCGGTCAAAGCTCATTTCACAATCCGGTACAAACTGTATTAAATCCTAATAAATTGCAGCAAAATCTTTTTAATCATTATTTACAAAGTACAGTCGCCCCTACAGTTTTTGCTATTACTCATCATCCTGATCATTCGACTTCGAGTATAATACCAAATCTGCAACAGACATTGGATAAAATACAATCATCCTTTCCAACGAGTCAGCAACTTATAACCAATAAACCGATTCATCAATCTCTTGCTAATTTATTGCAAACAGCAGAGTCGAGTGTAAATACACAATCTTTAGTGTCGTCTAACGCAGCTGAAAGAAAAAAATTACATTCGCAGCGAATGATTCAACCAACGACGAGCCGAAGTCACACAAATATGTTTGAATCGAAGAAGAAAAAATTTAACAGTAATAGTGGTGAATTTCTAGCATCAGCAAGTTTATCTGTAGATGCAAATGTAAAAGACGATAATAGCAATATTAACAGTAATACAAAAAGTGATAATAATTTTAATTCTCAGAGTAATCAACAGATAAGTGATAATTTTAATACTTTATTACAATCTACCATGGTTCCAGCTATTTTACACACTGGAATTGGTCTGATTAATAATCAAAATCAACATCTAATAACGAATCCACTTTTTTTAACAAATCCGCAAGCAAATCAGCAATTAATTAAAGTATCAAATGCTTTGCAAAATTCAGTAAAACAATTGCAATATGACATACAAAATAATCGTTATCAATTGGCTAGTATTCCGGGAATTGATAATAATGGAGCTGCGAGTAATGCTGTTGGCATAAATCATAATTTCATCAATCAGTTGCAGAAAGCACAGTTACCAATACTTGGCACAAATAATGTCGAAATCGTTAATCCAAATTTAAATGCAAATCCATATTCAATAAATCAAATTCCCGCTGCATTAGTTACCACACCAATTCCAATTGTCACCACAGCTGGCTTATTGACAACAAAACAATTTTTGGCATCAACACAAGAGCCCGTGGTAAGCTTACAAAATTTTGTTAATTTCTTAACTCAAATAGGTACGAAGAAGCCAAATCATCATTCACAAATTAATTTGTTTCACAATTCACAGGATAATAGACCACTCTATAATCCAATAAATTTTCTTCCAAATTATGAGCTTATAAGAAATCAATCTTTTTTGAATAGCAACATAAGAAATGACAATAAAAATTATAATTTTATACCGTTAGTATCGATTGGAAATCAATATAAAAATTCCCAAAAAACCGGAGATGACTTTAAAGATAAACATAGGCTTAGCTTGGATCTTGAAAAATATGCAGAAGAAATGTTCAAAGAATCGTTAAGAACAATTTATAATTCTCACAAATGGAATAATGATCCTCCATCGTTAAAAAATGTAAGCCTCGTTGATAATTCCGATTTTGCAAAATTACGAAATGAATTACTTCGAATAAAAAATAATATGCGAGATTCAAAGTTTTCAACAGATGTATTAGAAGCTCATCATACAGAAAATAAAATACGAACAACGAATCCTGGATATGATTATAATAAACCAGATTCATCGTTCGAGCAGCATAAATACGGCAATAAGCCCTATTCTGACGTAGCGAAAAAGCCGCAACATCATTCTCACCATTACAGGCATAAATTTAAAATTAATGATTTTTTGACCCCACCTAAGATCAATTCTTTTGTTTCAAAAAATCCTTTACATGATAAATTACCAAAGAAACGACCTAGTCAAGGATCGCGTTTAAATACTAGACCGCGTCCAAGGCAAGGAGTCATATCTTATAAGTCCAAAGGTACCGAAGCAAAGGCAAGCACAATCGCAGGATATAGATATCCTTTGCGCTTAAATCAAGACAATAGTCCATATAGTCCGACAAATTATAACCGAGATTTACAATCTTACAACTATCCGTCGCTGATTGGTTCAATTTCAGAAAACGATAACTACAGAACGTCATCCGATTACAGCTCGTTAGAAAAGGATTATTATGATATTAATCATCCGCGAACACATAACTTATTTGGTCTTCTGATGAAAAATACACAGTTACCTCCAGGCAGACCGAATAATTATAGAAAACAGGATAAAAGTGGTGTATCAATGACAGGAGAAAATAAATGGATCATATCGCAAGATCATGAAAAGGGATTTCAAGATGTTTAAAGTATATTTATAGAATATGTAATGTAGATAATCGATTTATTGATTAACTATCTTCTGAATATGAGCTTACATGAATAAAAAAAAAAAAAAAATTATAAAGAATAAACTGATATCAAAGAATTTTCAGTCATTAATGATATAAATAAAATATATTATTAACTAATAATTTAGAAGATTTTTATCTGATTTTGAAAATTGTTATATATTTATTTCCGTATGTAATTTAATACTTAATGAATTACAAATTAATATTATTACTTTTACACCAAGTAAAATGTATATTAAATATTCATATACATGTGTGTGCGTGCGTGCGTGTGTGTGTGTGTGTTTAATGTATTCTTATGTAAAACATAATTATTCATGGGTTCTTAATGCTTCCAGTACTTATATTTTATTATTATTTTAATTAGTTATCATCTCATATATACATTAATTATATTTTATTAAACCGTAAAGGTAAAAATATACGTAATAAATTTTAGTTATTAATTCAACAAATAATTATAACATTATTATAATTATAATAATCAATTTATGTCAAATAAATTTATAAATCAATAAATTTATTAGTAATTACGATAAAAATTATATTGTAAATAAACAAATCTAATAATATATTTTATACGTTGAATATAGTGACTTATTATTTTCCATTCTATAAATTAAATTGAATGTTCTACAATAATTAATACATTTTTATTTTGATGTTTAATAGTTCTGTGAACAGATAAAACTGTTTTTATTATTAATTATATGCATGTTATTGTGCAAAATTTCTGAAAAATCAAAGCAGCTTCAAAAATTACCGATGTAATTTTAAATTAAAATATTTTCTAGTAGTTTTATGGATATATAAAGGATATATATAATTGTTATAATTAAATTTCATTATTAGATATATTTGTCAAATATTTTAATTAATTGTTTTAATCTATTAATTCATAATGAATGGGAATAAATTTATGAAGGTTTTATAATATAGATATTTTTATTGTTTGTGATATAATAATAAAAATGAAACTTAGATCTCGAACAATATGCAGAAAAAGTATAAAGTTAATAATAATTTATAATTCGCAGAAATAGAATAATCATCCATTTACGAAAACAAGTGATTATATTAAAAATTGTATATTTAAAATGTGATTAATATAAATTTTTTTTTTAATTATTACATGTTTAATTTAGTATATGTTTTATTTCTATATATAATTCTATATATTTAATTCTATATATTTTTTTTTCTGTATATATCATCATATATATATATATATATATATAATATATGAATTAAGGTGAAATTGTAGAAGATTGAATTAAATTTTTTATGAATTTTAAAGACTATATACAGTTATTTTTATACAATAGCGATCAGTGAGAAAGCTCTAATGGAGCAGACAAAATATACGCCAACCCACAACTTTTTTTACAATATTATCAATTTATCATGCATTATTTATTTGGAAAATGGAATTTTTATTATAATATTAGATAAGAAGAAGAAAGCCCATATTATGATTTTTTAATATAATCGGACTATTAAAACAGTTTTTATTAAAGGAATGTAATTTATAGAGTTAAATATATATTTCTAACATCTTCAAATAATATTAAAAAGTATACTGATTAAAATTGCAAATTATTTTATTCATATAATGTATTATGTTAAATTCGTATAATTAATATTTGGATTTATTATTTTTGAATATTTTGACAAACCAATGTGTAGTAACAAAATTTTAACAAAATTTGTTTTATGTTATGTATAGATTTAATAAATTCTCTAAAATTAAGAGAATGTTAGAAAAATCTTTAAAATTTTATCATATAAGAATCGATTTTACTAAACAATAATTTTAAAGTTATCTAAAAAATATAAATATATATTTATGTCAATTATCTCTAAATAAATGCTATAAATAAATATGTACAAATAACTGTCAAGTTTTATTTACTTTCATTACAATTGTATCTTATTTTATGAAACAATTAAACATTATGGAAAAATAATGAAATTATATTGAAGTATTATTAGCAGTTCATTATTTATCTTAGAATCAGATTTGTATTTTCAATAAAATTATTTATTGTATGAAAGTAAAATATTTTTATTTCGAGCAAATAGATTCGTTCATATAATTTTCTTTAAAATGATCATATTCTCTGATTATTAACCGCATAATGTTATTTATTTATTAAATATAAAAAGATTATATGGTTTCAGCCTCCACGAGGCAATAAGAAATTTAGTCTCTATCATTAAGTTCGAAGGATCGGCAAAAATGCCAGTGACGCATTGATTCAAAACGCTGGATAGTAGCGGGTAACGATGGACGTTAAAGAGATTAAGTTTGGTTATTCTTTTTATAGCTGTTTTTATTGAATTTAGAAAAGTGTAATCCGTTCCATTGTTTCGCATGAATAAATACAGAATATAAAAGAGCTCAAGATGCCGATGCAGTATCAGTTACGATTATAATTTGTTCTTCGTCGAATCGACCTGATGGATAACATGTTGGTACGTGATGTTTTTGTTCCAAAGCTTTTGTTTAATTAATTGATATCACAATTAAGTGTTAAGTGAATAAAAGTGATTCATTTAATTAGTGATATAAAACTGTTCAATTTTATTAATGGCATTACTTATGAAATTTTATTTTTTATTTGTTTATAATTTTCATTTGTAATAAAATTAAAAAATGCTGATATCTATGAAGACAGATATATGAATAATTCTTTAAATTTCCAAGATTCATTGATTTTTTAATCTAGGCAAACTATAATTATATATTGAAATATTTATATATTTGTCATAACAGATTTCCAATTTTAAGATATCAATTTTAATTGTTTTCATATTGAATTATTAATTAAGACAAATCTTTTAATAAAATTAATTTTTTTTTTTTTTTTTGCATGAAAATCTAATTTACGTTACACGAACTACAGATTAAGCAATTGTTATTTCAGATTCGATTGATAATTATTTTCTTTGGTCTAGTAGTGAGGTTATGTTTAGCCAAAGAGAATGATTCTGTTTTATTAAAAAACGATAGCATCGATAATTCGTTATTAAACTTAGAAGTATCACATAAATCAAAATCGAAACGCGAACTCAGTGAATTGGAATTTAATATGAATCTCTCTGATGGTTCTAATATATTTCACGATAATAAAATTAATAGCCTCACTAATCATAAAAATGATAATATAAACGGATTTATGACTCCCACATCTATAAAAGTAAAGCGTAGTAACTCTCAGAGTCTTGGGACATACGATCAAAACTTCGAATCTTCAAATTATCATTTAGCTTCTCAACCAACATTAAAATCTAAAGGAATTGCCAATCATAATAAGGATCAAGATGCTTTAAGTCAGGTTCATCATATTACCTATAGTAATCAAATAACACCCCCTTACTTTCAAAGTTTTTTGAATCAGCCAAATATTGCAAACAAGTTTAATACCATTTCCAGAGGAACAGAACATAAATCTCTCGCAAAACATCAATACAAATTTCATCCTGAATATACTGAATTTCCTTCTAGTGTACCTGTATATCATTCTATGGTACAAATACCTATCCAAACTATCACTACGAATCATCATAATCCAATCCAACAAGCAGGATCACAATATGCTCCATATACGGCACAATTAGTACAGAATTTAAGGGCTTTAGAACCCGTTTCCAAGAATTTCACACCATTGAACCGAAATATACATCAGCAACCATATCATCAGCACCAATTAAACACCTATTTCCAGAATATTGATCATCAGCCTTTCAGTAACGTCCAGTATTCAACACTTCCGAAAGTTGAAATAAATGGTAAGAAAATTACACTGCCAATTTTACAATTGCAAGCTAATCAACAATTTCCCGGTTATGTTCAAACAATCGAACCAAGTCCAGTGATATTTAGTTCTGAAAATGCTTTACAGTATAAAACTAATCCAAATTTTGACATATCTGTCGATTTTATTCAGCCGAAAAATATTAATAACAATTTGAGAACAAACTTAAATATACCGGTTACTTCATTACCATATAATTATGGTTCAAGATTGACACAAATTCTTCCACTTCGAAGCTCAAGTAGCACTGCGCAATTTCCGAAGTTTAAAGGAGCCAGTATTGGACAATTACCAAATAGAGCGTCTTCGAAATATCCCAATGATTATCAGGAGTTCAAATTACAAACTCAGTTACATTTTAATGGAAATTTAAATAATAAACCAAATAATATTATAAAACATGAGTTATATAAGAGACCGTTGGAAGAAATAAGAACAGATGTTGAGGTTATCAATAAAAAAAAACCAATACCACCTTTACCTAAAGATGACGACGATGACGACGATGATGAAAGTTCTGAAAATGGTAGCGATGAAGGTCAGTATTTGTTATTAAATATATTTAGAAATTTATTTCATTTCAATAATTGATTCTCTAAATTACATAAAACGTAGAGCAACAATAATTTTATTAAGAAGCAATATATATACATTTTTTTATTTTTAATTACAAATTATTTTTATAAGCGAACAAGTTCTCGAAGAATATAAATTAATGGAGTAGTTTATAAAATATATCAAATATATTTATCAAAATAATATAAATAATTTTATTGTAATTTTATTGTATTAGCTTATATCGATATCCATACATTTTTTTAATTTAAAATTTCATTAATATTTTTATTTGATGAAGATATTTAGGAAAGAAAAATATATACTTATTATATTGTAATTATATTAAAAATAAATTTTGTATTTTTGTGCTAACTAATTAGAATTATTTCAATATTGGTTAATATTATGTGTATTTAAACATTCATATTTTTTAGGATGGTATATTTTTATATTATATAGGGCAATAATAATACATATTTATTTATATTGATTGAACAAGAATAATTTTTATATTTATTATAATGTTAATTTCAATAAGAATTATTATATTGCATCAACTGTATAACAAATGACAATCATAAGATTAGTTTTTTTTTTTTTTTTCAAGATATCAATATTGTTAATAGTATTTACTCGTAATATAATTAAAATTGTAGTTGTACGAGATGGGCTAAGATTAATTTCTTATTTATTGGTAATTTATTATAATAAGTAATCAGTTGAGCAAAATCGTCTATAAATTAAATCTGCAACCGTAGTATTTTCCATTCAAAATATATATATGCAGATAAACTACTGTTAAATTAAACTAATTATTTAAGCTAAGGAAAATTTAAAAAGTTTAATTACAATTTTATACTTATAATAAGTTTAGTATTGACTATCATTCTCAATGTTTAAGCAACATGATAAATTCAATTGGTAAGTAAACATGAATATGATATATTTTTCTATGAGAATAATGGATATGAAAATTTAAAATATTGATTTGCTTCAAATTTTACTAAGTCAATTAATTCTATAATTATTGGAATAGATACTTATATTTACATAAATATTCTTACTCTTATACTAAATATAATAGTGCTAAATTAAATTATAATAATTACCTTTATAGATAATTTTTTTTTAACGAAACAAATGAAGCTTCTTTTATGTTAGATATAAATATATATTAATATAATATATCGTATATTAATTCAATATTAATAAATAATGAAAACACTTAAAAGATCATAGCTGAAAAATATCTGAATTAATTAATTGCTTAAAGCCTTTTAATAGCCTTATTTTCATATTGTACAATAATAAATAATTTTTAATATAAATTATAATAATATATTGATATATATTTCATGCATAAAATTAAATAGGATTGTTAATTAATAACACGCTACGCAATTTTTGATAACAGTAATTTTCATGATAATACCGATATAAAAAAAAAATTTTACAAAAAAAAAAATCTGTTTTAAATGTATTGTAGGTTTGAAAAACACGGACAGTTACTTTCCAAAATATGAATACGATGAATTTCCCGGATTATCACGAAAATATGTTAAATTATCTCACTTACAAGGTGATTTTTATCCATCTAAATTAGTTCCTCTGAGTGAATATGATATAAAATTTGATAAACAAAAAAAAATGTCCATACAAGTTAATAATGATGATGATGAGGAGGACGATGATGAGAATGTGAATTTGGCGGCCAAATATCGTTATCGTGTAAAGTCTAACTACGATGATGATGGTAATCTTAATGATGATGAAGAGCGTGATAGTGTTGAGGATGCATCTCAAAGTAAATATACAACGCAATCAACGCAAGAAAAATTCGAGAATCAATCTAGTAATGAAAATAGCGATCAAGAGGAGGATATACTACAACAAGATAAAAGGGAGAAGATAGTGGCGTTTGATCAGGCACAAAAAAAATATAATATAGAACTGGATAAAACATTCAGAAAGAAGCAGAATAAATTTAGTAAGATAAACATTTTTTATTTGCTAAGAAAAGTTTGAAAATAATATATAGATTTTACTATTTTTGGTATATTTGATATTTTTCTTATTTCTTATGTTCATTATACGCAATAAAATTAAATTACTACTTTTATTTTTTAATTGAAATTATATGTTTAATAATTTATTTTATATAAAACTCGCATATCTTAAATCATTATAGCACATATCATAATTTTGTAAAAAGAAGTAGAGTTTTTTTCAATAAATATTATAAATAATTAAAAATTTGATCGTGTATTATAATTCTAAAAACTAGATAAGAAAAATGTAATAGCAAATCAACAACGTTTTTTTAAATATCGTAAGGAGTCATTGTTAAATTTATATTTTTTACAGTTGAATATTTTTGTTATATATTTATGACTTGTGAAATAAATAGTATAATGATTATTCATAATAATCGCAAAATTTTATTCATGCTTCTGATTTTATTTCTGGCAAAACAATAATTATTTGAATCTTATTTTGATTTTACATTTTAATACCAGTACTCTCACGAAATACTTTATTCACATTAATATAAATTACTGAACCATTAAAATTCTTAATATAAAGTTATAATATTCTTAATATATATGTCTAATTCTATTTATAATTAAATAATATATAGTTCGTTATAAATTTATGATGAAAGTTTCTTAATTTCTTAATTATTAATTGATTTATAAATATATAAATAATAAAATTAATGCCTGTGGAATACCTTAATAATATGCAATCCTATATTTCTATTGCTTTTTATAAATTTTTTAATGTAATTTTTCGTTTATAAAAGATACTTTTTTTTAAAAGTAATGAAAAAATATAATATTTATTTAAGAGATATAGGGAAATTACAGATAAAAAAAATTGAAACATTTATTTTGAATAATGATTGAAAATTAATGTGTTTAGATCCGCCCAGTCACCAAATAAAGGACTACGTAAAATCAGAAGAAACTCAAGATCCTCCGTACGTTAAACATTGGATGGACGATAAACTTGAAATGCCTGGAAAATCATCTAAAAGGACACAATATAATTATCATGACGCAAACGATGACCCATCTATCAAAAGTTCCTCATTATCGAGTTCAATACGACACTTTCCGCAGAATGATAAATTATTTGATAGCGTTGGCCACGATAAAAGCCAAACAATATCAAAGAAAATTAAATCACCTCAAATTGTTTGGCAAGAGTCATATGGACTGAACGCTAACAGTCGCGTCGATGAAAGGGAGTATCCGACTCTACGAAAAAAGAAATCTGAAGGTGAGCGTTCATCAAACATATTTATTAATATGTAGTAAACTACGAATTACAAACAAATCATATATTTTATAGATAAACAAGTCTTTAATGTACAAGAAGATTTTATGACGATATTGTTCCAATTCTCATACTTTCAAATAACGCTTATTTAAAAATAATTTAAAAATTGCCTTACAAATAAATAATTTTAATCCTGAAATAACCATATATTTTTTTAAACTTATTATATAATTTAAATATTATGTTTTCAATATCTTTAGTGAAAATGAACTTTTATAAAAAATTTAATAAGTGTTATTATTTTTTTTTATGATATAATACTTATGACACAAGCGGTATAAAAAACAATAAAAACTGATTTATTTTTTAAATATAACTTAAATATTTTATATTAAATTCGCCATTTAAACTATTTTAACATTATATCGATATCAATGATTTTAGTTAACAACATATGTTTATGATTGAATTAAAATTTTAATATTAATTAAGAGAGTATATCATAACGTAATTGTTTAATTTTTTCGAGTATTTTGCTGCATAATAAGTATATAATTCTCCAATTTTAGTTTTTCAATTTTTTTCCTTGGCCTATGTATCTACTACATAGTATGTTAAGAATTATTTATTCCCTTCGATAATTGAAAATTGAGTTTAAATACGTTACTTCTTCATACTAATTTTTCTTTTAATTATATTTACATATTATTTAAGTTTCCAATTCATAGAAAAGATAATCATGTAATGAATTTTAATGTAATAACTAATTAATTTAAATTATGTTTTCTCATAGTGAACAAGTAATATTATCTGATACACATTGTAATAATAAGTTACTCAATATATTATTTATATATTTATTGAAAATATGAATTCATCTATCGTGTTCTTATTATTCTGGAATAGTTTTGAACATTTTATACTGAATTATTTTCAATGAAATTCAAAATAATTTATGAAATAGGAGTATCAATTTTTAACGAAATTTCTTTAAGGAATAAAAACGAAGGAACGAAGAGTTTCCTTCAAATAAAGATTTCTCTAATTATTGCGAAAATTTTCTTGAACAGCATATTTAATCTTCAATTTTCGTTTTCAATTAAAATTAGATATTAATAGCGTTAATTATTAAATAAGTAATTAATTGTAATGAAGTTTTAATGAAAGTTTCTTGAACATAAAAAAATTGTATCTAATTAAACGATTTAATCATTATAAGGATAAGGTATCATAATTTTTTAATAAAATAACGGATGTATGTAATTTGCAATAATTTTCAGTTCTCAATATATTAACATACTTATTCATTATAAATATCCTGAATTTCGATTGTATTAAAATGATAGAATGTAAAGAAAAATTATTACACTTAGTCTCGACATTAATTGCATATTTCAGTAATTCTATGGTTTTAAATTAGATTAATTTATTAAAATTATATATATATATATAAATACTGACATTGTGTATTTATGGTAACTACAAATTTTTATAGAAAATAGTTGGAGCCAAGATTGCTTTTTATTTAAAAACATGTCCATTAATGCTTGAATGATGCTTAATGTTACAATTTAGTGTTCCATAGTGTTCTTATGATAGACTCCAAATATTTCATATTTGAAGATAAATAAATTTCTACGAAGGAAATACGATATATGAAATATTATTTTTAATTACATATTTGATAAATACAGGAGATAAAGCTGAGAAATTGTTCAAAGATTTAAAATTATTTTTAATACTGATTATAAATAATTTTTTATTTTATCAATTAATCCGTTTGTAGGTAACAGAATTATTATTACATTTCTGTACTCGTGAAATTATACTTGTTCGAGTAATTAAATTTACGAATTAACACTCAATGTTATGGAAGAATATAAAAGATATACAGTTACAAGAGTTTTATGTATAATTACAAATAATTAACTTAAGCAATTAACAATCAGTTTTTCATTCGTTATCGTATTGAAACTCTTAAGTAGACTCATTTTTAAAGTCTTTATATATTATTATCATATTTAATACATAATTTTTGGAATTGACTTCATTTTTTGTGATTATGTATTAATATATATAATTTTATTAATATTTAATAATTAATATACATTATGTATAATATATATATATATATATATGCTAGATTATATATTATATTTTTATATTTATAAACAAATTTTAAACAAATTTTTTAATACAATAAATAAGATTTCAAATATCATATATATGATTAATTTAGATATTATCGAGAGAAAAAATATACAAAAAATAAATACTTAATTTATTTAAATGGCTCTGCTTACTTCATTCAAAATTAAATTTAAAGAATCGAATAAAATTAATTTTCATTACATATAATTTAAATTTCATTACATTTAATTTAAATTGTGATATATATGTGATAATATTTGTGGGTAAATATCCTTTTTTTATTTAATAATCTTATTATTGACACAAATATTCTTTTTAGAATTTAAAAATCTGTATGTAGATATAATTAAATATCCAATTTCATAAAATATTTAAACCTATTTTCAATAATTATATAAATTTTTAATCAATAATTTATAAATATCAGAATTTTCAATATATATAATACATAAGTAAATTATGAAAATATTATATACAACTATAAAATATTATATATAAATAGTCAATATTTCTTGACTAATATTTGGCATCAATAAATATTTTTTAACATAGATTAATAAGAAAATTGAACGAACAATAATTTTATGTGTACCGAAAATACTTAAAGAAAAAATGGAATTCATGATTTTAGTTTAAGAACAATAATTATTTTAATCAAAGATCAAATTTTTATTAAACGCTCTTTGTTTCCTAGATATTTGAGAAACCAATATCGCAAGTCAATGTCACAAGTATAGTAATTAAAATATTATATTAAAAATAATTCGATTCTGAAAATATATACATTTTTAAAAATGAGATTCTAATGAATAGCTTCATAATAAAAACTCTCGAACAATAAAAGATATCCAAAATTTCATTACGTTTACAAAATTCACTACGTCTTATAAGATTTTAAAATCGCCTAAATCTTGAATAATTTTTTCTTTTTGTACTTTAGATGTTATTAGTCCTGCAAAGACCAGAAAATTACCACAAGAACGTCTGGCGATATTATCCTTCAAAGCATCAACGAACGTGCCTAAACAACTAATCAAAACTGATAGTGGATCTTCGGCATTGAGTTCTCATCCTCTTTGGAAATTCGAGGATACCTATACTAGATCGTCTAAGCCAACTCCAAGATCTTTAGTTCAAATGAAACAAGATCTTTCTGATTCACTTTCAGGTCACGCCGAGATTTACTCGAATAGTAAACAAACTTAAACTATTCTGTACGATATTCTGCTCACAAATTGTTTTAATTAACAAATTCTATAGAGTGTGATTTTTCATATTTCGGAAATAACAGACATTACGAAAAAATATAGTACTTACATATTAATTTTCTTAATTAGATTTAGAAATTTATATTAAATATTTGTTATTAAAGTACATGCTTACAAAATAGTAGTGAAAAATCAAATTGGCCTATTAATTCTAATAACTTTTAAATTATCAAATAACTAAGGTTGACCAAAAACAGAATATCGATTATATTTTATCTCTACAATTGAAATAAATATTTAATAATGAATTATAAACAATTTTAGATGTAAAATTTACTTTATATGAAAATTGACAGTCATACGACTGTAAAAATTTATTCTAAACAATAATTATATTACGTTTTTATTTTAATAAAATTTAAAAGATATTTGAATATTGTTATAGATAACTTAAATGGTTTTTGCCAAAAAAAAAAAAAAAAAAAAAAAAATATATAGGTATATGTTAATTAAAGAAATTCTATTAACTATTATAATGGACTGATAAAAATTCGAAATTACTTTTCAATATTTAGTTACGAATAATTCAGTAATGCATTTGATATGAAAAGCTAAGTATATATTGTTTTTTTCTTTAAACAAATTTTGAATATATTTTCTATGTATAAAATAATTGTATTATTTCAAAATTAATTTTGTATTATTTTAAATTATTTCATTTTGAAGAAATTAATGCTGATTAATATATAAATTTACAGTATATATAATAACAAATAAAAGGATAGTATTTTCCTATATTAAATCGAGTCTTTTTTATTGATTTATTCAATTCATTGATCATTATAATATAAAAATTTTATATTAAAAAATATTAAGAATATTAAATTTTATACAAAATATAATTAAAAATTTTGTTATTTCTTTTCATTAAATTATAATTATATTAAAAAAGTACATTTAAAACTTATATGTAGTGGTATTAAAAGTAATATATCATTAAAAGTAAGAACATGGTTTGGAACATCGAAAATATCATTATTTTAAATACCAATAACAATTACTATTGAATAGTATGAAAGTAAATATTAAAAATTGAACAAAAGCTTATCTTGAAATTGAAATTGTGATTACTTCCGTAAATTCGTTATACGAAGGTGTTATTTTCTATACTTTCTTGGGCAGAATCTCATAGAAGTGGATCAATTTTCGTTACGTCATTCCTATATCCAATTTATTACATACTAAAAAAATGTCATTACTCCGTAAATTAAATAAATAAATTATATTTCTGCCCATTGTTCAGTAAATAGAGAAAAATTTAATAATTTTGCGATAGGTATATAAACTGAGATCCTAGAAATTCTACATCGCATTGTGACATTGTACACGAATTGGGCAACATGAATACATTTTTGATAGTGAGAAATAAATTTATTTGTTGTTTAATATTTCTCTTTCCATGATCTTTTGTTTTATTTTGTATATTATTCAAAATTTATTTTCAAAAGGCTAATATTATTTGTACTTAAATAAGTTTATAATTAAGCAATTAGATGTTCTATTATGAATATTTTCAACAATTTCATTTCCACTTCTTTACTCAAATTTAACGCAAGTTTTCTGATATAGAATATAGAATAAATATTTGAAAGTAAAATTCCGTGACAATGTAATGATAAAATTGAATAACGTATATTAAAGGTCTAATTGTCTAATAATAAAACGATAATTGCTAGAGATTTATGTTTTAATTTTAATTAACGTTACTATCATATTAAAGAATTAAATATGTTATTATTTTATATTCGTTTGAAACATGTATTTTGTGCTTTAACATATATAATAAAATATTTTCATTGTGGATCTTGATAAAAATTGAATTAATAAAAATACATGTGCATTATCAATATTCTCCTAGTATTCGAATAAAAAATTTATGATGGAATATGTTATTTTCAACAAAATTTAAATATTGATTATATAAAATAATTACAAAATACGTAAAAATATTGAAATAATTGGATTATAAGTACGTTGATTTCTACTTTAAAGATAGTTAGTTTAGAAAATGAAAAAAAATAATAATTTTTCAAAAATGAACAATAAAAACTACTTAACTTTTTTTTTTTATAATTCAATCTTATTGAAAAATAGATATTATGTTTGTAATTGCATTGTATATTATAAAATCAAAATTATTTAATTAGAAACTGTATTTAATAATGTTTTTTTTTTTTTATTTTATAAGTAATGCGTCTGAATAAACGAAAAGAAATTAAAGAAAAAGTAAACAATTGGAATTTTTAATTCGCTTTATTGAAGGGAAAAATCATTATTGTAAAATATAAAAATTGAATATAATTTTCTTTTATGTAAAAAAATATGTTTTAGTTTAAAAATTAATAATTGCTCATATTTTAAATAGTTATAGTTATAAATTAAATAATATATAAGCTCGTATATACATATATATCTGATTTTAAAATAATAACGAAATTTGATCACAAAAAGATTATTTTCACGGTGACTGTGGTTTCGGCAAAAAACGGAGAAAATTCATTGTCATCCAAAAAGGATAAAAGGGGTGTCAATTATTACGGGCAACCAACCTTGAATGTAGATTCGCTTAGTAGCTTTCCAAACATTGAATTCGGAACTGAAATTTGGAATCCAAGTGGGTTAATATCGCCTTTGTGGAAATCAGCTAACCTGCCCGATTTAACCCTCGGTAAGGTGCAACTCCAAGCAACGCATAATTTAGCTTTACAGGTAAGCTATGTGATCATTGATCTAGACAGAGTATTAACTTTTTTTTTTAACTAAAAAAGCTTACGTCAATGACGAAGACGGGCAAGTAAAGTCTCAATGATATTTTAATATTAATAATCTTTCGAAAATCGGTTTCCTTAACGATCACATATTCATCAAACAAGTAATTATTACACTTTGACACATTGATTAAAGTAACCTCATTATATTATTAAAGATGATCGAAAAATTTTCTACAAAACACAAAATGCGCTTGCAATCTCGGTCTGCTGTGAAAATTAATTAAAAGTATGCGATATACTTCACAGGCTTTGCACGATGCTCGATCTGGTACTCCTAGCATCGTATACTCTCCCGATGTTATACGAGCTATCCAATTCGCTAAGGAAGCTAATAATAATGTACATCTCGCGCAACAAAGAGTCGACGATGCTAAACAAGCCGCTATCCTTCAGCAGAGAATTGCTCTATCAAAGGAAGCCGCTGCTCGAGAGGCTGCTCACAGGTATTCACTAACATATTTTAGCATATATTTAGAAAGTCGATATTATACTTCTGTCCTAACTATTACTTTCGTAATTATTCGTAATAATCATACGCATTTAATGTCTCAGCACAATCAAATAGTTCACTCGTTAGTGGCATACGTTTAAATAACTCATTAGTCACTTGTTCTTTAATGAATTAGTATGGAGCGAGTGTTTTTTTTTTCTTCCTTTTTCTTTCCATTTATTGCCTATTTTAATATGAAAATTAATAAGCAACGTTTCTATGATAGTCAGTTTAGTAAAAGTTAGCTCGTCGCAACTTGACATACACCATTTACTTAGTGTAGGATTGCAATCGACCGTCGAATGGTGCCCTAAGCAATTCGCACCTCCTTAAATCCTCCATTATTAATTTCGCAATTAAAACTATTCACTATTGACTTTGCGAAAATCGGCACATTATTCGATGTTCCGTGCAAAGATAAACGGCAATGACAATTACGTACTACCCGCCCCCGATAAAAGCCATCCCACTACGCATATGAAAGATCCATGTAGATTAAGAAGATTCTCCTGACTTCAGATCGGCGGAAATTGCCACGCACGCGGAGTTGGAAGCCAGGACCTCGGCCAAGCAATTGGTAGCACTGCAGCAGAGACTCGCAACCCTCAAGGATTCCGTGGCAGCGGCGCAAAGATACGCGGCTGCTCGTGAAACCGCTGCGGCTGCGGCCATCCAACGCAATGCTGCCGACACCGCTGCCGAGCTGCGCAAACAAGACGTGGACCACCAAGTGATGCAGAGCGAACGCGAAGCCAAGGTTTGCACGACCCTTTACGTGTATACTCCTCACTACGGCGAGATGATGGGATTCGAGATGCTTTCAAAACATTAATCTGCATCGGTGATCGCACGTTGGCACTTTTGCCTTTAAGCAGCCCCTTTGCTGTTTCATCGGCAAAGGCGTTAATTGATTAAATACGAACAGTGAAGAATCGGTGGTACATTTTATTTCGACGAGTAATGCAAATTATTAAAAATATGAGGATTTTATATCACAATAGGGAAATTCAGCTAATAAGGAAAACAATTATAAGAAATTATAAGCTCTTGATTCGTATCGGACAATGACTATTGAGTTGAATAATGAAATTCTTAGTAAATCATACAATAATACATCGTCATTACTTTTTCATAAATAATAATTATGAATTTTAGTGAAGTTAGCTGTGCTAAGTATGCTAGTTATGCACAATTACAAAATGTATTCATCATATAATTGATAGACATGTGCGAATAAAAAGTCATTCTTTGAATGGGATACCTAATTAACATTGAAATTGAATTGTTTCTGCGCGATATTAGGTTCGCAAAAAGAGTCGAAGAGAATATTTGAATCACAATACCTTTTTATAATAAATAGTAATAAAGTATTAATTAATTTTTTCTATATTTCTTAGGCTAGGGACTTAGTGGCAGCAAAGGAAAACGCAATTTCACAGGCGTTGCACAATAATGTTGCACGAAAGCACGCACCTGTTCATCACCCTTGGGGTCGATAGACACAGATTTGCCTCTATGAGATATAATGAAATATAATTATACAGAAAATTATTAATTTTCTAGCTGCACATCAGTATGAAATTGAAATTAAAGTGCTCGGTGGAGGCCCGATATTATGTCTATCCAAGAAATTTAATTGTTTATGCCTACATTTTATACATACTTTATACATACTACATATATTTTCTAATAAATAAATATAATTAACAAATTTTATATATAATGTCTATTTTACTATTTACACATCTTCTAATAAATAATGTTAAATTATACTAGTTTAGACTCACAACAATATGTAAATATTCGTTACATCTTGGCGTATGTGTAAAAGTTTTAGAATTGCCTTTAAAAAGTACTGAACTATATTTAATAAACCTAATTATATTATTATTATTATTACTCTTACTATCATTATTGTTATTGTTGTTTTTGTTGTTGTTGTTGTTGTCACTGTATTGTTGCTATTATTACCATATATTTAAAAAATTCTACATGATAACTTAATAATTTCTTTATCAATTAGAATACTAATTAAATAAAATAGAACATTATATTTTCGTTTCCACCTCCTATATTCGAAGAACTAATAAGGAAACGAGGGAAATGCAGATGAAGGAAAAGAGAAAGAGCCATAGAGTATTATGAATAAGAGAGGAGGAAAGTAAGCGGATGCACATTACATTTCATACTTATGATGAAAGTCGAGGGTGAAAGTAGATGATCGCTCACAGGACTGTGTGATCTTAGAAAAAAAAATGATAATCGACAAAGATCCACACAAATAACTGTCACTGACACTAATCCGCTTGTTTTTAAATTTTTGTACAGTGGAAATTCATGATCTTGCACGACAGTTTAAATGATTTAAATTGTCCTTTAATATAGACTATATGATTAAGGAAACATTGCACTATATTGTGCACTGTTACATGATTTCAAATTCAATAGGCTAATAGTTCTTGTAAATAAATACAACATTTAAAATATCACAAACATAATAAGTTTTCAGGATTTTATTAAATTTTTAATTTCCTTTTAAAAATAAATATATACATAGAATTAATAAGTACATGCATATTTAATAATATTTGTAGAATCTTTTTTCATGAATTACAAATATTTATTCTTAATGTTTCACAAATATCCCATGTAAAGAAATATAAATACTTCGAAATATACAAAATACAATACTTGAATTAATTATAGTCAGGATTATTTCTTTGATAATACACTACGGATAAGTACTGGAAACTAAAATAAGAAAAATCTATATATATTTTTCAAGTACTTTTATTTTATCTGATTTCAATCCTTTCAAACATTCACACAACGATACATCAACATGGTATCTCAGGACATGCAAACAGCTTATATATGTTTTCGTGAAATTTATTTGTACTTAATTTTTTTCAATAAATTTCTATAATACTAAATGACATAAATTATTCAATTAAATATAATATTAAAGAATATAATATAAGGAAAATTCAAAAAAGGTGGATGAATGAAATTTCATTAAAAAATAACATTAAAAATTAATGTTAAAATTCGTTTATGTTATTTTTTCATTATTAATAATTAGACTACATGTTAAATAATATAAATGGCATAAATTTAATTAACTCGACAATGTATCGTATTATAATTTTATGCTAGTAATTATTCAGTCGTCCAAATTTATTATTTATAAGAATAAATGATAAATTTAGGGAAGTCTGAGACAAAAACATAAAATGATAATGCCTTTATTGTAAGAAATAGAATAGTGAAAGTATTTAATATTGTGTCGATCTCATGTTTTCGGAATTTAAGTAAAAAATATGTAAGGTCAGTGTCCAGTTACGTCTGAGAATGAAAATAATATAAGAAAGGGTGGAACGAACAGCAGCCGGAAACCTTTCACTTGATTTCCTATTTACTATATAATACTTCAATTTTTCGAACTAAAACTATTCTATTTCTCTTCCAACTTTTTTTTTCTAAAAAATATTTATATGGAAGTACAATAGCTTCCTCATTTATAAAGCATTTTGTATTAGATTTACAAATATAATAACCGTGTTCAACGGTTACTCAGTACCTTGAATACAATTTTTTAATTTTTATGAATAATGAAGACAATTATTTAAGAGTCTAATAATCCACTATGACCCCATAAACACATATGAATAGTAATTCATTATGTATAAATTAAGTGGAATTTAAATAGCAATAGCTTATGTTAGCAGTAACTGATAATTAAAATCAAGTATAAAAAAATTTGTGTACAAAATCGTGAAACAATAGTTTCATTTTAATTTATAGAAAAGTGTTTCCTAGTATTAATATATTTGTTTTAATATTCAGTTAATTAGAATTTTTATAAGATAGGACCTATTTAAATTTTATAGATAAATTGTTTTTTTTTTTTTTTTTTTTTTTTTTTTTTGAAAGATAAATATGATTTGACCATTGAATAAAAAAATTAATTTAAATGATAAATAAATAGTTAGCTAAAACTATATAAATAAAGAATATGTTTATTTACGGTCATCTTAGGAAAATGCGCCAAGATTATCTGCAATTCAAATATTCATATACATTGATATAAAACATTTATTTTCTTTAAATGCATTATAATAATAAATTATTAATTTATTTTTTATTTTCCTGGACGAGGACAAAGAAATTTTCATATCAAACTTTTTCTCTAGTAAGTATAATTTAAGCCTTTCACTGTTTTACCTGATAGATCATATCGATCACACAGGTCATGTCTGATCAAGACAAAAAAACGTAATTTCTCTTTTATCAGAAATTTGTTCTTAAAATACGTGAAAGAGTTGATTTAAAGTATAAAATTATATAAAAAATAGATAAATTATAATTATTCTAATAAAATTTTTAATATAAATTTCTTATAATTAACAATAAATCATATATAAAATATGATTATGTTAATTAAATTATGGAAAAATAATACAATAATGTTATTATTGTAAAATTAATTTTGCTAACGAATTTATAATTAAATTCAACTATTTATTATAATTGTCTTTATTCATTTTAATAGCTAATTCATATAAGAATATATAAAACATGTAATTTTATTAGAAAACTTAATGTATCGTAGAAAATAGAATATAATTAAATTATCAAATATCTATTAGTTGTTTACTTATCTACAATGAAAAATCTTATATTATACAGATACAATAATGGAAATCAATTACAAATTTTAAATAATACAAATTTTACAATATTAGAACCGCAAAAATATTTGTTTTTTATTTATATTTATCTGGCAATTTTCCAAAGTCAAATTTTTCACAAATTAGATAAAAAGCTATATCATTCAATTACATGTTATGAAATTATATTGAAATTGATACTATTAACTATTATGCATAAATAAACATGAATGAAGTTTGATGGAATGAGGAACTGCAAAGTTAGCAACTAGCATGGATGCGGAACTGGTCGATTAAACTCAAGAATCAGTTTCACTTGCTGCGGTGAAGAAACGATAAATTCACTTTTACGGCTTATCCTTGTACTTAGTAAGTTACCTGTATCTCCTATTCTATCTTTCTATTTCAAGCAAAGCTTAAACGATAATATTATTGAATAGGCATCTGATGAATTGGCAAATATTTACGGGATCTAAGTATATGTAACATCCCTGATCTTGTATGACCAGACGCATAACTCGTCTTGCAATTTCCGTCTTCTAGTTTCAAGTCTACGGCTACTGATCAAACATAAAATTATTTCAACGAATGTAACTAGTTTGACAATTATGTATAAATGCTTTACTACTAGTTCTTCGTGATTCTATAAAAATGTGAGCTTACGTCCTGCGACGCGTAGTTTCCGATCAATCGTTAGGCGATTCGATCGGTTATTATCTAGCAAGAGTTTTAAAATGCTATTAAATGTAAGTTAAAGTCATAGAAAAAATATTTCCAAATGAATATTATACTATGTTTACTAACATGAAATTGTCGAAATCGTTTAAAAAAAAAATTTGTTTATATTAAAACAATAAGATAATTATAATACAGTAATTTAAAAATAGAAAATAATTACGTTCACTTAGAAAATTTATCAATAAATTTACAATAATTTGTAATGAAAATAATGCGAATGATCTTTATTATTTAAAAATATTGCCAAGAATGCTTTATATCGATTTATTAATTATAAATGAAGTAATTAATATAATTCGCAATTCCTAATAAATTCCAAAATATAATAAACGTTGAGTAATCAATTTACTAAATGATCCAATTAAACATTTTGTTATCAATTTATATAATAAGCTTTTATAAATAATAGAATTTGGATTAAATAAAATAATTAATGTTTAAAATTAAATATTTTAGATTTGGACCACACTTATACTTTTAAAATGTATATCAATCAATTATGCGAGTGGTTTGAATTCGGCCGAGTGGCAGTAAGTAACCTAATTTAATAATTAATATAAACATAATTTAAATATTCATTTAGTATATAACAATAATAATTCAAAATATTATTGTATATAAAAAAAAAAAATACAAAGAAGAAAAAGAGAGAAAAAAAATATATATATATATATATATATATATATATATATATATATATATATATATACAAATTTTTCTTCAATCTTTTTCTTCTTCGTATTTTCATTTTTTCTTATCTATGATGTAAAAATATAATATTTCCAAGTATTTTATTTATTTGGAACAAGTCATAATAAAATTTTAAAATTCCAAATTGTATAATAGATACATGTCTCTTTTAATCTAAATACTTTAAACAAAATATTTGTTAAAGTTACGTTAAATTAAAGTAATAATTGTTTACTTCTTTACAAATGCATATTAACATTAAAATAACGATTAAATAGATCTATCTTAAATTGTCTAAAAGATTATACATTATTGAAACTTTCTTAGAAAGTTTGTATAAAAAGTTATATTTATATAATAGGTTTAATAATAGCAAAAAAACAAAAACAAAAAAAAAAACAATTCATTGAATAAGTAAATTACAATATTGGCTTAAAACAATATCAATATATTAGTATCATGTAAATAATAATTGAGATTTAAAATAATTATATTCAGATTCCTACATTTTTCATAGGCAGTATTCGTCAAATGGCAACTTAGATAGTAATCATTTAACTTATGGAGGTCAAAAGCAGGATCTTAGCTCGTGGGCATCACTTAGTGGTGGAGGATGGAATGGTCACATTAGTTCAGAAGGTAGAGGGTGGAATATACCTCAAGAGCAGATTCATCACACTCATACTATACCAATTGGTCACCACATAGAAGTTTTAAAACCGATTGCTGTACCAGTTTACAAACATATTGGTATAATATATGATTTATAAATTTACATGAAATTATTTCTAAGATATTTAAAAAAATATTATTATGTAGTGTATAGATCGAAACATATTATTATATTCCCTCTATACTACCTACTTAAACTATATTTTTACATGGTTATATATACTGTGACAAAGGGAATATTTAAACATTGCATATTTTACACATGTTTTTAACAGTTACAAAATAGCTTTAAATATTCAACGACTACGTAAATTTTCATAAGACAGTTATAAACAGTTAAGAATTTAAAATATAAAAGAAAAGTGCATCTATATACATTGTGTGATCGATTTAGTAGTATTTAGTAGATTATGATATAATAATAATAAAAAATAATAAAAAAATTTATCATTTGATAACTGACATATATATACATTTTATTATGAATTTCAGAAAGTCATTATAAAAGTTATTTATCGATAAGATTTAAAATTAAAATTAAATTATAAAAATAATAATATCCCATTAGCTTAATCCGCATTAATAAATATACACACAAGAGCATAGAAAAACAAATAAAAAAAGACACGTGCGCTCACTCATTCACACGCGCGGATACACACAGTCTAATCGTATATAAGTAGCACAAGATTAATTTAAGGTAGTTTTTATACATACAAGAAATTTTTATTTAATAGTAGTATCGTAATGATATTATTAATACATAATAGTTGTAATATTTCCCTTTCATACAAAAGAAAATTTTATTAGACGCATTATGATAATAATGTATTTTTTAGGTATCCCATTAGCCCAACCCGTTGGTATTCCAGTAACACACGTTAAAGCTATTGGGGTACCACAACCTTACCCAGTACATATACCTGTAGCTCACCCAGTACCCATACCTGTGATAAAAACTATAGCTACGATAGTGGAAAAAAAGGTACCGTATCCCGTTGAAAAAATCATACCGGTACCCATTGAGAAACCGGTACCCATTCACATAGAAAAACATATTCCTGTTCCTGTGGAAAAGCCGTACCCGGTTCACGTACCGATCTATAAGCCCATTTTACATCGACATAGAAGCCATGGTTGGGATCGCTAGAGACATTGACAATTAATATTTAATCATCGGGAAGTCTATCAGAATGATTAACGAGATTTTGGATAATGAACTGACTCGTAAGCCAAGAAGTTAAAACAATAATAATGTAACGTGCGATGGAATTATGGATTAAACAATAATTCTATCACTGAATAATAATACATTTTATATAAAAGTGTAAATATGTTGTTAATATTTTATATACAATTCATGTAATATGTTTGTTAATATTTTTTTTTCCAGTATATTTATTTCTTTTACATTATAATTCCATTACAATAAAAACAAAATATGTCAAAAATACACGATGAAATTTTATATTCCAAGTTGTACAAATCAACTAATTGTAAGAATTAATTAATAATTTAATAAATGAAATTATTAATTTACTAAATAATTTTTTTTATTAGTGGTGCGACAGCTACTATAATGTAAATGAAATTAAAGTTTTTTCTAACATAGACAAGATAAATATCATGTAGATAATTTTTCAACAACGAATTACTACGTTTACTCAACAGTAAAAAAAAAGAAAATTTTACTCGTGAAACTTTACATAGAAGTACACATTAAATAGATTTGTTTTTTAAACTTTATTATTTAATACAAGTGATAATTTTTCTTTAGAATAGTTATTTAAATTAAAAAAAAATTATTGATATATTTTTCCTTTTGATTAAGCAGCTTCAAACAAAATTTGTTTATTTACATACTTTTCTTACCTATTAATTTCATATATACTTAAAGATTTGATTTTTCAATGTATATTGTTAAAAAAAATAATCGTTTATAATTCAAAGTTTATTTTGAAGAAAGAATAATTACGTTTTAAAATGAATGAATATATTAAAAAGATATGTAGAAAATTATTCCTAATTTATTCTTTGATACATATGCAAACAAAAGAATAAATGCTTTTATATTATAAAGTACTTTTATATTTTCACACGCCTTTAATATATATTTAAGAACTAAAAAAATATTTCTATGTTAGTGCCTTAAAAATATTGGAACATAATATATTAATTTAAATCCATATTTACTAAATTTCAAAGTAACCCAGAAAATTTCAATTAATTTTAGAATAATAATGGTAGACTATGAATAGTTGGTAACTTAATTCATTATAAAGAAAGAAAGTAAAAGCGCACGTAGAGGAAGTAGACTGGGAACAGAAAATCAATAATGTAAAAAAGTACAATATTAAGGGATGCTGAGGTACGTAAGGTATATTTTCGTTTATCCTTGACATACGCATATATTTTATTAACTAATTTTTTATCACTTAAATATCAATACTACATCATAGCTTACTATCATACATATACATACTATCATCATAGTACATTCGCCAGCTTAACACATACATACAATTATAGAGGCTCTATACTCCGTTAGCTTTGCCTAAGATTTATAATCCCACTTTTTTTTTTGAATATAATACAAGAATGAATTATGATATATTTGACTTGAATTTATCGATCGTTCCGAATACATATATTACAACAGAGAATTGTTCATTTGTTTTGTGAAATCCGAGCGAGTGAAGCACGGTATTTGGAAATTTGTTAAGGTCCTTTTTGTTTAATTCATGTTTTTAATCAGTACTGTACGCCAAACAATACAAAAAATAGTCGTATAAATTGATTTTGCTTAAACGTGTTTATTAGGCCTAATTATATTTATTTAGATTGTCATCTAGATTAGGATCTAGATCGAGGCATCGCTAAATTGATTCATTAATCATCAATTTTTAATATTTTGCGGAATTACAATTCTTACATTACACAAATAATATATTTATATATATTTATTGAAAAAATAAATAAAAAATTATTACATTTAATATTTCTTGATTTACATCGAGAATATTTTAAAACTATATTTAAAGCGATTGCCTAATTTTTTTTATCTTAAGTAATCTTGATGCAATTTAATTATTGATGTTCCCGGTAAAGTCAGATAACAAAACTGTTTGGTATTTCATAGAAAGATATAATAATCTTGTTGTATTGTATCAATTACCAATTTGAAACATTTTGTATATAGCTTAAATTATTATAATTTCAATGTTGGTAATAACGGAAGATTAATAGTGGTAGAGATAAAAAGTTTAACTAACGCTGTTCTTTAAGATATAAATAAGGAATAATGACCTGTTAATTTTATAATTTACTATAAAAAATAAATAGATATTCATGTTTATTATTTAATTTCCTGATTTTTTAACGATGGATATATATAGCAGCGTATATGAAAACTTTTATTTTTGTATTGGTTTTTTATAAATGTTGAGTAGCTACGAAATAGGAGAATTTTATAGCTCGTAAAATCACAGTGTATTATAATAATTTGAATAACCTGATTTTTTCCAATATAATTATTATTTTTTAATTTCTCGCCTAATAATCTTTTATGTTTAAATAATACAGTTAATTATTTACAAATTCATCCTAAATTGTATACACGTAAATTGGCATAATAAATCTTTCCATTATCTAAAAAGTATTTGATGTTCAATTTAAGTCAAATTAATTTAAATGAATTCACAGTAATTTTATTCGTTATACGTATAAATTATTATACACATTTGATTAATTATATTTACTCTATATAATCAGTCCATGTAAAATTCAAGAGATAATATTTTAAAAACAAATATTTTACCATTAATTTGAATATATGTAATTCAATTCTTAGTTATTAATTTTTACAAAATTATGATTTTATCGCTGATTTCACTCATTTGATATATTCGCAAAATAAATGTAATTACTGGAATTACATGTGTAAACCAATGATTTTTTCATAACTATATACAACTATTGATAATTAAATATTAATTTGTAAGAACGTTTTAAAGAAATAATAAATACTTAGAAAGTATGCTGAATTTCTTCTGTCTTTTCATTTATTTCAATTGCTAATTACTAATTCTAATTTCTATGACTACAATGATATTTAGTATACTTTCATAATGAGTTTAAACTTAAATTTAGGTTTTATATATGTTACCTAATTTTATAACAGAAACATGTTTGTTCATCGTATGGACTTAATTATAAGTTATATGAAAAATATATTAATTCATTTGGGATCTCTTGTCCAATTAGGAATAGACGTATAAATACATTCGAGTATTTCATATAGTTTATATTAACAAATTATTTTGTAATCATTTAATAATTATAATAAATGTATAAATTTTATTTATTTACTGTTGCAATTTTATCAATATTTTTATAATGTTCATTATTATTTATAAGTGCAACTTCAAATGAAAATAATTATTAATTAAAATTTTATTATTTTATTGTATTATTATTCACAAATAACGTTTGCAAATGCATAAAAATTGTTTTTATAATTTTAACATTTCATTATTAAATAAAATTATTATAAAATATATGTATATATATATATAGATGAAAACAAGTGTATATTAAATGCATAATGTAAGTTTTCGAACAAATATTGAAGATTTTAATATTTAAATTTAGATAGTTAATTTTAAATAGAATTTTCATACGCTTGAGTATTTAGTCATTAGATTAATAAATTAATGCAAATATTTTGCGTATCCATACTCCAAACTTGTAAAAATATGTGTGTAAGTTTAAATTTTATGTATTTTAATTTTTTTTTTAAGTAAAGTTAAAGATTTATTGGCCACTTTAAGATGAGGACGAATGATTTCTACTAAATGCCTATCTCCTTATGTAATATTTTATAGTTTTTGAAATTTTTATTTATATAAATTACTTATATATTTTAAATAATATAGTCATTTATTTTAGTTATGTTTACTAGTTAAAAACTACCACAGTATTATTAAAATTTTATCATTATATAAAGTTGTCGGTGTAAATTTGTATAATTATCTTAATCTTTTTAGTTAAATCAATTATACATTATGTATTACATTACATTTTATTATCATAACATTTTATCCAGAAATACAATAAATAAATATTTTTAAAATTCTTAAGATTAACGGATTTCCACGGGTAAATTTGAAATTAGTAATCTTCATAAAGTTACAAATGTATTGGTTTTGAAAGTAGCACAAATATTTAACTATATTACTATTTTCGAAAATAAATGCAGTAAGAATAAATCAAAACCTTATTTATTTTCATATTTATAGTATAATATAATAAAAAAAATGTTATTAATCCTTCGTTCGAATGCATTTTAAATTAAAGTATGTAGTCATTCTAAAAATTTCATGTTGTATTATTTAATTGCACATAAGTTAAAAATAAATAAAGATTTTTTTCCTTTTAATAGCCTTTATGATATAATTAGAAATCTATTATTTCACTATAAGTTTATATAGGCTTTAACAAAGTCAGTAAGAGTTATTGAGATTTTAAGTTTAATTAAATAAACTTTGAAAGATTAATTATATTTTAAATATTAATTGAACTTACCTTTACTATAACCGCTTACTAATCGAAAGTGTATTTTTTTTTTTTTTTGTTTGTAATTCGTACCATGGAAAGATTATTTTTGATGATAAAATATTATATAGTCATCAATTGGGACTAAGTGCTTTGGCATGAAAAATCATTTTATTATGTGGAAAGTTTATTATCGAGAAAATTAGGTAGTGTAAACGGGCAAAATGTTGTCAAGTAACTTGTTAGCATATCGATTGTGAGAATGAATTTTAATAAATTTTGTTGATATTATTTAATAAATTATTCTTTCGTAAAGAAAATGTTATAAATATCTTACGTAAATCGATGAGATACGCATAGAGAACAATATATTTATCACTTAAGATAAATTAATTTTATTTAACATATTTAATTAAATATATTTATTTCATTTCACGTAATAGATATAAATAATTTGTTATAAAATGTCATTTATAAAATTATTATTAAGCTTTTTTTTATATTTTAAATCACGAATATAATTTAATTTGAATATTGTACTTCCTGTTTTCTAAAATTATACATAATTTTGAAAATCATATTGACTAATTAAAAACTACTTTATCAATTTATACTGTAATGAAACGATCGCAATTATTAATTCAGTTTTTACTGGTGTCCTCGACTTTTTCTATCCGATTATCACGAAAAATGAAATTATATTGTATATTATAAGCTTTCTTCAGCAAAATAAATAAATTTCTTTTGTAATATTTCAGACTGTTATTTCAAACAGCTTGTCAAAAAAAAACAAAAAAAATAAATAACATTTAGTATATTTTTCATAAAACAAAATCTTTCTGTTAGAATAGAAATTTAATGAAATATTAGCTTGTAGGAGAGCTGATGTAGCTGATGTACGAAAGTTCGTGTACTGTGTCAGATATTGATTTATAATCATAATCCATTTAAGGAGAAAGTAACAGGATGCATTGTTATTTCCAATTACTTTCCATATCATGATTCAAAAATTTGCTCACTGTTCAATTCGCACTTCCTTATGTCTTAATCTATTTCTGTACATCAAATATAATTAATGGAGCGATATTTTCCGCATTACTTCATCAGTTCCTCGTTTATAGACTAGAATTTACTGTCTAGTGATTGTGTTGGCAAATAATTGGCCACTACTAGTATAGATTCTCAGCGAAAGGTTCACGGGCAACATGTAGCCGTTGACAGTGAAAGGGACGGTTGGCGTCATGGAAGTATATTTAAGAAGTAGACTGTTCGAAGATGTGTCAGTCCGACGACTACGCCTAAACTATCATAAGGATAATCGTATAATAGTTACGTGCGCCTTGAGAACTATTGCAATGTTTGTGAGTGCGCATGTTAAATAATATGTATTGAACCGGACTTTGGAAACTAAATCACTTTTTATTAGAAAGGATGGATATTCGGATATATAGAAGGACAGATTAATTTATTTTCTATATTAAAATACAATTGACTTTATTATATAAATTTAATTTAAATTTTATATTTAAATATGAAAAATATATTAAAGTTACATCTTAGTTACTACATTAAATAATATTATGCTTAATTAAGATATCATGAATATTTAAATTAGATAGTAAAATTTAGTATATATTATGATTGTTTTGATATATTAATAAATCAATAGTCATTTGCGAAAATATAAAATAGAGTTTAATAAAAAAAAATTTTTTTAATTATAATGTATTCGTTAATATTCTTATATAAATAAATTAATTGTTTTAAACATTAGTTATCAATGTTTATTCACAGGAATTAAATGATTCTTCAGACATATGTATATAACCTATTATTGCGTAACTAATATTTGTAATAATATAATGAGTTCAATATTTTGAAAAATTATATACAACTCTTTCTCAATTTTTTATACCTTTGATTTTATTAGACATTTATTTGTTTGTTTATTTACTTCTTAATGAATCAGAATTTTTTTTAAACAGCTCAGCACTGTACAGTCAATATAATAATATGTAATATAACATGAGTATTAAAATTATTAAAAATACATTAAAATAATTCTGACTCCGTACCATAAACATAAATGTAATTAATATAAATTTTTAAATTTTCCCTTCGTAATACATTTTTAGATTCTGCTGTCGGTTTTATTAATGTTTGCATCGGCGAATCCAATTATTGTAGCTCACTTTCATCGACAAATCTCAGTACCAATAACACATGGATCCGAATATGAACGGAAATTTTATCAATTTGATCATGAAATAGAGCGAGTCGACAATGAAAATGATCAACAAAGCTTTAATCCTGGACATAACTCCTACTACAGTACCCATAATCAGCAAAATAGTGCAATAGTTAAAAAAGATGAGTCTCGGGATCAACATGATTTTATTGAACAACAGCAACATGATTATTCAGCTTACACTAAATTCAATAGTGATTCGCATGATTATGGCGATGAAGCTGAGAGTGAATATGACAAGAGTCTTGAACAACAACATGTTGGTGAACATCAATATGTACAAAGCATACCAGTCTCAGAACATGTCGAGGTCACGAAACCCGTTGCTATTCCAGTTTACAAAGAAATCGGTAATTCTTATATCATTCATATATAATCCTAAATTCATTGACTTTTTCAATTGGAAATAATATTAATTTAATTAAAAAAAAAAAAAAAAAAAAAAAAAAAAAAAAAAAAATAAATAAATAAATAAATGATAATTCATGTACGATTATTAAGTATTAGCTGTGAATATGTTTATTATTTATTATACATAACTTATAATTAAAATTAAATGATTTTAACAATGCGTGTAATATACATTTGGCTTTATTTAAAAAATACTTATTAATCTTTTAAATTTTATAATAATTTTTAGTTTTTTTTTAACATGTAGTTTATTTCTAATTGATATTTTTTTAACCACTTGCTCATGTATATATAATGAATAATTTTGTTGTCGTATCACCTCAGGAATAAAATTTCTTAATAAAAATTACTATAAAAAGTAATAATAACAATAACAATAATAAAAATAATAAATGTATTACTTTGTTTATAGAATGTTTCATTTGTCTATTTGTGACCAATTAAAATCTAACATTCAATGTTTACGTTTCAGGTGTTCCAGTACTACATCCAGTAAAGATCAATATACCACATCCCATAACGATAGGTATACCTCAACCATATCCAGTTGCAGTTCCAGTATCCCAACCATTGCCAGTTCAAATCACAAAAACAATTGCTGTGCCAGTCGAGAAAAAGGTACCTTATGCAGTGGAAAAACATATTCCCATACCAGTGGAAAAGTTGGTACCCATCAAGATTGAGAAGCATATCCCAGTACCTGTTTACAAACCCTATCCGATTAAGATCCCCGTGTATAAGACTATTTATCACCACTTGAAGGAAACTTATAGTCATTGATATGTTTATAATTGAGCACATGACCATAGTCAACTAATTTAAATATTTAAATATAGACACTAAGTGAGAAAGTCATCAAATTTTAAATATTAGCGGATTCTCACAAAATCAGAATTTCTTAGTTGAATAGGTTATTTACAAATATAATAATACGTAATAAATACTTTTATTAATTAATAAAACGTACTTCTAAGCGTAATATTAAATTTGATATTGATTTTAACATTGTCATATATATTTATAACAATTAAATTATTAATGTTCATTTAACAAACGAAAAATATCTATGTTTATAGTATAGATATTGGTTTGACTAGTATTATCTACTAAGTGATACATCTCTCTCAATCAATATAACATAAACAATAATTTATACAACTAAGAAGTTCTTTAAATAACTTTTAAGCGTTTATTGTATAATAATGTTAAAACTTATTTTTCCGCTTCCTGTCGAATACTAAATAGTGTTTGTATAATATTAAAAATAATTCTGCATCAATAATGAGCATATATTTAGAGAATTAAATATATTTATATGAAACATCCTTTTAATGATTATATTGGAGACTTTCTATATGTAAAAGCATAGAAGCTCATTTACGACAGCAAATTAAAAAGTATTTTTATCCCAAAACTACTTAGAACTCATTTTCTACATTGTTTGTTCAGATACGCATTGTTGCTTTTATCAAGTGTTTTATTTGTAAATATGATTATTGCGGCGTTACAGTTATATCATTAAGTTTAAATGGTTTTGATTTTTGTAATAATATTTTTCAGTAAAACAATAAAAGTATGAAATTATAACATTTGATTTCAATATAATGTAAAAAGTAAAGTTTGTTTACAGTCAATTATTGTATAAATAAAATAATGTATATTTCCCATATATTATACATGTATTATAAAATTTTGAAGTTAATAATATTTTAATTCAGACCAAAATTCTAATTTCATTTAGCTAATGATTTTAACAGATATCGTGTAACTTTTAATTGAACAAGATATTTTTAGTAAGTATAATAATATTAAATTTTTTTTTTTCTTAAATATTGCGAAGAAAAAAAATTTTTAAATTATCAAATAAATTAGAACTATATTTAACATAACCCAATAAACAAGTATATAAATAAAATAATTAATGAATATAGAAAATGACTAATAAAATTTATAATTTCAAAATTTTAAATAAATTCACAATTAAAATTTATATATAATTGATACTTTCTATAAATTTGAACTTAATAAAAATACTTTTACGATAAGATTATTTATTAATGCTTTTATTAATGCAGTAGGATACCTTTTAATTTTTAACCAATTATTTTAAGATCGTTATCAAAATTTCCAGTTTCATACAATACACATTAATCATTTAATTTTATATTTTCCTATAACGTATCATACATTAATATATTTCTTGGAATGCTGTTATGTAAAAGCAAAATAATATATTAAAGAGGTTAAAGTCTATATTCCATATGAAAATGAAACAATCAATAAATCTATTCGATGTATTATTAAAGCCGAATATCACAAAAATATTAGTATATATATATATATATATATATATATATATATATTTGAAATTATTAGGTATGAAAATTAACTACGTGCATATTAATATAAAATGTGCATACATTCCTGGCATAAGTAAAATTATGAAGTATCACTTGCACATTTATAAATGTTTTTGTATCATATTTCTTTTAGAAAAGTTCGAACATATATAAATATGAACTAATTATGTTTCAAAAAAGTTACCATTAAAGTTTATATAGCAATGCTGTTAAATTATCACGACTCTAAAAGTTTACTAAGTAAAAAATTGAAAGTATCATACAAATTTTTCTGTATAATTCGTTTTGACTATGTGATTATGTTTCATCATTATCGATTGTTATGGATTAATTAAATTAGAACCGGGAATAATTCAACGCATAGAACAATAGTCTCTTTTGATATGTCATACTTTATTTTGTGATTCGGGCGTACTTTAATAAGTAAATTATGTATGAAAGCTCTGCTCTCTGATAAAATAAAATTTTATAAAACATATAATGAACATGGTTATTTATATTATCCATTTGCATCTCCATATATTTATAAATTGAAATTTAAACATAGAAAACTAATTGCATATCTATTTTTACCCAATAATAAGTGTTTATGCGAAGTGTATACTTGAAAAATTTACTGTCTTGACATGAAAAATGATTTTTTAGAAAAATATGAAAAATATGATCTACGTACATTGGCTTTTCTAACTTAAAAATACCGTAGTCTACTCTATCTTTCATCGGTTTTCAATTTTTAGTGACTCCCTAATTTTCACAGCATTCTCTATTTGAGAAATATAGACCTTTCATTTTCTAAGTGAAATTTATTATGAATGAAGTTAAAAGTAACTTACCTTTTTATTTAATCATAGTGCACTTACCTAGTTTGATTCGTTTTATCTTTCATAATTTTTTTATTTATGTCTTAGTCATTTGAATAATAATCACCAACTTCTAAATGTCAAATGAAATTTTGAACTTATAAAATAATATTCACTCGTCAGTAGTTCACATCTAGATAAGCTCAAATCTAAAATATTTTAATTACTTTTTTTTATAGCAATATTATACGATAAAATTTAATTGATTGTTAAAATTTAAATTTGTATAAATATAAATAACTTTCTTTTCTTAATAAAATTTTGCAATAAATTATAGACTTATTTATAACAATTATTGATTAAACTTTAATACGAAAATCTATATTTAATTTTCCATAAGGATGTAGCGTATTCTTGCTCTAAAAAAAGTAATAAAATAACGATTAATTCAGAAAAAATTATCGGTCAGAAAGTAAATAATTTACTACGGAAACTCATTTAGAGGCAAATTTATGGTATTGAGATGGTGGATACGCTAACCACGAGTTATTAGTGGTAAGTATTTAAGAGCCAAATGCTATTCAATATGGAATCTTTTCCACCCAGTTTAATATTGGCATTATGCATTGACTAGAATGCGAAAGACTGTCTGGGGAAAAAATTGAGAGATTGTGAACTTTTTGTATTTTAGAAATCTATTCTAATCGAAATCATTTCTAAAATTATGAAACGAAAATTCGGCAGGACAATATTAAAGATTAGTTTAGAATTCTTAAACTAGAAGTTTTAGTATGGTATTTATTGTACCCGAAAATAACAAAAAAAAGTACACGAAGATACCTACTATACTTATATTCATCATTGACCAGTTCATAATAGGATTATTTAAAAAGTTCTTCTCTAAATCAAGAAGATAATATACATTTTGTTCTCTTTATCAAGTATTTCGAATTATTCATGCAACAATATGATACTAGATCGATTAGATTGGTAAGTGCTCTTTCAATCCATGGCATGTAACTTTTCTCTGATAGAAATTCTCTAATTGCTTTTAAAACCGATTTTATTAATAATATAATAAATACAAAAAATATTAACAAATTGAAGGTAAATATATTAAAGTAATATATATATATATATATATATATATATTAGGAAGAAATAAGAGCAAAATTATTTACTATTAAAAGGTTATAGATATATTATAAAATATAAGTAAAAATATATTTAAATAATTGTAACTCTGACAATATTTTTTAACGAATACCAAAAAGTTAAACGATTAAAATTTGCATCGAATTTTTTGTCTATAGACAATACCAAACTTAAAATTTCAATTTAGTAGTATAGATTTGTCGTTCACGTACGTTTATTTATTATATTTATAAATAATTCTTTGGTTCGTTATCGTTTCAGTTTACTTAACAGAGAGTTATTAAGATTTACGACTATTATTTAATTCATTACATAAAATACAAATACTGAAGTTTTGGTCTATCTACTTAATTCATAAAAATAAAAATATTTTATTTAAGTAAGAAAAGCATAGGTAAGGTAAATAATTACTTTAATATAACTGCACTGAATAATTTTATACATATTTATTTGTATTTTATTTTGATTTATTCTTAATTATATTATTGAAATACCTTATTATACTAAGTAAAATTGAATGTTTATTAATGTTATGTATTATATAAAATTAGTAATATCGTAGAACATAAAATCTATGTTAGAAAGTATTATGTTATTTAGTTTTATGTTATTTATGTTATTTCCAAATTCAGAATTAGTATTAGATCCGTTAAGGATATATACTTCTAGATTTGACTTTGATTGAAAATCTGAAATAAAACTGACCTTTGCTTCAAACTTTTTAAAGTTTATTACAGTATATAAATAATTGTACATCTAGTCAAGACTTACTATATATTATAGTAGTGGACGTAGAGAACTGCAATATACAGTTTTTAATAAAAATGCAACGCTTGTTCTATTTAATGTACAACGCAAAAGTCATCCTTATACCGTGTACTTTTTCCATTATTTTCACACATGTTACTTCCATACACGTTTTTAAAACATTAAGAGAAATAATTGTTAAGGAAAGTAAAAGATGAGAAAAAGGAATAATAATGATAGATATAGAATATAAAGAATTTGCCAATCTTTTAGAAAATCGAGGAATTTCAGTATGTCCGTATATATTAGTTCGTAGAAGATCAATGATTTACGATATCTTGTTTTGTATTATAGGGGTAAACGTGACGAGTAAGGTATAAATAGCCAGTCGATTGATCAAAGGACTCCGATTAACTTAATCTATCTACCCTTTATAATTCGTTGTAATAAAGAACCCTTGCATCTTTAGTATTTGCAGACATACAGAGCATATGTAATAGACTATTTATTTAATATATTAAGAAATATTCCGTTTTGTTTTAATATTGATTAAATGAGTTTAAGTAGATTAAAAAAATTTTTTTTAAAATATTTAATAATTAATTCACTTTCTTGATTTATAAGGCGATATTAAGATTGCTTTACTTAAATATATAAACTCATCTTTATAAGTTTTATAATAATATATTCATTTATAACGTTTTGTAAAATATTAACGTGTAATCATAAATTAATTAATAATACAGTTATATTTATTCTATAATAATTTATATATCTGATGCCAACACTATAAATGATTTAATGCAGTATAATTTAATTAATATATTTATATAGTTATAGTGTTTAATTTTTTTAAATATAAAAATAAGACTAGATGAATTTACCTTTTTGAATAAATTTTATAACATTATACAATTGCTGAATAAGTAAAAATCACTAGTTTCATAAGAAATGTGTAACATCAATAACTTTATGCGAAAAATACGTAATCAGCTAGGGACATAACAATCAAATATTTTTCTTAGTTTTAATATTGGTAAATGTTAATCTTATATTAAGTTTATATACTATATATAAGTGTAGTCTTAGTTGTGGAACCATTATTTCTGAATAATAACTATATAAAATGGAACATAATTTTAAAATTCAAAGAGACGTAATAAGGATTGAAATTATTTATTAAAATTTATTTGTACTTGAAAAGTCTACATATAGAAATTGAAAAAAAAAATTATTTTTAATAAATATTACGCTCTTATATTATGCTCTTTGAACTGTGATAGATATTGTAAATATATAAATATTCAATATGTAATATATCGAAAAGATTTACGATATATTTAAAAAACTTATTGTTTAAATTAAGATTATTATACATCAATTATTATCTTCATAATATATTAATAAAGAAACAATCATTAACTGATCTTGACATGAATATCGTTAAATATATAAATTCGATATATATATATATATATATACATATGTGTATACTTATATATTAAAAATATCGTATAATTATGTACATGCTTGGCTTTCACTAAGATTTTGTATTGTATGTAAGTACTTTTGAAATCGTAGAAAGTTAAAATTGCAAAGACTTCAGAAAAGTATAATTGAATCATGAATTGGTTTATTTTGGTTAAAAGTCTTAATCGTTTCTGGCCTAATCAAGAAATAATAGTAGTTAAAATGACGGGGAAATGCTTTCGTTCAGATATTATATCTCATAATATTGGAATATATAATATATAATAATCTGATATTTATCGCAATATTACATTCCAATTTATATTTGAAATAATACATACGTGTAACTCTAAAGTCAGTCTATAAATAATAAACACTATATTTTTTAGAATTAATGAATAAAATTTCGTTCAAAAATTAATAATTATAAAAGCATAGTTTCAAACATATGAATATTAATAACTGCGAAAATTGATAACTATGAAGTCAAAAAATTTTCTTTAAAATTAGCGCTTAACGTGATTCTTGATTTAAGTAGGTTTAATAAATAATATTAAATTTCAATCTCATTTTGATCATTAAGAAAGAATAGTATGGATTATATTCAAATTTTCTAATTAATTTATAAAAAATTTAGAATATTATCAAGATTCTAATTATTATTCATATAATATACTAATTAAATATACCGTATTTTCCTCGTAAGTTGGTATGCTTGTTTAATATTTCATAATGATGTTGAACGAATGTTTTAACAATATCTCCAAATATCGGAATATTCAGAATGAGTTAACAATGTGAAATCATTAATTTTACTAAAAATGCAAAGGCTTACTAGAAAGTTTAATCAAGTAATTTTATGAAATTGAACCACTTTATTTGACTATTTAAATTATGCATCTTTCTGAAATAGACTGAGTCATATTTCAAATAAACTAGACCGTAATTACGAAAATATGGAATAATAGTAAAAATGAGAGTTTACTACACCATTAAATGTAATAGAGTGGGGTCGGTTCTCTGCATATTTCTAGATATAAAAGCACGAATGTCGAAGATTATGCTAGTCTTCTTGGTACTTTATTCCTATAAACTTACAATTACTATGATTTGTTTTGTATGTAAACAAATCCGTTTAATATACTCATATTAGCCAAAGTTAAACTTTATCAAATTAGCTTATTTTATAAATACTACGAATTTCTTTCGCCAACTAAACATTTTCGTAAAAAATACAAATTAGAATAAAATGTATTTGTAGTGTTGATTTGAATTATAATATTTTATAATATATCCATTCTAATATTGGATAGTATATTGGAAATTTTATACTTTAGTATTTTATATCATATCTTTAAATTTGTTTATTAAATAAACTTGTATAATATTGAAAAATTGGAAAATATATTTTCAGAATATTAATGGAATCGTAACGAAAGATTTTTCATAAATATTTCATATTTATTTTATTATATAAAATAAATTATATAAAGATTTACAAATCTCAACAATTAATTATTATTTTTCACTAAAATTGCTAATCAAAGGTATTATCTTCAATATTAAAGATGGATTTATTTATAATGTGTAGGTAGAAATCGAATGAAAGTTTCTTGAATAGATTTTATAGTACTAATGTAATTTCAAAGTTTACATCAACGTGCTAAGATAAATTTTATAGTTATTGATTTTAGGTATCATTGAAATTTGTCATACGACGGGGTGGGATTTAGGTCGCTTCCATGGTGATCTTAATTTTGGCGAAATCTCTTTGGACCACACTTCGATCGATCATGGCAAATATCTTTATATTAATAGCGAATTCCATCGAATGTATAATTAGAATTTCAATTCTGACACTGCAACTGTGTTTATTCATAATTACATCTTTTTCGCAATATTAGAATAGACGATTTATAGAAAATATTGATAAATCAACTAGAATGATATATTATTACACACAAATTTTAAATATGCAATACTGTTATATTATATAAAAAAAAAATGACTATAAAAAGCCGGAATATATTTTAATAAGAAATTCTAACTATACAACATAATATACAAGTTAATATTTATATTTATAATTACTATTAATTTTATAAAATCATAAAATGTTTTATCAAATGTTCTTAAATTTATATAAGTGAAATATAATAAATTTCATATTTAAAAGAAAAATTTATATTTTTTCATTTAAATGAAAGTAAAACAGTCTTTATTATATATATTTGCATATGAAAGTGAGTACTAACGATGGGGACTTTTATCTTTAAAAATAATTTTGTTCTGTAGCATAAAGTCTATTCAATTACTGCTTTAATTACAATACCACATTATTTAAAATATTTTCATTAGATTATATTAATTAATAAAGTCAAAATTATCATTAATGGTATTAATTGATCAATGTTAAAACAATATAATACATTTATTAAACATTAGTATAAATTTGTATGAAACTCGGCATTATTCTCTTATTATAAATATAATACTAATTCCTAATGGAAATTCTAAAATTAGTTATAAAAGTTTATTTATTAGTCATTATTTTAATATAAATTATTCTATTTAAGTAAATACTCAAAGCCAGTTGCGAATTAAGGGTATAAAATATCCCATATTGTTAAAATGTAATCAATGCTCTGAGAAATTATTGAAAAAATATTGAATATTAGAATTATATTAGAGAAATATCATTAACACATAATTATAATACCATATATATATACATAAATATACAAGCCTATACATTATAGGCCCATACAAATATTTTTTATTATTAAATTTTAATATAATTAATAATGTTCATCCAATGGAATATATATTTTTACAAAATATATTTGATTATGTGATTTATTGTTTGTTTCCGGACGAAATTTAAAAGTGCTTAGTAAATGATTTATATAAAAGTGAGCAGAATTTTTGTAAATTTGCCTTGGGAATGGGTTTAATCAGATTCGAGTAATAATTATATATTAATATATTATCTCATAGAATCTAATTAATTCTAAATCTAAACTTCTTGAGTTGTTTAATAAGTAAAATCTAGGATTACATTAAATTATTATTCAGGCAAAATTTTTACGTATTTTTACACACTTGATCATGATAATAATAGTTTTTCTTATAAGATTAATGTTGTTAACATTAAATTTGTTCTACTTAGTAAATACTAAATTTTTAATAACTCACCTTCGTATAGATTCACCCAAATGGAAATATATTAATACCGATGGAAATTCAATTAATGGACTTCAGGCTTGGATAACTGATGTTGTTGTTGGTAAACATAAAGCAAACCATATACAACCGATTATTAAAAACATAGGTTAGTCGAATAACCATTGATAGTATATATAATGAAATTATATATTGTTGTTGGGAAACATAATGAAAATCATATTTTATAGGATATCCAGTTTATAAGGATGTGGAATTTAAAATTCCATACCCTGAAGTTCATCATGCACAGCAACCTTATCCTGTTCTAGTTCCAATGCTACATCCGGTTCCCTTTGAGGTAATTTATAATTAGTTTTTATTGTAAATATTACACATATTTTTTTAAAAAATATTTTCTGAATGTGTGTTTCTCAACGTAATAAATAAAACTGTTATAATTAAATAACAGATATATGAAATAAAACGAAATATCCTATATATTTATTAATATAGTATTACAAATTCATTAATTTAATTAATAATATAAAATTCGAGAACTTTTTCGAAATCATACAAATTATTATTTTATTTAAAATACAGAGTATAATTTTTAGTAATAAGATTTTAAGTAAATTTTTTAACAAAGCTATGTTTCTAAAGATAGCGAATTTGCGAATTTGAATCTAATTAAATACTTTAAATACAGTTAATATATAGAATTTTTTGTAAGGTTGTAAAATTAAATTCAGATATATTCCAATAATTCTACAAAATACAGTAAATTCTATATTAAGCAATATTATAAACGATTATATAACATGTTTTATTTTATTTTTGAATTATAATGAACTATAATTATGTTTTATAATTCTTAATTTAAGTATATCTTTTAATCAATTGATACTTTTTTTTTTTTAACTACATATCAATTCTGATAAAACGTTCATTGTATTAATTTATCAACTAAAAGAAAACCATGCTTTTACATTACTTATAATATAAATAAAGTAATGTTATAAATATTGATTAATTTAGGTTACGAAGACTGTGGTAAAAACAGTCGAGAAAAAGGTTCCAACTCCAGTTGAGAAAATTGTTCCTGTACCAGTGGAAAAACTAGTACCATTTAAAGTAATAAAACATGTTCCTGTACTTGTCGATAAGAAAATACCCATTAAGATCCCAGTGTATAAAACTATTCATCATAAAGTTCACTGAACTGCTATAATATTCAATATTGTTAAAAATTATAAAAAATATATTAACATAATAAATATAGGTATATATATATATATATATATATATATATATATATATATATATAATTATTTTTAGACGAATTTTTATTATTATAATTTTATTATTCTTGTTCATTATATTAATTTTATCACTATATATTTTAATAAATTTCTAGTAATATTATACCTTTTGCAATGTAAGCAGTAAAAAAAAAATAACGTTAAACCGATGAAATAATTAATATTTTTATATTAAAATCAAGTAGTTTATAAAAATTTTAATCATTTACTCAGATAATTTATTATTATATTTCATCATTGTCTTCATTTCATTATATATTAAAAATATTCAAGACTAATTGGGCTTCCTCTGTATATGTTGGCATCATCGAAATTTGAACTTTATACACCAATAAAAAGTATATATTGTTTTATTATAGAACATATGTATGTATAATAGTAGATAATTTATGGAGTAATAGTTCTTTTTAATGTAATTTTTCTCAAATTACATAGTTACACATACAGATGCAAGTTACACATCTCAAAATAATATAGTTTTCCATCAGTTATTATTCGACAAAATACTTTCTTCATTTACAAAATAAATAGGATTTTTATTAATAAAAAAAATAGCTGCGGAATATTTTTTAATAATCATAATAAATATAGGATTGATATCACACTATTTCCAATTAAATATAAATTTATAAAAATTACAAAATCCGTTTGATTAATTCTAATATTGCTTATTAAAAAAATAATACGTAAATATTGTATTTAACTTAAAAGCTACTATAAATAAATTAATTTAATAGCAGTTTTAATCGACAGGATTACGAAAAATAATCACTTATAAAAGGATGCACCTTAAAGTTCAAGTCTTACAATACCGTAATTAACTTTTAAATATCTTAAAAGTACTATGTATTGTTCAGAAGTTAGTACGACTATGGTAGTATATATAGAAATGGTAAACAGAACCATTTTTACTAAATTCTATTACAATTACAACTTTCATCTATACATCTACTTCAATGAAACAAGAAAATGTGTGCATTTTTAATACACTAGTTATTAATATATATTTAGTAATAATATAAGACGTTTTATACTTCTTCCACGAGTATAAATACATAATTTTATATTGAAATATAATTTTTATGGAATAACCGAATTTATTCGTGTTTCATAAAAAATATAAATGTAAATTAAAACAGGCATTTTTTACTTGTTTTTCTAGAAAAACGCTTTAAAACATTGAAAAATCTTAGAAATTAATTTTAAATTGAAATATAAAAAATTGTATTAGTTCTCAATGTAACGAAATTTTATTTAGATCCACTATTTTATTGTATATAAAATCTCCAAATTTGATTAAAATTCGGAAAACCTAGAAAACTTTTTTTCAATAATAATTTTTAATATTTACTGTAGGTAAATAATACATGCACATAATAATAAATAATAAATTTACTGAAAACACAAACATTTAAATAAATTTAATTTCTATATAAGTTATGTGAAATTAATTATGAAATACAAGCACACGTTTACACTGAATACGGTAAAAAGTTTGAGACATTTATTCTATTTTATGTTAAGAAAAGAAATTTACGAGTGAAAATGATACTTGTAATATAATTAATAATAGGAACTTGAGATATTTTCACGAATAATTCAACACCTAATTAATTAATACTATACTTAATCTCCCTTAAAAAAACTTTCATAGAAATTTAATAAAAAATTATTCGCGTAATTTGTTACGAGTAACATAAACACTTTACAAAGTTACAAAGTGAATATATATGTGAATGTTTCAAAAGATCCATTGGTTAAAATTTGCAAAAAAAAAAATTGTTAGAAAAGATAGCTGTAAAAGACATTTATATCCACAAATATTATAATTTTACGGAGTATTAAAATATTACTAAATTATAATACAAATTGGAATACATTTTCGAAAACCATGCATAACATTTTGTATTTACATATTTACAAATTTTCATCATAATTCATTATATTCGGTAAATTTAAAGAGATGGATGGATAATTATTTTGTTACCTTACTTATAACATTATTCAAATAATAAATGCTCAGTTTTACAAGAAATCTATTTGTATTTCATTCAATATTATTCCTATTAAACCTTATCTAATTAACAATGAATAGAATTTCCTTGTCAAATTTACATTAAGATAATGAATAAAAATACTACAGTGATTGATGTAAATATTATCTTACCATAGAAAAGCAATTTGCTTCCGGTAAATGTAAAAGTTACGAATACCAGAGTTAAAAGTGATTTCTTCGAAAACGTCACTTTTGAACAATTCAGTCCTTTTCCTATAAAATTATATGTACTTATTTTTCTTCAACTTTCTTGCAAAAAATTTGCTTTTATACGTTTTTTGATAGTTGGTAAGAACTAATTCCAATAAGTAAAAGAGAAACGTACGTACATGAATTAATGCAAGTATCTAGGTGGGATTACACAGAAAGGGAGGGGGAATAAATTATATAAAAGTATTATAAGGCAGGTTTAATTGTGATGTAAAAATTTATTAATTTATATTATAATTACAGAAGGCATTCGATGTATTGATAAAAAAAGAATCTTTAATATATAATTATATTTAATTATCGAATTTTCTGTGATAATATGAATCTCATTAATCTGATTAATTTAATTCGAGAAAACTACATATATAATTATTAAATACATACAAAAATATAAATATCATAGAATTGATTTAGAAATCTATGAGAGTCTCTATATATTTCTCCATATAATCTATTAAAGTTAATATACCGTTTCTGTTTGTGTCATAATACATATAAAAAAAAAAAAAAAAATCTACAAATTCCTTTAGCTTGTAGAAAATTAAAAAAATTGTAGCTATTGGATACAATAAATTTTTCGTCTTACATATAACTTTACAATTATAATACATATTCAACAGCTGTTAATACCTTCTTATATCATTATCTATGATAAACCATGGATCAATTATTCCTGGATGGGAAGGGGGCGGCATTATTAGAAGAGTGGATTCGAGAGAAAGGTGGTGGGTACTTGAAAAGTATATAAGCTTAGAACATGGACATTCTATTCACTCAAATATACGTTCTTCTTTCAATCGTAAAATAAGAGCAAAACTCTATCAACATGTTTAACATTGTAAGCGTTTTCGCATATTTAAGAAGTATTTATGTTAGATATGTTTATAGTATCGCAACTAATCATATATGCCTACATTCATAATTAAACGATGTTCAAGTAGTTAAAATATTCATTAAAGACAATTATCCATTGATAAAACGCATAAGGAATATGTTAATTTACGAATTTATAAATTGCTTTTTCATTTACTATTTTATAATAAATATAATTTATATTTGGAATTACTGTTAGATATGAATCGTTGAATAAAAAACTTATGTAATAAAGTTTTTAATTGTTTACTTAAATAATAATGTGATACAATTTTTCATTTTTATCGAATACTAAAATTTTTCACTTTTATTAATTATTGAAACTTAGACTAAAATAAGCTTCTCCCAATAAACATATATATGTAGAATATGTTACAGCTATAATATAATTTTCAGATTTTTGTATTAAGCATTGGAGCTTATATATCATTAACATTGGCTAGTGATTATGGAGGTCATGAACATCATAGCTATGAAGAAAAAACTCATACCGTTGAAATCCCAGTCTACAAGAAATACGGTAGGTTTGTAGCATTTTAGAATTTAATAGCTTTTAATTATTGAAAAATACTATAAATAATAATGCGATCAAATAAAAATAGTATATATTTTCTTATAGCGATTCCAATTCCTCATCCTATACCAGTTAAAGTTCCACAAGAGATTAAAATACCCATTCCGCAACCATACCATGTGCAGGTGAAAATTCCACATCCGCAGCCTGTGGAGGTTATTAAACATGTTGAAATTCCAGTTGAAAAGCCCGAGCCATATGTTGTTGAAAAACAGGTAAATAAATTTATATTTAGATCAATAAATTAATTAAGAGCCATTTCTATCATTTATCAATTAACTTAAATGATAATAAATATATTGTCAGGTTGACTTTAATTTATATAATTGTATGTTCAAAAAAAGGTATTAAACGAATTAGTCTATTAAAAATTTTATTACATATATCTAGATCGTTATAATTTTAATACAATCTATAAATGGCAAAATATCATAACACAAATAATTTGAAAAGAAATTTTATCATCTTAAAAGATTATTACTTTTTCAAAAATAACTATTACATATTCCTTATACGAGCAAACTCTAGGTCTATGTATACATTTTAATTATTTCGAATAATTGTTTCAATTAAAAAGTATTTTCATATTTATATTTTGCTGTCCTTATATTTATATACAATTCATACAATATATTTTTATTATAGATATAAAAATCTATAAATGTCTATTTTACATGTATTAATTACAATGAAACTGATTAACAAAGAATACTTGCAGTTTAGAATTTAAATATCAAATATATTCTAAAATAATAATTCATAATATTGACAATATTATTAATTAGCTTAATTATATGAAATAAATATTTATTTGTGTCTACTTATCTAGATTATTGAAAATTTCTTGATACTCTTTAAATATTTCAATTATGTTTTAGAGCAATTTTCACGTTTCCTTAGTTTCTCTTTATATTATGCTCTCTAATCTTTTAAAATAGTATTATGCTTGAAGAGATAAAAAGAATTGTACATAATTGAAGAATTTACTTATCATTATAAGTATTTAAGTAGTTGGATAATAAAAAAGCTGAGTCGGTGAACCTATAAAAAAAAACCACCCGCTAGAAGCCAGAAGCGGAAGTATGCGGCTATTTCAGGTAATAGGAGTTCGTTGACGCCGCGTCTACTCTCTTGTTCACAGGTACCTTTCGTGGTGGAGAAGCCATATCCTGTTTACGTGGAGAAAAAGTTTCCCGTCCCAGTGGCTAAACCATATCCAGTTCATGTTCCCATCTACAAACACGTTATTATCCATAGCACCAAAGGCAAGGGCTGGCACTAGTTTTGACATTTATTAGCTTTATTCTGTTTTTTTAGTAAAAAAAAAAAAAAAAAAAAATGTGCAAACCTCACACCATACACATAACAAGATAGTTATATGCAATTTTATTAATAAATATTGCAAAGATAGAAAGTTGTTAGAAATTTTTAATTTAATAAATATGAAGATGAATAAAGATGATTATTTTATAATATTTGGCTATAAGCATTACGAATCATTTCATATAATGGGAATTCAAAATTATTATTATACGATATTCATTAATACGGTAATAAATTAATAACTAAATTACGCAACAGATTAAATTTGTAATGCCTGTGTGTTAAAATATTTTATTGCTGTGGTATTTTAATATAGTAAATTTATTAATATAATCTCTCGTTATTTTATAATGTTTTCAATAGGCTAATATGTAGAATAATGAAACACGAATATGAAGAATTTCATTTGATCGTCTTAAAAAAAAACTTATAAGCTTTTAATTGATTATGTTGTAATATGAACAATTTTTTAATGCAATCATGGCAACATTAGCTTATTTCAATAACATTAGTTATTTTCTTCACCTACTCTTTAAAATGTATTTTTCATTAATTTTTTAATTATTCTGGAGATATTTCCATTATTACTTCCTTAAAAGTAGAGTTAATTTTGAATATGTAAATTTATGTTTAAATTTATTTTACAAAGTATGTAAGGTATATAAGATAAATAAGATTATTTATTTTTGAAAATAATCATATAAAATAGTAAAAGTTATACTTTATTATGTTTTTATACCTAAGCGTCAAACATCATGTAAGCATTTTATATGTAAATAAATTAATTTATTAAATATGAAACGATTAATTGTATTATTTTAATATTATGAAACATTTTTGCATCATATTATTAAGGACCATTGTCATTTATCCACCTTCTCAATTTCAATAATATAAATTAAAATAATTAATATATATTTAACTTTACTTAGGGAAGCTCAACATTCGTTATAAATAAACGAGCTGATAGAAGATTGTGTATTCTACGATTAATATAAAAAATATTGCTTGTATTATAAATATTTATTATAACCACATATTTTTTATAATAATATATTTTGAAATTACTCGAAATTATTTCAATATGAATTTAAATATTTCATTAACAATTAATATGTGTTAAAAATAAGTTTTTGATATAAAATATCATTGTTTTTTTTTTTTTTTTTTTTTTTTTTAATAAAAATTCGATATTTAATTGGTGCGCTTTGTAAGAACATTCTTTATAAAACCCCATAAATATATTGTTTCTTATTATGGTAACAAGACATTAAAAACATAAAAAGAACTCGTTAGTGTTTGTCCATTCACCTGCATTTCTAGAGGGAAAAAAACTGGGCTTCGTATCATATGACTGTGTTTATTCGTGTATAATGAACATAAATATAGTTTTTAATTTGCAATGGAAGAAAAAAAAAACTGTCCTTTAACTAGTATCGCAGAAATATTGTTTTATTGTTACTTTCAATTATAGATGTTTATAAATTCGGTTTAAAATCGTGGTCGACTAGCAAAGAAATTATTTTATGAGGCAAAGTAATTTCAAGTAGTTTTCAGAAACATAAATTACAAAATCCGTCAATCATACAATTAAAAGACCTAAAAGCAAATTCTTGGTTCTGAAATTTTACGAACATGAATAACCATGTTGTGTCTTATTTTTCACTGTATCATTCTTTTTTCACTTTCCATGAACAGCAACGTTTTTCATATAAATATATAAAAATAGAAATCCATACTTATTCGTAATATTTTATAATGACGAATGAGAATAAATCCCAACATTTTTAAAGCTTAAAATATATTAAATATTGCACGAACACATTTATTTTTTATGCATCTCGTATATAAGTGGATAAAGAATTTAAATAGAATTATAATAGCGATTTCTTAAAGAGAATATTCAGTGGATATTTTCCTAAATTGTAAAGGTGAGCGTAATAGATAATTAAAGTATACATAATGAAATGTATTACAAACGAAAATTTAAGCAGATGTATTTTAACATGTATCGATAAAAATAAAAATAGAACTTTCTCTTGGAGAAAGCACAATTGTAATTCACCTTGAAATTTATAGCTGAATCAGTATTACATTTTTATCTTAAATTATATATTCACATTTCACCGCTTTGTGAGTAAATTTCGTACCATAAATAAGCTCTGCTCTTTAATTTCCTCATGATAAATAATCAAAATTCTCACGTATCACGGCTAATTCGAGTAGCTGCGCCTATTCGTCATCTTGATCTGCCGTAATCAGTTATAAGCATTTTCTTATGCCCGTATGTACGTGCTAGAAACCACTTGTGTTGAAGAGCCGCGTCGAAATTCTATCTATACTTTCACTCTTTTTCTCAAGGTGTGCACTGTACTTTAATTGAAGTACAAAGCCAGAAAGATATATAAGTATATATGTCTAATATAATATAATAATTGGATTGAAGACTAAAAATACAATGTTTTATATGAAGGTACGATGTATTCTTTTTATACATAAATAGAAATGTTGCGTACAAATTCAATTTCATTTCCTTAAATAAAATTGTATATTTCAAATTCATGATTGATTAAAATATTACATTTACGTTCCATGACATTTCCTTTTAATCAAACTAATTTGCGTATAAAAATGTTTTATTAGTTATATTGTACTAAGCTATCTCTATAAGATTAATATTTCTACAATTTCTATAATTGTCGAAGCAAATGTCTAAATTAGATAATTAAACGAATTTATGACGAAAGTAATGCAAAATAAAAAATATTTCTATTTTTAAATATAAATAAAAAATTTATGAAATTAAAAGACATAAATTTATTGCTGATGCTTTGTTTTTCATTTCAGATAATAATTTTGCAATATCTCATAGTTGAATAGTATAATACATTAGAAAATTTATAATACAATAATGGAATTAAATATTTCGTGTAAATGTTCGGATTTAAAATTTTTCTATTTTCAAAAATCTCTTTATGAAATAATTAATAATTTTTTTTTTTCACTAACCTGTCGTGTATGATATAATTGTGTAAACTTTTTAATCTATTTTTATGTTTAATTAATATACATTTTATATTTAATTAATGTGCGCAGAAATGTATTAAATAATAATTATTAACTAGATATTTCCAAATATTATGATAATCATAGTTTTATATTAAAGGGAATAGAGATATTTTTGAAATTTACATTAAATTATAATTAATTCTTTTTATATCTAATATTTCTTAAATCGACACATTTTAAGACTTAATAAATGTTGGCTATTTTATCATTTGTCTAATTCATAAAAATATATTAATTAGAGTTCTCAAATTACTGTTATAAAATATTAATATTAGTTAATACATTAATATTAAAATTATTTTACAAAATAATTTTATTTAAAGTCTAGGATGTCTAGGAAGACTACGAGTGAATATTTTAATATGAATTTTATATCAGCTGGTGCTATTTTTAGAGTTTATTTGTCATACAATGTAACAATTTTAAAAATAAAACGCGTTATCTCAAGTATAAATTAAATAAAAATTAGTATTATAAAACATAAGAAAAACTAGTGTTTTTTATTATTCATTAATAGAATAGGGAAACATATCCAAAATATTATGCATTCGTCTACAAGCTTCATTCTTATAAAAATATCATTTTCATAATGTAATAACATTGAAAAGTATAATTTTTATGTTGTGATATAAATTTTTCTATAAAAATTTATAGAACATTATCATTTTATGCTATTAATTACTATTATTATGAAAATATTACTTTTTACATTGTATTTTTTTTTTTTATCAAAGTTAAATAAAGATAATTAACTAATTAGTTCATTTCTTATATTTTATGGGATTAACTGCAATAAATTAAAAACCATTAATCTGTAAATTGTACATTTTAAAATTAGTACAAGGTGAATGCAAAGGTATTTAAGCAATATTTGCAGTGTTCTTGTGAAATAAATGTTTTAATAATTATTAGAAATTATACTACCAATCATTTATGAATTTGAAGAAAAGCTCCGAATGAGTCATTTCAGAAGAACTTTTGACAACTCATTCGTAACGAATAACTTATGACGTAACAGACTAAACTATGATGTGTAGTGATGTTCATTAAAATCTTTCATTATTTATAGTAACTTTTAATTGACGATTAAATAAATAGAGAAATGCACACGAATCGTTCAACAACCAGGATAAGGTGAATGTCAATCCTATTGTAAGGAGAAGGGAGAAAGTTTAATATTACCATGGGTATATAAAGAACGTGACCGTGACTTTGAAGATATTACAGCGACGGAGACAGTGACCGTGAGGTACATTTGAATACGGATGACAGTGAATCTAATTATTATAGAACCTTTGTTGGAATCATTGAGATGAAAATTTCCGTAAGTTTTCTCAATTAGTAATCGTAGAAAATTCTTAAGAAAAAAAAAACCTATAAAGCAGCTAAAAATTATAAGAATAATGAATTCATTAAAATATTTTCATGACAATTTTAATTCAATTTATAGGATAAAAAAATAAATTAAGTAAAAGTAATTTTCATTTGCAAATGTATATTTTTATTCTATAGCATTTCGTAAATAAAAAACCTTACAGTAATTATAGACGAATGCTTTTGCAAATACTGTAAATTATATATTTTTTTAATAATAATGATTTGAGAATATAGATACAGTAATTGATTTATATGTAATCGTTCTAGTTAAATATTTCAATAAATTCTATATTCAATACTTTAAAATGTTAATACACGTGTATATTCATAAAATTAATAAATACTTGTAACTTTTAAATTATATTTCATTAGATCATTACAGCCGTTTTTGCTATGGCAACGACGAGTTTCGCCAGTCAGGGCGAAGTTACTTATCACGAGACACACAAGCCGGTAGAGATTCCAATATATAAGAAATATGCTATCCCCATACCACATCCGGTTCCAGTATCGGTTCCACAACAAATCAGGGTACCAATTCCCCAACCATACCAGGTTCAAGTTCCCGTGCCACATCCAGTACCTGTCGAAGTAGTGAAACACATCGAAATTCCCGTAGAAAAACTAGAACCATACTACGTTGAAAAAAAAGTATGCACAAACGTATATATTGTTAATCTATACAAAATCCAGTAAAATCATTTAATTATACATCAAAGAATAATAAATTAAAATTTTTAATTTTCTTGCTTACTATTTCATTATATTTCAATAATAATATTTTTAATTTTACTCTAGTGTTAGAGTCAAGTTTTTATAAATAACAATGCTTCCTATATGTAAATATATATATACTTGATGAATTATATTTTTTTTATAATTAAATTTCGTATAACGGAGTGAAAATATACCGAATAAGAAAATAAAATTCTAGACCATTTGTTGAATATGATTTTTAATAGATTGTTTTTAGTTATTCCTAAATGCCATTAATTTTAGTAGATTAAAAAATAAAATCATATTTTAAAATTAGTTTTCAATTTAAAGATTTCAAATATAATAATACCATAAATGTGCAATAAAACAGAATTTTAGTTTATAAATAATAAAAAATGATATTTATAGATTTTGAAATTAATGAATAACGAAAAATTCAATTATTGGCTAAGTTCCTTAATTTTGTTAAATATAATGAGATTATAGAATACTTAATTAATTTTATTAAATAAATTAAAATTGAATTATTCCTAAATGTATTATCTTAAAGATGAGATTTTCATATGCAATATATAATAATTACAACTATCCAGAAGCTACATATTTTTTATACTTTTATAATAATGTTTTAAGGTAACCTTAGATTATATATTATGCAATGTTCATATACCTAAATGACGGTTAGTAAACTTTTTTATTTTATTTTTTTTTTCGATTTAATATTTTTGTACATTAATTATTATTTATTGTAAAGATGATTGACTTACGAAAAGAAAAAAATATATTTGTTATAAATTTGAATTCAATTAAATTGATGCTTTGCTTCAATGAAATTATCCTATCGTTTTTCATATTTCAGGTGCCATATGTTGTTGAAAAACCTTATGCAGTGACCGTGGAGAAACATTTTCCAGTACCAATACCAAAACCATATCCATTACATGTACCTATTTATAAACATGTATTTCATCATCAAAGTAAAGACTGGGATTTCTGAAATTAATATTTTTTACTCAAGATATTATATAAATCTATCATTATATTTTTTTATGAAATTAGTTAATTTCCAAGTAAAATTTTTATATTTGACTCATTTTTAGTTTGGCGTTGAAAATCACTTTTATTTATATAGTTACATGTTATAATGTCAAATAAATATTTAATTTTTATAGTGCATCGACTCAGATAGCTGAGTAATATAATTATAAGAAACATCTACTATAATACTTCTTTAAGTATTGATCTAATTTTTTATTATAATATAGTTACAAGTAAAGTATAAATAAATATTAAAATTACTTTGTTAACTAAAATTATTAAATTAACAGCTTATTCTAAATTACGAAATGAATTATTAATATTAAACCTTATTATTTATTATTGTGCGATAATAATTTTGTAATTCAATAAAAAATTATTGTACATTTAGAAGTTAATTTATTTCAATTAATCGATGGTTTTAAGTTTTACATATTTGTACGTTTTAATTATTGTGTCGTATTTTTAATTAATATATCTTCATTCGCGGGTCATTATTTAATTAAAATTTAATTTGTTCATCTACTAATTATTTGTTTCATTAAAAATTTTCATTTATTACTAAAAATTTACAATAAATAATAGTTACCTATAATTTGATACTTATATACATCAAGTAGATTATAAAAGATGTATATATAAAAATATATTTTTTTGCATATTATATTACATTTTATTTATGATCTAATTAATAATTCTATTAAGATATTTATGCAGAGAAATATTATGTAAAATAAAGCAACCTATTAAGTCTTTAAAATAAAAAAATCGTGTCCAATTTCATTGACTATCTGAGATGAAATATTTTCAAATTTTTAAGTAAATTTCAGATTTTGAAGTAAAATCTATGTAAAGAATAAAAGAATACAGTGGTTAGTTAAATTATTTTTCCTATTTAAAATTATTAAATACCAATAAGACACTATAAGATTAATGATTTTAAATACCATCTATTTGATAAAGAAATTAGAAACTTTGCAAAATACGTATTTCATTTTATATATTATTTTACTAGTTAAAAATTGCATTATATTTCACGTAGGTGGTTATTTAAGTATTTAATTAAGATTATTGAAACATATACATACAAATTCTATATATAATTCAACAATATTCAATCTAGTAGTCTAATTACTTCCAATCATGATCATTAAATGAAAATACTTTCTTATATGTATATGTATGGGTATATGTAATAAAATATGTATATCATAAATATCGTAAAAATATAATAAATTTAAGTAGATTCTAATGAATTAAAAAAATGGCAATGTTACACTAAATGTTAGAATAAAGTTTGTAAAAATATGAAGGAAAGTATTGTAAAGATAAAAGGAATCCATAATTGTATTTTAAAATAAAAAAACATTTTAGGCATTTAGCTTCCATGATTGGTGTAAAATTTACTTTTGTACATACTCATAATACGCATCTCATAATATTCATAATAATATTATGAAAGGCACATGGACTTGTAACTAACGGAATTTGTGTGAAATTTTGTATTATTTATTGGATAGAGTATAAAATGAAATAATTATAGACTGTATCGTTATTACATTTAAAATCGAACATAGTAATTATATTCATTATAACTAGGTTTAAATTTTTACTAGAACAGTTGCTTTCCAGTTTATGTATAATTGTCTTTTATTAATAAAATGACTCGTTCAATTTTTTATTCAAGTAGTTGTTAAAATAATTTTTACAATTCGCTCAATAAATGATTAATAAATTGAATGTATCAAATATCTTGTATGTGAATTGTTAAAGATTTTATCGACAGCAATACCACTAGGTCCATTGGAAAACCATATTGTTATTGAAATAAGAAAAATTAATTATTATGCTATGTAGCATAGTAAACGCAATAGGTAGCATTTTGCATTTAATTTATTTCATAGCAATTGTTTTATTATTCGATTTTAAATGTCACAATCTTTGGCTAAGCAAAGATGGTAGCAAGACCGTACGTATTAATTGTTTCAAAATATTTGTTTGTACATTTACTTCAATTAATTTTAATATAAAACCATTCTTTGTGTTACATTCCCTGTGACAGAATTTGTTACCAAATTTAGAATATCGTAGGTCTGCTTCCATTTCAATCGATATTCTTGACGATTACAAATCTATTAAACTGCTTGTGAAACGCTAAATTATCAGAGGAAACTCAAAAATAATTCCTAATCTTGGTATATTAATGCAGTTTATCAGCGTTATTGGTTTTGAATAATTACTTATTATTTTCGTGTAAATATAATTTTTAAATAAATTTAAAAAAAAAAATTAATATGTTTTTTTAAATATTTAGTTTTTTTTTTTTTTAATAAATATTATATTTTTGAAATGCTCATAATGGTTAGAAACAGAGACGGAGCTCATATTCTGTGTATATTAAGATTTGTGTTCATTTTTTTTTTCTATTAAATGCCTTACTCATAAAATATATATCTATAGAATATCTACGAAGAAATTTCTATAATAATATTATTACATTTGTATACTTAAATAAATTTTAGCTTATAGGTTATGTTAAATTTCGTTAAATCGAATATTATTAATATAATTAATTAAGGTATATTAATTAATTCAATAAAAATAAAACAGGACTGAAATATTGTAAAAATTAATATATTATTTACTTAATTATAATTATAATAATTATTTAATTTCTGAAAATTAAAATAATAATATTTCATAGTCTGAATTTCGTTATCGCAATAAGGTAAATTTGGTTTATAATTTTTATACTAATAGCATATTAAAAATTATAATTTTCAGTAACACTTGAAGAATACTTCAAGTTTTGAGTAAGTTACAAAGTATAATTTTCAATAAATCTTGAAGAATATTACAAGTTTTTAGTATAGAGTTAGGTCAAACAAAATAATAATTGTAAGAAAGTTTTCGTAAATAAATCAGATAGAAGATTATTTTAGAACATTTTTTGCTATGCCATTCTCCATGAGAATGAAGAGAATTCAATCAATTTCATTGAATTATATTTACATATTTTAACAATATTTTAAAATAACGATATGAACTTTTACATGTGTTAAAATAAGTTTTCGTTTCTATTAGAAATTGAGATATAAATTATCTCTTAGCTCATATATTACACGATATGTAATTAGTATAAATTCTCTGGATTACTACATTTTGCTATATTGCAAAGAGCGACATTTTTTAGCATATAAGAGTGATTTTTAGAAATAAAAGTTCGTTTTAGTTTTATAAACAAAATGTATTTATACATAAAACATAGAAAAACACAGTTGTAATGATGTTTATTCGAAGTTAAGATTTTAGTCTTTTAGTCTTTTTTTGTAATGAAATGAATACATTAGTAAAATAATTATTTTCAATAAATTATTGATAAAAAACTTTATATGATATAATTTTCACGAATTTTTTTCTGTAGGAATTTTAGATAGCTATGTTCATAAAAACTTCATATTTTATGTTATCTATTAGACTTTTTTAGACTTTCTATTTACATCTAAAGCTTTTATATGACTATTTTACTGTAATTTTTTCAATTAATTTTTGTAACATTTTATCATATTAATATTTATTGATAACAATTATGAACTGGAGATAATCAATTATTAAGCTGTAATGATATTTCTTAATTTTTTTTTTTTTTTTAGAGAAAGTTAAACTTTTGTATAGATAAACGATAAACATAGTTTTTGAAAATACTGTTTATTATTTAAAATTATCAAAATTATTATATATTATTAGACTTTTAATTAGAAAAAATATTTGCTATATTATAAAATAAGTCATTATATATGCTAAAAATCATTATCAATATAGAATTTATGAATTAATAAATTATAATGTTTTAATAATTGCGAAACCATAGCAAAGTACTTGTATTTGCAAGTAAACGTAGTAACGCCTCTAAGCAGTTGCAAGTAGAATAATCATGATATTCATGTCCCTTTTTTACTAAAACTCATGCTATGCCAACTACTTCTACTGACATGCATTTATTTAAGATATATCGGGGCAAAACTGAGAAATTGCATCAATACTCGCGCTACCTCGCAATACTAACAGTTGCCGATTAAGGGAATCTCATGCGTTCGTATATTTGTAGAATTTTCTTTTATCTCTTTTCAGTACCGCAGGCTGCTTAATTAAGAAAAAACTTGCTCTCGTAGTCTGTAACTGGGGCAAAAGTTTATAAAACCGACTAACGTAATCGAATCATTCTTAGTTTTCGTCTGTTTTGTCAACTTAACTAAACCTATCGTCTGGCCGATGTATTTTTCCTCCACTTCACATCTCAAATATAAGTAGTTCCTTTAAAGTTAATCTATATAATACGAAAGGAAATATAAAATCATGGCGAAGTTATTCGTAAGTGTATTATAATATTTGCTATATTTTTAAATTATGAATGTTATTTTAGTGGAATAAATTTATATTAATAATAATCGATATGAGTATCGATATCAATAACACATCGATCGTATATTTTTAAATTGTAATAAAAATTATGTTGTATTAAGCTATCTAATATAAAATAATAGATTTATTTAATTTTTTAATAATCAATTATGCATTTCCTGTAAAATATTTGTATACTTTGGAAGTACATGTCCTATAATATAATCGAAGAACTATACAATTTTATGTTACAAGATTAACAAAATTTTGTAAAATTTTTATATAAAATGTAGATGTTTACAATAAAATAAATACATTTATCACCATTTAATACTAATTTATACCAATGAATGCAATCAAACTATCCTATAATTGATAGAATTTATGGATTCCAAAAGAGTACCTATTAAAATGAACGATAATGTATTAAAACGAAATAAAGAAAAATTTCAAAATGCTTATTACGTAATTATTATAAATAATAATATAAAATTATATTTCCCTTTAACTCGTGAAAATATTAATAGTATAATGCTGTAGTATTGTTATTCTATAATAACATGCTTCCAGGTATTATTATTTCTGTATTTCGGAAGCGTTTACGCAGAATCGCAAATAGAAACAAACATGTCAAAAGACATGATACCGAAAAATATGGACAGTATTTCGATGATAGAATCGCCATTGTCAAAAATCAAGAGACATTCCTGGCCCACACAAACGACTCCGTGTCCACCGTATTGGCCTCAAAATAAAATTTGGCAAATAACGCAAAAACCCAAAGTCCAGTTTATTCAACAACCGACTTACCCTGTCAAGCCTGTTTATCAATCGGTAAGACTTGTAAATAAATAAATTGTGAATATTAGTAACATATATTAAATAAAAAATACTATCAAATAAAATTTTCAAATGTAACATGTAAATTTTAAATATTATAAAATATATCGTATGTGAAAATTCAAAATGCTCATGTTATAAATATAAAATATGAATAAATTTATTTTATATAGCTTCGTTATTTTATGCAAGTGCGTGTATTTTCAATATAAACACGCAATAAAATATCTTGTATTATTATTATTTGATTTTATTATTCACCGAATAAATACGAATTTTAATTAAATACATTATATTATTAAATGATGAATAATTATTTGACTTTAGTATTTAATTAATTTACTTCCAAATAAAGAATATTGAATTCTTTTATAACAATCTCAGAGCTTACAATCATAAATAGGCATAGTCAAATATAAATATAACTTTTAATAAAATTAATAATTAAGTTGTTCTTATCGTACGACATTATTTAATTTGATTCTATTTAATTCGTATACAAAATTATTAGGAAAATAATAATTGAATACGTACTTATATAAAGTATACGTTACAAAAAAGTATCGATTTATTTAATCATTAGTCATAAATGATTATGTTGCTTATTAATAGGTATTATTATAAAAAAAAATTGGCTTTTTAGAGTTGGCAGTCATCGAATCCCTGGCAACAAAGTTCTGCTTCAAAGAATAACGACTGGCCTATGTTGTCTAACCCTTGGGCCATATCATCTACTGGATGGTCGAAGCCTGTTACTAATCAATGGCCCGCAGCATCTATTGGATGGTCCAAGTCAGCACATGGATGGCAGGCCTCGAATTGGCAACTTTCCGACTGGCAACCAAAAGTCACTCTTCAAAAACCAGCACAAACTTACTTACCTCAATACCAAAAGACCACTTACAATCACGTGCCTAAATATCAAAATAATCTCATCAAACCCGTGTCAGCACCAATTGACTGTCCACCATATCAACACGAGCATTCACCAAAAATAGGAGTGGTTTATGCTCCTGAGCATAAATATCCAATCCAATCGTTTAATAAATATTATCACAACGAGCCACAATATGTGAAGCTCTCAAAGCCGATTTATCATGCACCACCATCAACTTATCTCCCACCACCCTCATACAATCGACCAAAAATTCCACAAATTGATGTATGTGATAAATAATAAATAGAAAAAGAGATATAAATTTATTATGTACAATATACACTAAAATGAAATTGACATATTTAATTTAAGGCTTGATTTTATTAAATCAGTATTTATATTTTTACGGAATCTTTTTTTTATTTATATTATGTAAATAAAGTTTTAATAATTTTTAATTGTTATCATTTCCACATGCTTATCTATAATATTAACCTATATTAATTTTAAAGATAACATATAATGTTTGTAAAATAAATCTAAAATAAAGTCTTAACAAAATTATATATATATATATATATATATATATATATATATATATATATATACACATTATATAAATTTTACAATAGTTTTTTATTTAATAGAAAAATTTTTATTTTTATTTAATAAAAACAAATATTATATTTAAAAATTATTTTAATTACATGATGAAACTATAAGGAACTATTAATTATATGAAAATATCAAAATAATGAAAGATAAGCCCAACCTATTTGACAATTGAAAGGTTTTTATATGTTTTGGCTGGAGAGCTAATTAATACTCAATAGTGACTTAAATTATGGAATTAGTTCATTTTGATTGAGAGAGACAGTCACAGGATTAATATTTTAGAGAAGTAGATAATTAATTAATGCTGAGTACCAACTTCGATTATTTAATTAATTCCTTCCGCAATTAATTATTACTTGCTTGAATTATACATAATGTAATAAAATGGATTGATGTATGTTTTTGATACTGTAAGAATTATAAAAATAAAATATCTTGCTATATTTTTCATTTCTACTTTCCAATTCTTATCTGAACAGGAGTACGAGAATTTATAAAATATAGTTATTTATAAAAACATAATTTTACCTTTCTTTCGCATTATATGAGTGCACTGTGTATTTACGTTTTATAATACTAATATTTAATTTACGAACCAACAAATTAGTATATTCAGAAACTATTAAGTAATATATGTATTATTTATATCTATTCTAACCAAACATTTTATTTAATACTTTAAATGTTTTTAGTAGAATTAATTACTTAATTACGTTATTAGATGAGACCGACACATGAACGAGTCCCACATGAACTTGGCACTGTTCAACGCATTTAGTGATCTATTTCTAGAAATTTATTTCGAGTAATGAGTACCAGAGTACTGAATATTACATATTTCATATGCAAAATTTCCATTACATTTGCAGATAGAAACCAATAGTGTTGATAGGGTACTATTTTCGTTCGACGTTAATTACTTTTATATTGAATAAGAAAAGCAAACATTTTTACTAATAAGATTATTTTAAGTAATCAAAATTTTAAACAAGATAGTACAATTAAATCAATTTTTTGTAACGTATAAACTCGTTACTAATTGTATTTACTAAATATTCAACTGTTGTTTTTTTTAAATTTAGAATGCTTTTTTCTTGAACATTTCCTCTCCTTTATACTTATCTTATTATATTAATACACAATATTTATTTTCTTCTCGAAAACTTGTTACTGTTATTCAGTATTTTATAAAAATCACTTAATTGAATAAAAATTTTAATGACAATTATGAAAATAGCAACAAATATATGGAACATTTCTTTCTTTTATACGGAATATACTATTAATTAACAATACATGATAACTATTACTTTTTATTGAATTATTTTTGCATTTATTTAATATTAATAGGAGACACAATAAGTACATTTATATAAAAATTTACATTACATGTATTATTTATAAGAATAACTTGTATATATATAGAAATAGGAATAGGATAAAAAATAATAACGGATTTAGAACTTTGATTTATTTATTTTTTAATAAAATTTGCTCAGCCCATTTTTATCCCATATAAATACACTCCATTAGTCGTAAAATATTTAATAATTTCTATGATTTTTCTTTATTCAGAATAAATATATGCTAATAATTTATGATTTATTATTTGGAAGTAATATACTTTCCAAATACGTATTATTTTTGTAATTGACTATTCAATAATATATTCTTTCTATATAAAAACTGCTTTTGTCCATTATAAATATTAAAGCATATCGCGAAAAGAATATTCATTAAAGAGCAGAAATTTATATAAATAGTTAATTTTTATATTATAGTAAAAAGAGTGTCAGATTAATATTTTTTTTTCAATCAAGAATAATTAAATTACATAGAAAATTCTTTGACACATTTCGAATTAGAAATCTTAAGTACCCAAAAATTGGTGACTAAAAGATAACAATTTTTGACAATCTTTGATCACTTTACCGTGATTATGTATATAAACTGATTACAATACCATAACTTAACATAAATACAATGTTTTTGCTAAAGCTGAAACGAATGAAATAAAATTCTACGTTACATTTCTTCAATAAATAATTATAATAGTATTGAAAATAAATAAAGACAGTATAATGTTTATAAATATACTCTACAACAGTAATTTTCTTAATGTGTATAGTACTATTTAATTAACAATATTTTAATGTCTGTATGTGATATCAACAACGTCAAAAAATCTACACGAATAACATTGTACAATATCACAAAAATTACGTTATCAAAGTATTATTTAAAAATATTTTTATAATTCAACTCTAATTTGCCATACAACCTTTTTACAGATTTGACTTATATAAATAATTTATAACTATATAAACATTTTGTCACATTATGAAAGAGTTTTTAAATAATAGAATATAAAATAGGGAATACATATTTATATGCTAATGTAATTCATAGAATATTTTGAATTTTATATTCTACTAATTTTTCTCAATATACCGAGGGATTTGATAACAAACACTACATCGCTACAATACAGTCAAACCTTTTCGCATATTAAATAAAATTAAATATTCTAGAAAATTATAAAATAACTTTTATTAATAATTTGTATGATTTAAATTGATTTTAACGCGATTTGTAAATAATAAATATATCTCCATGTTTATGGAATGAGAATGAAACTAATAATATCTAATTTTGTTATTATGAAATAACAATTAATATATGTTTTATTATTTTATAATTTTCATTATTTAATTTTATCTTAGCAATAAATACTATATCTGAGATCATTAAAAACTATATTAAAATATTTACAATACAAATATATAAAATGAAATTATCTGATAGTCTAAGAAATATTAATTCGAAATAAAATAAAATTAATCAATTTTTTAGATATATGAATAAATCAATCCATTTAAGATAATAGATTATTTTAGAAAATATTGGTTTTAAAGGATGCTAGTATGAGTTTGTATATAGAATACAACAATCGACAATATCATAAAATATTGAGGAAAATATGATTATCATCGATGTGATAACAAATTGCAAATATATATATACGTACGTAAATGCATATACATGTACATAATATATTTCCTTCTAAATTTAATTATCGTTTCATTAAATACTAAAATATGTAATTCGTTTCAGAAAATAACACTTGACTAGATCATCATCGCATGTTCGACTATTACTTGCGCCACCCATAATTTTTTCATAGAAACAACTACGTTTTATTTCTTTTTTTTTGTTTAATTTATTTTATTCCATTTTTTTTTTTTTTTCATTAAATTTCATGAGAGACTTTTTTTATAAAAAAATAGTACGAAATAAAAACATAATGCGTTTCTAGGTACTTTGATTTGTGCAACTTCTCATATTGCACATTCTTAAACTACAATCTATTTTATTTTATTATGTACCCATAAAACTTGATCCCATTATATTATGATCCAATGTTTGTTCTGCCAATATATAATCGATTTATTACTTTAGAAAGACAATGCGTTATGCATAAAACTCTTTCTTTGGTCCTAATTCATATTCCATTTCTTCATTTTTATACATGTCCATTATCTGGAAGAATAAATGATTAAAATTTATATTATTAAAATAGAGTCATTTTTATTTCTTTTCGTATCTACTACTTCCGATTTATATTCAATTAAAAAAAATATAATATATGAATCTTATTACATAGTTTATGAGAATTACATGTTTTACTATTTTTAAAATTTTAAAGAACAAGTTAAGAATGAATAATTGAAAAAACTGATTATTAATATTAGCCTTATCTTAATAGTGCGATTATTAAAGATTATTTAATAATTGCATCGATCAAATAATGTAATTATATAAAATATATGTGTGAAAAAATAATTATGTTAAGGCGAATAAGAAAAGTTTAATAAATGATATGATAGTTAATCACAATATAAAAGAAATATTTGTAAGAATAAATATAGTGTGCGCATAAACAGAAATATATATGAAAGTTGTTTGAAAAGTATATGATGAGAGTGCATATAATTGTTCTTAAGATGAGAAATTTGAAATAAAAATAACAATATTTTCGTCTTACTCCGTTCATTTCCTTCTGCACTTCTTCGAGTTGTTTCTCGTGTATGTGTTTCAATATATCTTTCTCCCTGTTCTGCACCATTTGTGCGACCTTTCTTTCTTCCATAAATTTCTTCGTGTTATTTTGTTGCTTCTCTCTAAGCCTGCCTTCCTTGATTCCTCTTGTCTTCAAAGTCTTATCATTCATAACTTCACGCATGCTCTCTACCGACAGTCTTGCCTGTCTTGCATTCATCTCTTTAATTTCCTTTTCATGTCTTGAAACTAACTGCTTCTGTTGCGTTAATTGAGCCATACTACAGAGCTTTCGTAACTGCGCTTTACGTTCCTCTAAGTGAACTTGAATTAGATCGCGTTCCTCGCGACGTTGACGCTCTGCTAAACGGGACCACTGAGATGTTTGTTCAGAAACAGCTTGGCGTACAATTGGATCGCGTGATAACTCTGTCTGACTGTAAAATTAAGAAGTTCATTTGTCAGTGACTTTCCAAATTACAAATAAAATTATTTACTGCCAAGTGGATACTCAGTCTACGTCTCATTTTAAGAAATACTTTATTAAAGATGCATAACTTATTATTTGCTATCAAATAATATATATATATATATATATATATATATATATATATATATATATTCATTTTACATGACTTTACGAATTTATTTTATATTTAAATTTAAATTTATTTTTTATTCTGTTCATATAACTATTAAATAGATAAAAAAGAACAATTAAGTTAAAAATTTCATTAAGAAAAATTTAGGCATTTAAAAAAAAAAAAAAAAAAAAAAAAAATATAATGAAATCTATGGCATATTATTATGAATTATATTGAAAACCATTTTGTTAACGAATAGAACATAATTTGGAATGATGTTCATTCATGATATCCTAAGTGATCGTTAAATCGTACATTAATTATGAATAATTTATCAATATATAAATAGAACACGAAAAGTACATTACAATGATTTTTAATAGACTTACTTTTTTCCTTTAATTAGTTTTTCTATTGCACTACATTGTTGCTTTTGTATAGAAAATCTTTCTTTTTGTTGTCTTCTTTTTAAAGATTCTAAATCCTTATGTTGCTTTCTCGTTATTTTAATATAGCCTTTTTCATGACGTAGTATTTCAATTGTTATTGGCTCAAAATTTATCTCTTCTATATAATCATTATTAATTTAATATATATATATATATATATATATATATATATATATATATATATAGATATATATTAATATTTATAAAATATTATATAAATATTTATAAAATATTTAAGAAAACAAGAAGAGAAAAATACCTCTAGGCTTTGCCACTTCAGAGAAACGAGATGGAATTGATTCCATATTATTTTTGTTCTCATTTTCTTCTATTCCAAGTCCACGTATTTTTGTTTGCTGAGGTGCTTCTGCTTTTCTTAAAGTTCTTGGAGCTGATAATGCATCCATTAATTCTGTAATCAATTTTTAACACTTTTCTAATAAATATTATATAAATATTTCGACTTCAGATTTCAAATATCATTAACATAATTTAATTTAATTAACTTACTATGCATATATCTAGCTAAATAATCAAATAAATAAATAAATATAATTTATTGAAAGAATAAAAACAAAAGTCCAAAATTACATCATCATAATATGTTAGATAGCCTAAGAAATATAATGTTTGTCGATTTATTATAAAGAGGTGCTTGAAAAGAAACTATAAAAACAATTAACTGTATTTATATACAAAATTAAGTTAATATCAGAGTTATGAATTGACACTGCAATTGTTTTGACAATTTCAAAAGATTTTCACTATGCATATAATAATCAAATTTACCGGATCTATAATTATTTTTTTTTTTATTGTTAAAGCATATAATTTGTTAAAGAAATTAAATTACCTTCAAAGCCATCTGGAACATAAATCTTTATGTCAATATTACAAAAGAGCATAGGCAAAGACATTGGAAAATTTGCCTCCGTTCTGAGCGCTATGTGCCGATAACCTGACTGAAGTCCATCAAGAGGAACTATTCTTTGCCCAAGTAATCTACCATTCGATTCGTCATAAACAGCAAAACGCAATGCTGCAAGATCCGGTAATACAACCTTTCGGAACAAAAATGGCTCTTCATTATAAACAGGATTTAAACCATTGGCTGGTATTGTTCTAGTTCGAAATTCTTTTCGAATTGTGTCTGTAGGAAGACCGTACATCTCAACTTCAACGTATGTTCCAACTTTTTTATCGGATAAGAATTGTCCAGCTATTACCTATACAATGATGTTTGCATTGACTCGACATATTGTATGTAATAGACAATTTACTATATTACCTCTTATTAGTCACTATGATAATAATAAATCTATCTGATGTATTAATTTTAAAATCCACTCACTTGAACACTACATTGTGTAGCAATGACACCGTCAACGGGACTTTCAGCGAACGGGTCAAAGCTTCGATCGGATCGTCGCATAAAATCGGGCTTCAATAGATAACCCGATGAACCATTATATTCAAATTTTCCTTGATTTAGTTGCATCGGCAAGTCAGAAGTTTGAAAATTTAAGGAAACCATTTGACAGCCTGCATTCCAAAATACCTAAAAAGAACATATTCAGCAATATTTTATATTATTATATTCTTAAAAGTATTAATAAAATTATATAAACAAATATTCGTGCGAACCTGTGGCATATAATTTGACGAGTCAGCTCGAGTACCTTTCGGGTAAATCCGGCTCATTTGTCGTTTATTGTAATTCACGAATTCGATAGCCGACGTTTTTAAATGATTTAAACCAGTTGCCTCCGAGAAAGAAGACATATTATGATGGAAATTCTTTTCTAAAAATATTTTGATTGTCTTATTGCAGTATTTTTATAAATTTGTATTATGAATTAAATCAAAATATTTATAGCTCGACAATTTGTAAATAAAATCAATATGCATGCAATTCTTATAAACAGTATAAACAATTCTATTAATTAGCATGAATTTCATCACTAATAAATAAACTGAATGAAAATCTGAGCGATAATATTAAAACAAGTGGAAGAAAATTTCTTACAATTTATATGAAGAACCTGCGTTACCCTGATATTTATAAAAGCTACATCATCCATAATAACACTATAAAATAATGAATACATTATTGTAATTAAATTGACGTGGACATACGTTCTGCAACGTCGAAGCCTTGGAATTTTATGGGCTGCGCATAATTTACCATTGATGACAGCCAGGGATGTACGTTGGTTGTACTACCAGTGTATGGTTGTACAACTGCTAATTCTAAGCTTTCGCTTTGCTGTGATAGTTTCAGTTGTCCTGTCGCTACTGCCGCCACTGGATCATTAGTTAGTTCATCCTAAAAATTAAAATTACCATTTCTTAAAAGAAAGCTTTAAGATTAATCACAAAATTTTTTAATAGTTTTCACTTAAAGATGTGTCGATTATTTTGCTGTTTTTTGGTTTTTGTTTTGTTTTAGTATCATGAAGCTATATTCTTTAAGATAATTTCACGTACGTTGGTTTATGTATGTATACGTATGTGATTAATAGTTCATATTTATAAATATGTATGCAAATGCAAACTTATATTTATGAAAATAAATGCATCATGGTGGATGAGCTTCAGCAGTTACCTTTACCGATTGTTGTTCGACAATTGGTGCTACAGTTGGTGGCGCGCTTGCATCTTCTTTAAAGTCATCTTCTATTATAAATTGACCTTGTTTGAATAGTTCAAGTTCCTGCTTCTCGACTTCAGACTTTAATCTTTTGTTTTTTATTAAAATTTTTCGTTTTAATGCGCTTGGTGGTGGAAGTGCTGCCCCTGGTTCTAACTAAAATTATATTGCAAATTTATATATTAATTGATTTAATTTAGAGAAAGAAATTAATTTGATTATCAAATGATGAAAAATCACCAAGTAAAGAGTGTTATAATTTAGCGTAAAATATACTTAAAAAAAATTATACATAAATTATTTGTACGTCTAACTAAATTATAATTCATATATGTAAAATGTATTAAATTTATAATTTATTAATATTTTTATATAATGAACTAATCTAGATATTTGCAAGCAAGGGAAATACTATATTTTGTTACAAAAATAATATTAAGTTACCGGGTAATCTTTCAAGGATTCCTTCAAAAGCAAATCGCCAAGTATTTCGTCACAATATTTAGCCAATTTATATTGCTGTGCCTTACTACAATGATTTTCAAAACTAAGAATCAATGGGAAATCCGTAGTTACAAAAGCGGTATCTCTTATAGCATATATGACGTCTTTGAAAAGAATGACGGTGCACATTGCCTTGCCGTGAGTTATTATAGGCTCTTCGTCTTCCCCTTTGCCATCCCAACAATCTAATTCAATGCACCTAAAATCAAATCTATCCTTACAAATATGACATAAGCCATTAATATATTTCATGTATTTTTATATGACAATTGAATTATTTTTCGTTATTTCTATGAAATATCCGACATATATACAGTGCTCGTGAAAAATACCTTAACTCTTTTTATAACGACACGAATGAATGTATAGTAATTAATTAATGCAAAACTACGTAGGCAAATTTATTGATTGCAATTTTTTTTAAATATATGTATATTTTTAAAAACATTTCTATGCAATCATGTGGATTAAATTTTAAACTGAATTGATATTCATTTATATACTTTTCGTAGTATACCTGCAACCTGCTAATAAAACTTGTCGATACATTTCTACGCTGCTTTTACCACCAAACTGTCGTCCACTTAAATACGTATTGTGACTGGAATTAATGTAGTAATGTGACAAAGGTTGGTCCATATCCATATAAACATCCAAACGATCCAGAAAAACTGGTGCATTTTCGTCAGACATTAGGTAGCGAATGAAGCCATCTTTACTCATACATTCTGTAAGCATTTTGTTCTTGTTTCAAAATGAAAAGTTTTGATATACTGACGGTAAATTGATATACATAGATTTGAGAATTAAATTTAAATTATTTCAATGAACTGAATAAATTGTATATTTTTATATATTCTTACAATAAAAATCAGAATAAATGTCAAATAATTTAGACCTATTCACAATTATAAATATAGAGTTTGTAGTTGCTGAGCTATGAGTATCATAATTAATACATTAATATTTAAATAACAATAATTAAGTACAAAATTTTTACATTGTAATAGTATTATAATAATATTAAATTGTATATGCTATTTTATATAAAACTAAACTATTAATATTATCATATTGAAATAAAGTCTGTAATGTTAGCAAATATTTTTTTTTGTATAAGATTATTATTTTTAGAGCACTTATTTTGAAATTGAGTTTAATTTTCGGCTAATAATCACATAAATAGAATATTTTTTGTTTATTTACTTTATCTTTATAACTTATCAACGTATGTTATCCGATATGTATATCATATTGGATAATTTTTATTTATATCATAAAGTTTAAAAAAATGTTTTATGGCGAATTATAATAATTATAATTTTCACTTATCAAGTATTTTAAGAGAGACTGAAATACTGAAAAAGAGTTATCCAAACACTGTGTAAAATACAAGATTGTAATGCGAAAATTTCGATCAATTGATGTTAAAAAAATATCGCGTACTATTATAATATTATAAACTATCTTGAATACATACAAAAGGAAACCATTATTTTAAATTAAGAATGTTAATAGAAAGTAAATGTGTACTAATAAAAATTAATTAACACACTTCATTAATACAACTGAAACATAATAACTGTGTTAAATACACACACAGTTAATATTAATTATAAAATTTCTACAGAACTATTAACGGTCTAATCATATCTGATAAGTTCTGATTTAATCTAACATATTCCGTATAATTGATAGAACATATTTATAACTTAAAATATAAGAATACAAAATTATCCTTTTTAATATAGGCAAATTCAATTAATCCACTATGTACTCAATACTTTTACATATTTTAGTATATAGTTAGTAAAGTTAGTAAATTCATTAATTATAAAATATTAAAATAAAAAAATACTTTATATTTATGTATTTATAATTTTCATTATTTATTTATCATTTCTATTATTAATTTAACAAGGTCATAACAGCTCAGTACCACAAGATAATATCAACTATTTATTTGATTTTCTCTGCATATAACTTCACTAACGAGCATATTCTAATTAACAAAAGATGAAATTATACAATCAAATTTTTTTATAATTGATATTTATTTTATTTTAAATGATCCTTTTCATAATGTATCATTAAAATATAACTTAAATGACGCTTTTGTATTTTTCTTTGTTATTTTATCTTGATTAAATTTCTTTAATCAAACGTTTTATGAATAAAATAATTTCAAGAAGTGAATTTTATAATTACTAAATACGTTAAATGAATATTAATTAGAACAAGCATTACTTACTTTGTGTTCGAGTAATTTCATTTTGTTCGTAATCGTTAATTATTTCTGTAGCGCGCTTTTCATCATACAAAGGATATAGAATTTCATTTAATGTTGGATCACGTTGTTTTTCATTTAGAAACATTATTAATTGCTCCAAATTAATGGTATCACCTTTTCCTTGTATTCTGTACAGTAGCATTTATGTAAAATTTATTAAAATAAATATCGTCACTTGTATATCTTTATTAAAAATTATCTTAATTTATTTTATTTTAATATTACATACATCGATTGAAAAAGTTCTTCGATATCGTTTCTTGGACATATCTTATGATAAAGTGCATAAAATGCGTCAAAAGTAAAATCATCCGGTTCTATTACGTCATTCTAAAAATATATTGAAAATTTAGTTGCTTCATTATAATGAAATATACTTTTTTATGGAATAGTAGTTTTTAATAAAAGATAGAACAAATTTTAGCAATGATATAATTGTAATTTGTAATTCTACATAATTATACAATGTAGATAAAATAAATTTTTTTCAATTATTTAAAATTTTTCAATTTAAAAATAATAAAGTAAATATATATATATATATATATATATATATATATATATATATATATATATAATTGTAGTCAAATTAATACAACTTGGTTTAAAATATATTTATAGTTATAACTATTAAGATAGGAAAATACAGTATTTCAAGTACCGACTATTTGAATAGCTTAAATATAATAATAAATGCATCGGAACAAATTCCAAATTTTAAACGAAATTGTCATAGAGATGATATTGCATAATTCGTTACTATTTGTGAGTTAACTACTATTAATTGGACTATTAATTAGAACATTATAAAATAATATCTAATATAAATTGCTTAAATTTTTTATTTGCAGTTTTCACACTAATGTTAACTACTTTTATTAATTTTCTTTATACTAATTTTAATTCTTTAATATATTCCATACTCAGATCAATATAATTAATTCATAATATTACTACAAATATAATAATAATATATTGCCTTATGCGGTACTAAAATTATTTTTCATTACTTTGTTTTGCTTTAGTATAACATGAAGATATTTAATATTAGTTTTTCTCGGAATTGATTCTATTACGAATTTCTATCTTAACTTACTATAAATTTTCATTACATTTTTTTCATTTAATATGTTTATATGCTGGACAAAATTTACCTTGCCACTTGGTAAACCTAAATCAGAAAGGCACTGATAAACCAATTTTTCTGTTTTACCAGAAGCAAATGTTCTGGCCACCACCTTCACAGGGACTTTTCCATTTGGATCCACAAGCATTCGAAGTCTCATCCAACTATAGAAATTATTTATATTATAACTACTTCGTACCTTTTCAATAATATTAGTTTATTAGTAAGCATTAAATATTATTTTTATAGTCACTTATTGCAAATAATCTATATATGCAAAAATATTTATATATATTATCCATACATAATCAAAAATAATTTTGGGTTCTATTTTTAAATAATACCATTAAAATATTGATTTATTTCTATGATTATATAAAATCAAATTGATATGCAAGTTTCTCGTATTTTAAATATTTTTTTATGATATTGTTTATCGAATGAGAATAAGCTTAATTTTTATCATGATATAATGAAAAAAATTTTCAAAGATAATAAGGTTTACATTGAAAATAGTTCATCTATAATGATTATTTTTATAATTATAATAAAATATATAATTGCTGCAATAACAGTATGTACAAGTTAAAACATTTGGAAAATATAATTGGTTTGTATGTTATAAACAACTAAGATTTTAAAAGGAATTTTTGATATATTGAATAATCTGAAAGTGGCGATAATATTTTTATCAGAAATTTATCAAATATAAGTATTAAGTCATAATTAATATTATATTAGTTTAATTTATTTTCAACATTTTTTAATATAACAAAAATAATATAAATGGATAAATCGAATTTTATGTACCTTGTGGTTTAATTCTAAAATAATATTAGTGTAAAAGTATATAAATATTAATTATAAGATACATTATAATTTAAATATTGTATGTACATTTTGTAGCTACACATACTTATAAAATTGTATTTGTATTTTTCTTCGCCCTACGAAAATGGAAGATAGAACAAGTAATTAAAAGTACAAAATGATGAATAGGTGAAGTACATATAGTTGTTTACATAAATGAAGTCATAGTATATGAGTCAGAAGGGACAAAAGAGAAAAGACTAAAGTTAAAAAGAAATATGATAATAGTTTTGCCCATGTAGGCAGTTAAACGCATATCAAATATCAACTTACTGTTTTTTTAGGCACGTCAATGGACAAACATTGTTGGCTTTAACGTTATGGGTAATAGATCGTATTCCATCCAACCAGATCTATAATAACATAATTATATAACTAAAAATTTTAGGTAAAAAACTATATGTCTAAGATATTTTTCATATATTGTTATAAATTCATTATTAAACAAAATAATTTACAAAATTGACAAAAGAATAGCAATAATATTTATTTATGTTAGAATATATAAAATTAATTGATATTATATCAAATTTATATAGTATGTTTTATATTTATATTTATATTATATTCAAATGTATTGCACGCTTGATTATTGATAGCTTTTGATAACAATTTACTAATGTTTATCATCAAATGTTGTGCTTACTTTACCTATTGCATTTTTATTATGGATGTGTGTAATATAAAAACGAGATACATAATATTATGATAAATATTAATGTAAAGAATACATGAATTTTGAATTGCTATTTTATCATATAATACAGATATACCATATAAGGAAATATAAATAATTGGGACTATTCATTCAAATACAAAAACAAACTGATTAAAATTAATGCAGCCCCTGATTAGATTCGATTGAAAATAAAATCTCTAAAAAATATTAAAATAATATCAAGTAAAATGTAAAACTGAATTTTTTAATTATATCAATTTATTACACATACTTTGGTCGTATGTGTATCGGGACAAACGACGTGTTGATAATTGATATTGGTATAGTCAACTCCAGAGCAGATGGTTAGGCTTCTATCTTCCAGTTGCTCTCCATGTTTTCCATAAAGTTTATCGTATAATTTTAGGTCCTAGCAAATAGATAGAGAAATATAGTCATTATAGGTACTATACTGAGCTCACTCAAGTAATGATTTATGCTACATTTATTACATTTCTTAATATTTGCTATTTTTATGAATAATGACTTTTTTTAAAATTATATATATAAACTAAAATAATCAAATCCAAAGTTTTATTTTTATTTTATAGCATAAATAATTAATATCATTTAAATATTAATAATTATATATATATATATATATATTGTAAAATTTATCTGACAGTATAAATTATTGTTAATAATGCAATATATTACAAACAGTTATATTATTTTTTACAATTGTATTATAAATAAAATAAATTATTTGTTCGAATATTTTATTCCTTATTAATAGACGTTTTAAATATTTATTATACAAGTCTTAAATATTTATTCTATTTTGCTAATTTATACTTAATAAGTAAAGTATACTTAAATAATATAATTTTTACTTAAGTAAATTAATATATTTAACAAAATTTCAGAAATTATTAAACATATAGCGATGGCGACTATGCTGCATGCGTTTTTAATCATAAAATAAAAATGAGAAAACATTTTTTTGTCAAAAAGTTGATTTACCTTGGTAAATATTAAAACACTCATTATCTAATTAATTAACGCTAATTTGCTAATTTTATTCTTTAATTAATATTTATTAATAAGTCTTAAATAAATATCTTATAAACATTATTTATGATAATTTAAAATTGCTTTATTTCATATTATGCATTTATTTATATAAATTCGAAGTATTCATATTATGTCTTAAAAGAGGGTAGAAATAAATTATTTACCTTTGGTACTCCGCCAGCGCGTATGTCACTCACTTGACACAATTCGATGACGTCGCCGTCCTGCATAGGATAATCTCATCAATAAATATTTTATATATGAAATAGATTGATAAAAATGTTTTTATTTATATTTACGATCAAGTAATGAAATTTTTATGTAATTTTTTCGATAGTGTGTAATTTTTCAAATATTGTTAATATTAGAAATATCTAAATTATTTAACAATAAATGAATTTATAAAGAGCAAAAAATATAATTATAGATTTTTTATTTTTAAGTAAATTTAGAAATTTTCTTGTGATTTATCAGAATTTATTTAACATCAATATTTATCCCAAATTATATGGTCGACAGTTAATTTCGAAATCTACAAAGCCAAACAAATATAGATTAAAAATCAATAAAGTTTATGCGATTATAGTTTAACTTAAAATGAATACCATATCTACGCATCCATATTAAGAATGTTTTATTGTCAACAAATGCAATCTAAACAAATAAAAAAGACAAATTATATTAATAACTAATTTAAACTGAATTTCATGGATCTTATAAACTCGTTATTTATACAATATTAAATTAAAAATAGTATTAAAATTTAAATTACTTTTATCAAATAATACATAAAATTGAAAAACTTGCGTTCTAAACTACTCCGTGTTGGTCTATACAGTAAAAAAAGTTTGTTATTTATTATTAGTCAAAATACCTAAATAAATGTTACGATTTAAGAAACTGTAATATTAATAGGTGAATCGTAATAAAGTATAATGTAAATATTTCAATTTATTTGAATAGTATTATTGTATAAAAAAAAAAAAATTAAAAAAATCCATTCTTTATATTGATACATCTAAGGATGTAGAAAATATATGAGTTTATTCATCAAAATCTGTTTTCATTCTACACTTTAAAAATTAATAAATTAAAGGACAAATGAAAATACAAAATCGTTTTTATACTTTGTGTAGTAATTTAGTATTTTTAAATAATATACATATACAAACGTGTACATGTTGTATTTGAATTTTGCACATGTAATGAAAATAGATGAGGTAATGAACTTGCTACAATCATTAATGTCTTATGAATTCTTGTATCATAAACTATCGATCTTTATACATTTTTAATAATATTATTACTCATATTTTGAAACAGTTATTATTTACATAAATCGTATTCTACAGTTATATAGATGCTTTTAACTGTACTTGTATTTTTTGTTCAAACTCACATTATTTAATAATTAATCAAAAAATATGGTGCCTATACCTGTGACTCTAAGTAGATCAATAGTCCTCAGTAACATTAAATCTCGAGAGAATTTTTAGAATTCACCTAGGACTCTAAATCTCTCAAAATTTTGTACGAAATAAATTTTAATTAACGAGAGATACAAAAACATTAAATTAAAAGATAAGCAATCGTATGTATATAAAAATAAACCAAACAAGATTTTATTATTCACCGAATCACAAGATGAATTGTTATATATAATAGATGTAAATGAAAATCGAAATAAATTAGCTGGTCATGTTAACATTAATTTGCTGATATTTTAAAAATTTAACTCCATTGTGTAATTGAAATTAACCTGCAAAATTTTTTAAACTTTTCTTTTCAATAAAAATAATTACTATAATTGTAATGTATCGACTAAAAAATAATAAGGTTTACTTTATAAATATGTAGTGACATACAGATTTAGAATAAAAAGTATCATAAAAATAAATACTGAAAATTCCATTATAATTTTTTATACAATGATTCTTATTTTAATCATGATAATATAAAGGATAATCATTATATATAGATATATTATTTATTAATCATAAATTATATACGTAATGGATTTCAAACAAATAATCTAACAGATTTAATATTCTATGTAATATTTAGGTTTAAATACCGACGTTAAAAAAGTTTTTTACTAATATCGTGTTCCATGAATTGGTATCATGAATTTAAGTTTAATTTATTTCAATGTGCAAATATAAATATTTTTCATTTATGGACAATATTTTTCCATCGAATTCAAATAAATAAAAGTACATCGTAAAGTACAATTATCATAAATGTCTTATATTTGTTAATTTTATATTAAAAAATTAGTTATTATATATTAATAAAATCAATAATAATACTATATGCTTAGAAATATATTAAAATCTTTTTACAAATATTTTAGTCTATATATATATCATGGATATAAAATTAATTTCCTTTTTATAGAAAATGTCAAATGTTTAAAAAATAATAAAACTTTACTCTGTTAATTAAATCAAGATGAGTTGGCGTTTAGATAAAACCATTAATAATTTGGTTAAAAAAAATAAAATTATTAAATACACATTATTGGTTAATTTCAAATTTGTTCGATATGATTAATTAATAGAAAAAGTTTTCTTAATACCTTCCCCTCGCTCTGCCAGTAGATGAAGAAGCCATACTCATCGACCTTGAACATACAATTCAGTTCAATTTCCGTGTTATCTTTTTCCTCAGTCCATCGATCGAAAACACATCCATCTAGAAGTGCCTCTGGTACATCAATCTGCCAATTAAACTCAAACCTCTTCGTCATATTCTGCTGTTATCGTTGACGAAATTTAATTTTTTTTTAGTAGAATTACCGTTAGCTGCAAATAAAAATTATATAATCGAATAATATATATAATTTTTTTTTTTTTAATATTCATTATTTATTATTTATAATATATACAACATATAACATTTATAAATAAAGTATTAATGAAAATAAATATATTAGCTTCTTTAAGAAATAATATTGTCTTTATTATGTCTCTATATCGAATTATATATACTTCTTCAAGAAATACATGTTTTGTTGATATTAAAACACCGTAGAAACACCATACAAATATTCACGTTTGTCACACTCATGTTTTCAGAATTTTTGATTTGAGTAATTTTATATACAATAACAGATGTTATTATTCGAATCATCAAAGATATTTTTATTTCATCCTAATAATTTTTTTCCTTTCTATGTCACAAAGATGCTTAAAATAGACTTATGCTTAGTATGTTTATTAGTTTATTATATGTATATGATAATTTTATATGATAAAATTTATATGATAAAAATATTAATAATAATTAAATCTATATGAAGAAAAACTCTGTATATTATAAAGATGAATAGGAAAACAATATATAAAGGTAATGTAATGAGAATAGAGTAGAAATAGATAGATCAATGCACAGTTAATCTAGCAGAAATGTCGATGTTTAGAATAATATTGTCTGGTGGCATTTACAAATCATAACGAAAGACGTATGGATGTAAAAGATATTTTAATTTCTGTTACATTGCTTTCTCTCATTTTCTCCTAATGTTTATATAAATATATATTCTCTCTTTTTCTCCTTATGTATATATATATATATATATATATATATATATATATATATATATATATATATATATATAATTGTAATCGCCATTTAAGATAATAAAAAGTATATAAAATATTATGAGATTATTTGCATTTAATTACAGAAACTGATTTAAAAAATATTTTTCAAATAATGATAAAATATTTTGTATATTTAATGGAAGTTTAAATATACACTTTTATTTGTTGATTGTAGAAAAAATGGGTGTAAAATTTATTCTGTCCACTGTATACAAAAATATAGTTATATTTTTAATTATATATGAGAAGTATATTAGATGAAACAGGAGGAAATTTTTTGTTTTATTTAATCATTTGAATTGAAAGACTTTATTTGATACTAAATAATATAAATTTATATACTGTATATATTACATAATTTACTAAAAAACTAATGATATACTTAATTATAAATTATAGTTTCTATCAAAATTTACTACAATTTCATATTATAAAGAATTATAATTATAATTTTATAATTACTACACATTAAATTCAGACAAAAGGTCCATCGATTAATTAAATGAAAGAGCTTATAACTAGTATAAGTAGGTAAAAAGGGTAAATGAGAGATAAAGAATGTTATAATGGAATTGGAATAAGGACAACAAGCAGAAAAAGAGGATTGACAATAATTAAATAGGTAGATAGATAACTAGAGGCAGTGTTTGTGGGAGGGTAAACACGTAGAAGGGGAAGAGACAGCAGCACAGAGGCATAAAGCCGAGATATAAGTAAGAAAGTCGTTGTCCCCAATATATGGTCACTAACATAACAATATTGTAGTTTCCAATAAATTTGAAATACTATATATTTATAAGCATTATATTTGAGTTTGTTGCATAAAGTTATACATAAGAGTTTTTATGTATATTAGTATCGTATTAACGCAAATGTATTTATTATGCCTCCAAGTTTCAAATAAGAGTTTTGTTTTCAGAATTATTATATAGGCACATAATAATCAATATTTAATTCTCTATAAACAAAAATAAATGTTGATCTTAATTCTATTAACAATAGATAAATATTATTGCGATAACACAAAAAATTTGTAAGTGATAAAATATAGCTCAACATATAGATAAAGCATAAATTAAAATATAGAAAATATATTACATTATTATTTTAAATGAACGTATTTTGGATTATATGTTATTAATTTTCGTATACATTTGTTACGATTAAGTTAATATTTTACACTATACTTACTACAACGATTCAAATAACCAATACGTTTTATGATTATATAATTATACAGTTTGCAATAAAATATTTTAAATAATCAAAATTGTACTGCAAATTATATTAATAGTAAAATGGAATATAAATTTGAAATACCATTATTATGTCAGAACCTTTTTATTTATTTTTATGAAAAATAATATAAATAAAGTTGGCAGTTAATATTCATAGGGGAATATAAATTATAATTATTTGTTAACAATAACTATTAATTGTAATAACTCGTAAGCAATAATTAAATTAGTACATGAATCATTAGGAAAGACCAGAAAAAGCAAAAAAAAGAAATAAATAGTATTTGTAATATATAATATACATATATATATATATATATATATATATATATTGATAACAATTTAAGATAATTATATGAAGAGTGTTTCGACTTCTAAATTAATCAATAATCGAATAGACATTATAGTTATACAAAAATGCATATATTTCTACGGAAGCTTATATATAAAAGATAATAAGATATACGCTCATTTTCTTTTTTATTATTACACAATTATTGATTACTTAATTATTATTAAGAAAAAATTACTACAAAAACTTATAAATATTGGCAAATTATAAATAAGTTTCTTATAAGTAATTTTCCATCTATATATTTCAAATAGAAAGCTTACTTTTTTCGTAAGCTAATGAAAATTTGAACTAAATTGTATTTATACTATAATCGGTTAAAAGATAAAATAACCCGTATATTCGCTTTTCATATAAAACGTAGAAACTGTTGTTCGAATTTTAATATATTGCATCATGGATATTAAAATCTTACTATGACTACTATATTTTCACAGTTTTTAAATGCTAATAAGTTATACGACTTTCTTCGGATTTTGGTATTTCGATTATTACATTAAATTAAACTTATACTTCTGTTCGTAACATTAATATAAGTTTAAAAAATGTTTTATAGTAATAAGATAAATATATGTGTTATTTGACAACTAATAATTCTAACACGTTATTGTTAAACTATTCAAATAATTACGATTTATTTATTAATAATTAATAATATTTATTAACTGGGGATTGATAAAATAATAATTATTATCATTTTCATTACTATAGATTATTATATACTCGATACTATAGATACTATAGATTCGATACCTTAGATTATTATATATTGATTAATAAAAAAAAAAAAACATACATAATCAATCAAGAAAAATTGCATAATAATGTGTACATATACAAGAATTTCTTTTTTCATTTTATATACTGGTTGATAAGTATAAAATTTTATATGAGCACATTTGTGACAATAAGAAGAACGAATTCAAAAGATATATGGATAAGAGTAATGCTACAATGTCATTAATAACGTGTTCTTTTTATTAAAAGTATCTCAATTTTACTACTATCAATATATGGCATATAAAAAAATAGGAAATAAATAATAATGCATGTATAAATTTAATTAATAAAACAACATTAAAACATGTAATATATATATATATATATATATATTATATAACCACGTGCAATTAAAATAATGTATAGAATACGTGTATAATATACATTATATATAAAATATAAATTATACCATATATAAATAAATATAGTAAAATCTTTTATTTTATGGAATGATATATTTTCTGATTATGTAAATGTTAGCTGATTACAAATATATAATTAAATATAAATACATGTCATCATTATTATATATACGTCCTATTAAAATAGTACGTTCAAAAATTTGCTGAAATTTGAAATTATACTAATTACTTTGCATATTCAATGATGACGTATAATGTGTGTCTTTATATATTTCCACTCTATTATTTCGTATTTATAAAAATTATACAAAAAATGTTTAACTCTGTATTATGAATGGTGCTAAAAAGAAATAATGGATACTTCAAATATTTGATACTCCAATAGCTAAATGTTGCACAGACATTACAAGAAATGTGAAATATTATTGGATTTTCTATAATGTTTATTAAATATTTTCAATTTAAGCGTATCATTAAAATATCAAAATAAATATAAAATATTGGTAAACGATTGAGAGTGATCAATGATGTATAAATTTTAAACCATGTGATTTATATTATTAATTTTCCAAAGTATTAAAAATTTCAGTAAAGTTCTTCAATAAAAACATTCAATAACGTTATATTATTCATTTATATATATTTTTTAAGTAATCAATCTATATTATTGATATGTACTAATCCTGATATGTAATTTTTTAAAAATTCAAAATTCATATTTAATTATCTACACGTGTAATAGAAGTATGTCTTTAAATAAAAAAAATCTAAATTATGATTATATATATATATTTTTATATCATATTAATAAAAATATTTTTTAATTATTTTCTTGTGCTGTTAAGCAAATTGTATACTTGATAAAATATATTTAATAAAATTAATAGGCAACTAGCATATATGTAATCATTGGATTACGTGTAGTTTAAATAATAATTTGTTTATTTTTATCTTAAACGATAGCATCTTTTAGAAATTTAAATTTATAACTCTTTTTATTATAAGTACAGTGAAAATTTATTTACTTTCCCATAAAATACCTATAACATATTTAAATATAAGTTTTTTCGCTTATAGAAACACGTATTTCCATACGAAAAATTAAGTACTATAGCTTAACCTATAAGAATATTCTGAAATATTTTTCTAATAAAATTGGTAAGGAATGTAACTACTTTCATCTAAAATACAACCATAAAATAAAACAAAACCAAATGAAAATAATATAATGTATCAGTAAAAATGATAGAAATAGCAATAATGCGGCACTTACGTTGATAGGCATTTTATAATATAACCTTTACATATTAATAAAATTCAGCTTGTAACTTATATGTGTGTAGTCATGAGGGTGAATATTATCCTATTTATAACTTTTATTATTTGTACACATAAAGAATTAAATTTTTATGAAGGTTACTTAATGCGTTAATTACTATATTAAAAAATTGCTATTACATTTATGTA